GGGGTGTACTCTTGCCCATGGCCTCAATCCCAAAACCTGCACTGGGTCTGGAGGCCTCAAGCTAGGGCAACCCAGGGCAGGCTGGGACATGTACTGACTCCTGCTTCGGCTGTTGGGTGAGTGGTCCACACCAGGAGTGCCTGCCTATGGCCTGGGAGCCAAGGACAGAGCTGGAAACTATCTGCGACCTGTACCTGCTTCCTCATGAAGAATGGCCAGGAGATCCCATCCTTTACCCTGTCTTTTTGGAGGCCAACACCCAGCCAAAGTTGGCTGCCCCACCCGCTGTCACCCACTAGCAGAACCTCAAATCCTTCCTGTAGCCAATGACCCCTAGTTCCCTCAGTTCCCAGAAGCCAGACCCCAGCACCAGAGGGCAGGAGAGCGCCTTTCAGCACCTGGACAAGGCCCTTCTGAGCGTCCCCAAGGGGAGCGGGGGTCTCTCGGTCTTCAGTCCCCATTCCTGAGTGGGTGGTGGGGTTTGGGGGATCATGGGACTCTGACCAGCCTGAGTAAACAGATTCAGCCCTCACCCCCAGGGCAGAGGGTACTGGGTGGGGCCGGGATGCCTGGGAGTGTCTCGCAGCCAATTCTCTGATCCTTGACCTGCGACCCCCTCCCCACGCAGGCCTGGCCCGCGCCCACGGCAGGCAGGTGCAGCTACTCGGCTGAGCGGCGCGAACCCTCCCACCGCACGGAACAGACAGCCCCTCCCCGCCGCCCTCCCGGCCCCGGCGGAGGGCGCACGGTGTCCCCCGCCCCAACCTGGAGGGTCAGACACACGTGGGCCCCCGGCTCGGGCCCGCGGGGAGCGGGCGGGGGCCGCTCCCCTCACCCTCTCGGGGTCAACAAGCACAAAGCCGCGGTCGTGAACAAAGAAGCGCTGCAAACTCGCCAGGGAGGCGGGACAGCCCGCGCCGCGCCCCCTCCCCACGCCGGGCGCGCGTCCCGGGCCGCGGGGTCCCCGCTGCGCCCCGACGGCGCCCCTACCTGGCCGGCGCGGACCTCCTTCTCCAGCTCGCGGTGGCGGTTGTGCCACACGAGGTAGTGCAGCGGGTACTTGCCCTCGGGCCCCTTCCTGGCGGAGGCGTTGGCAGGGATCATCGCCCGCTCCTCATGCCGGGGCCGCGGCGCCCGGCCCGGGAGGGGGGACGGCGCCGGGGCCGGGGCCGGGGCCGGGGCGGGGCTGGGGGCCGCGGGGCGCGGGGCCGGCTGCCTGCTCGCCGGGCTGCGGCTCGGGCATGTGCGAGCGGCGCCGGCGGGCGGGGGCGGCGCGCCCGGCGCGGTGCGGGCCGCAGGCGTCCTCGAGAGGCGGCGGCGGCGGCGGGCGGCGCGGAGCGGCCCCCACCCGCCCGCGGGGAGCGGGCACTCGGCGGCGCGGCGCGGCCTCGCGCCTCCCTCCACACCCCCGCACACAAAGACGCGGCTCGGCGGAGCGAGCGGGCGCCCGCGGCGGGCGCGGGGGCGCTCGGGGCGCGGGCCCGGGGACGCCGCCTCAGGGACGCGCGCCCGCAGCCCCCGGCGCCTCGCAGCCGCATAGCCCGGGCGGCCGGCGCGGGTGAGGGGAGACGCCGCGCGGCGGGGAGGGGGCGCGGGGAGCGGGGCAGAGTTTGTAGCCCTTGGCCCTGCGGCATCATGGGGCTTGTAGTCCACCTCGTGGAGCTGGGGTGGCGGGGGGCCGCAGAGGGTCCCGCACGGTCTCCCGCGCCTCCCGCGAGCTGCAGACGGCGCCTCCGGCCAAACGGTGCCAGCGCCCCGACACCCGCGGCTGGGGCGCCACCCGGCCGCTGGCGTTTTGCCTTTCACGAGGGAGGGGGCTCCAGGCCTCGTTCGGTGTTAGGACGAAGGGGAAGGTGTGGCCTTCAGGATGGAGTTTGGGTGGGGGGAAAGTGAGGAGGGGTCCAGATAGCCAGAAAACAGCGACGATGGGGGGAGCGAGGGAGGGAGGGACTCAGAAAGGTGGGAGACATTAGTACCAAGGGTTATTTGAGTAACCAGGGGTCTGGCACTTGAAATTTCATGGAGTAGCCTTCCCTGTCCTGTTGTACGATTTAACTCCATCTGCCACAGCTGCTCTTAGAAAGAGAATGTACACGAAGCTGGGAGAACAGCCCTGCCCCAGAACTGTCCTCTGCAAGGACCGGAGTAGGGTTCGCCAGAGAAAGCAGCAGGTGGCAGCTCCCCACATCCACCTCAGGTGGTCCCCTGAGGAGAGGAAGTGACTGATTCCAGACTGTCTCCTTCCTGAATAACCCCAGGGCGGAGAGGTCCTTCCAGAAGGGTTCCTGCAGACGCTGTGATAAAAGTGAGATTGGTCTCTGCCGGCTGCCCTACTGCAAGGACTGGTGGAACTAGAGGCTTGGCTCAGTCCCTCGAGGGTGAAGAGACTGGGATGTTAGAGGCAACTGAATTAGAATCTTCCTTACTCTGTGATTTTAAGCCAATTGCTTCATTTTTCTGGTTCCTCAGACCACTCACCTTTAAAATGAAGCTCTGGATACTATTTCCTGTGGTGACTTAGGACAGATATTGCCCTGGAAACTGAGCGTTGCTCCCCCGACCAGACTGAGACAGGTGGCAGAACCAGGCACAGCGCCTTCGTGAACCCACCTTAGAACCAGACGGGAATAAGGGATTCCACGCCAGCCCGACACAGAGCAATCCAAGACGCGTTTGTGTGGGAGGTGCTTGCAAAAGCTTGCAAACTCTCCCCGCCTCTCCCGGGTTTCTTTGTGTGGTCCTCTTTCCTTCCTCCTCCACACCCTGAGGTGCCAGGCCCGGGCGGGAAAGGGTGAGGGAGGAGTGGACAGCCTCGCCCCTTTCTCCAGCCTGGGAGGAGCCAACGGCGTCTACGTCCGCCGGGGACAGTGCCCACCTCGACCACAAGGGGTCAGCAGAGTGTCGTGGTTGCAGCCAGAGTTGGGGAGGGGGCTAGAGCTGGCGAGGGGAGGCTAGGAGTGGCTGAGAGAATGCCTGCACATCTCCTCATTAAATTGTTTTAGAACCTTGTGTGTGACTTCTCTTTAACTGTCCTGCTTCCTGGGGGTGATGACAACTCCCGAAGGGAAATCCTGAAGTCCTTTCCTCCCTAATCCCAGGCCCAAAAGCTGGGCCGGGACTGGGGGCTTTGGGGAAGAAAGTTTGGAGAATGGATCCATTCTGGGCCACTCCCAGGTAATGGGGAGCCAACTCGGAGATAGGGCTGGACGTGGAGAGACAGGGTGAATCATCCTTACCCTGCAAAATATTAGAGCTCAAGGAGGGGGGAGTTTGACATGGGTTAGGGGCCCTGGCCTCTGGGCAGCCGGGCTGTGTTTGCCAGGGGGCCCATAGATTCAACCCAGGTAGCTTTTCCTGTGGCCTGCGCGCTCCAGCTGCCACGTGCTCGAGACGCGCCCACACAGCAAGAGAAACAAAGACAGCCAAGTGATGGGGCTGCCAGCAGCCGCCTCGCCATTTAATAAATGAAATTCCATGGCTGGGGTCGATGGGGGTGAATGGGTCGCCACCGCTGGTGGGCCTTATGCCAGTACGGGCAGCCAGGCCACTCCTGTCGCCCTGGTTGGGGCTACTAAGTCCAAGGACTGACACTGGGTGCGGTGCAGAATGGGGCAGTAAGTGGTGTTTTCCCCTACAAGCTCCCCTCCCCCTGATGTATCTTTGCTGGCAGTAGCTCCGCCTACTGAGTCTGGCCAAGGGGGGTGTGGGGGGAGGTGGAAGGGAGACCTGCAAGATTTTTTTTAAGGTGTGATTATAAATAAACCTCGTGGATGGCGATTTCAAACAAACTTGTCAATCTGGGCTGCAGCAAAAGGCGATGGAGGCAGCTTTTGCATGTATTTCGGGTGGTGTGACTCATGAGCATTACTTGTCTCCCCCAGGGAAGCAGTCTGCCCACCCACAAATCACTGCTGCTCAGGCACCGCTGGGATAAAATCGACCAACTCCCGCACCCCTGCCCAAGGACTCGCCCCTCCCCCGGTATCTGAGCAGAGGTCTCCCAGCCTTTCGGAACCCTCTTTTAGTTGTGTCACCATTGACCTAAGCCCCCCAGCCTGATCTCAGTCAGGCACCTCTGCCCTCTCCCCACAGAGTGCTCTGGCCTTTTGCTGCTGCAGAGGTGGGGGCTGGGTGCACAAGGGGCACACGTGTATGGGGGAGCATGCTCAGTGCACCCACATGAGTCCAGCGTGCCTTTGCTCCCTGTCCTACCTCACTGCCCCCACCCCCGCTGAGTCTCCATGTGAAGTCCTGGAGGAAAGGCCACCACAAAACAAGGTCCCTGTGTGTAAAATACACATGTCACGGACAAGCACCTCCGGTGGCCCAGAAAAACCTGGATGTTACTGCACAGATGCCAAATGGATACTATTGCACACAGGCAGTGGTCACTCCTCGGGAGGTCTTTAAAAACCGCCCGGCTTCTTCCTCTGAGGGTGGAAGCATGGAAGAGAGAGATGTATTTTCAGTCTAGAGGCAGGGAATAAACTCCATGACCTCTGTGGCACCTGGGCCTCCATATTGCTGGCGGAGTGCGTCGTCAGCAAGGGTGTGACCACGCACACACCTGTACACACAGATGTGGACACCTGGGGCCAGGACGTGCACTTCATCCCAAACAGATTGTCGGGCTCCCCGACACACCACAGCCCCTTGAGGAGGAGGGAGGTCCAGGCCTCCAGCTCTTCACTCTCTTCCCCAGCCCCAGGGATCACCGTCCCTCGGCCCCAGACCCCCCGGCCGCTCCCCGACTCCGGAGAGAGGGGGCGGGGCCTGGGAGGGTGACTCACGCTGCCTCCGGGCCAGGGAGCGCGGGAGCGGACTCTAGGGCCGCCGGCGGCGCGGCCGCTCGGGATCCCGCGGCCGCGCGGCCCCTTTAAGCGCCCCCGCCCTCTTCCGGCCGGGCTCCGGGCTTCCTTTCTCCGGGAGGCGCGGCCGGGCGGCGGGGCGCGGGTGCGGGCCGCCCCTCCCCCGTGGGCTGGGCCTGCGCCGCTTCCTGCAGGAGCGGCCGGGAGCCGCGCAGGGGGCGGAGAGAGCGAGCGGCGGGCGGCGCGGGGCGGCGCGGGGCGGCGCGGGGCGGAGGGCGCCGGAGGGCGAGCGGGCGGGCGGGCGGGCACGGCGGGTTCCGGGCCAGCCCCGGGCGGACGGTTGGCGGGCGCGCGGAGCCGAGCCGGGGCCGAGCCGGAGCCGGGCCGGGCAGCAGGGGCCGCCGCCACCGGGCCCGCCGCCCGCGCCCCCCACGCTGGCCCAGAGGGCTGCGGCCGCGTCGCCGCTGAGGATGTCCCGGAAGGGGCCGCGAGCGGAGGTGTGTGCGGACTGCAGCGCCCCGGGTAAGCGGCCGGGCCGGGGGCGGGACCGCGCACCGAGGGCGCCGCCGGGCGGGCTCCGGGCCTGGCGGGAGCGCCGTGCGGGGCCGGAGGGCGGGGCGGGGCTGGGGGCTGCGGCCTCTGGCCTCGGGCCTCGGCCCCCGCCCGGGCCGCGGCGGCGTCCTTGGAGGGGGGGCCGGCCCGGGGGCCGCGGCTCCCGCGCGTCCGTGGACGAGCGAGGAAGGACATTCCCGGCGCGCCTCCCACCCCTCAGCTTGAGGGAGGCGGGCGGCTCACTGCGCCCCCATCTCAATATCCAAAGGGAAGCGCCAGCCGGGTGGCAGGAGGGCTGTGGCGGAGGCCGGCTGGGGTAGGAGGAGGGGGCGAGTGTGGTTTTGTGTCATCTCAGTGCCGCCCCCGCGTCTTGCACCTGCTGCTCTCATGGTCTGCGCGCCCGCACGAGTGGTGGAGGGCAAGGGGCAGAGAGCTGAGCAGATGGACCAGAGGGGCCTGAGGAGGTGGCGACTTCCAGGACTCCCTGCTCCTGCCTCCCAAGGCTGGGGCTCCTCGCAGGGCCTGGTGTTCGGGGCCTGTCCAAGCCTGGGCATCTTACCCGGAGGCGTCCCCAGGCTGCATAGGTACCCGGAACAACTAGACTAGGCTTTTCCTGTGCCCCAGCAAGGCCTGCAGGAGAAGATGGGCTTGGCATTGTACGAACCTGAGCACTGATGCTGCTGGTCCCCTAATCCAGTCTGGCCTGAAGTGGGGAGGGGGCCGTGGCAGGGGTGCCTAGATTCCTGGGATAGAGCTGGCTTTCCTCCTGGCTGTATTTACCGTGGTGTTTTCCTTCTTCCCAGCAGAGTCAGGCCCAAGCTGGTGTGAAACTCCCCTGACTTGCTGAGGAAATGAGAATCAGTGACCCTAGAGGCTGCTCCCTTCTGATGTGGGAGGACACTGTCAAAGATGGGGCTCAGCAGCTGGCCTGGGGAAGGAAGTTCTGGCCCTTGTCCATCCTTTCCTTGGAAAAGGAGTTATCTCTCAGGGATACCGCTGGGCTGGGCCGGGGGGGGGGGTGTCTGTGAATATTGGGGGATTATGGGCACAATTTAAGTGTGAGTGTGGGGTGCTTTTTCTGTGTGGACCCGAAACTTCCAGCCACCCCTTAGAATAAATAGCTCAGGATCCCAAAAAGTTGAGGCCCACAGATGCTCGGTGGCTCTGATGGCTCCAAGCTAAAGAGTTTGGAAACTGTGTGCCTGGCAGAGGCATGGTACTCTGTGGGTGATTATGACCCTGAGGCCACCTCTCAGGACCTGCCATGGTCAGGAGGGCCCTGAAGGAAGTAACTGCATATATGTCCTTACTCTTGACTAAGTGTCAACTCTCAACCCCTTTCCCCAATCTCAGGTAGGTTTGGGGATGGAAGAGCTCAGAAGAGAGCTTGCCTTCTGTATGTCAGTCCCAGGCTGTCCTGCACTTCTGCTGGGCAGGCATATTTTGGGAAACGGGAGGGGGAATAGGGGACACAGAGTAGGCCTTAGCAGATACCCTATGGGGAGTCTGGATTTTAGTATTGCCTTGGTTTCCAGCTTACTCTGTGACCATGGCAAAACTTTCCTCACTCTGGGCCTCTGGTTCCTCAACTATGGGGCAAAGAAGTTGGAGTAGAAATGGCTTATGGGAACCCTCTCAGCTCAAGTCTGTGGCCCTGATTCTAGGTCAGAGGGACATAGAGTGGCATCAGCAACACGGTTGTCCTTTCTGAGTTGCATTTAACTGTTTGACTGAAGCCTCTGCATACCCAGTGCATTTGAGGAGGAGTGGTGTGCACCTGATGTGTTCAACTGCCCAGCCTCTATCCTTGGTCCTCATCCTGCAAAGGCGTTGGTGCCTGTGCACCTTCTTTCTCCCAATCCATAATACAGGTCAAAAAGAAACAGGTGGTAAGAAGGTAAGATGGGCAGAGTGCTGACAAAGTCTTACTCATCACCCAATAGAGCAGGTGCCCCCAATGTTTGGATGTTTGTCAGGACCCCAGCTGGCTACTTGGGACGACCCCTATCCCCCCGGAACTGTAGCAGCCCAAGTAAGAGTGGCTTAAGGGTAACGAGCTGGCAGTCTGGAACCCAGGCCCAGAGACTTATCCCAGTGTATATCCCCGACCCAGAGTCATCGGCTTCTTTCACTGTGATGGAACCATGTGGTCCCAGCCCTCAGAGTAAGGGTTGATTTGGGGGCATTGTGTTGGTGAAAGTGAGGTACAGACTGACCGTGAAGGAAAGCCCCCTGTCCTCCTGCTCCTAGGCCTGGGCACACAGGGGGACAGTATGAATATGCTGTAAGGCAGCTGGACATGGCATGACTGCTCTGGCAGCTGGTGTCAGGCACTGTCTATGTCCCTGCTGGCCTTGGGAATCGACCAGAGGGGAAGGGGCTAGGGAACTCTGGGCAATGTGTGTTCCCCCTTCTTTTCCTTCCAGTCAACCTGCCACACAATCCCAACTTGAGACTGCCTGGCCCTGCTTCTTATCCTGGGGGCCTCCAGCTCGACCTTTCTGCTTTGCCAGCCCCAGGCACAGAAGCCATGGCAGCTGTCAGGCCATCCCACAGGCCCCTCAGATGTGCAATACTGGCCACTGGCTATGCCCATGGGACAGGACAACCTGCAGGCTCATTTCTCTCTTCATAACGTAGATTTTGGGGGTGGAGTGAATGGTGAGATTTTCTTCCTCTTTCATTGAGGTATAGTCATCTCTTCTTATCTAGGTTTTCAGAGGTTTCAATTCTTGCAGTCAAGCACAGTTAGAAAATATTATGTATATAAGTTAGAGAGATTACATTCATGTAACTTCTATTATAGTGTATATATATATATTTTAAGATTTATTTTTATTTATACAAGTGCCGGGGTACAGGCCAGATGCGCAGGAGGGTGAGAGGATTCACCAGAGACAGAGTGGGGAACAGAACAGGCAGACTGACGAAATACACTGCTGAGGGGAGCAGCGGGCGAGACAGGAGAGATCTGCTGGCCATGTGGGCTGTTCCAAGGCCGGTGGGGATCGAACCAGCACTGCAGAGGCTGTGGACAGCTTCACAGCACTGTGCTCAACCGCCTATGCCACCAGGGAGGCCCTATTATAGTATATTTTTATAGTTCTATTTTTTTTTTTTAAGATTTATTTACTTATTTATGCAAGCACTGGGTACAGTCAGAAGCACTGGAGGGTGAAAGAATTCACCAGAGCCAGAGCGGGGAGCAGAGCAGGCAGAAGGACCGAAGTACACTGCTGAGGGGAGCAGCGGGCGGCAGGAGAGGTCTGCGCGCCATGTGGGACCCTCCTCCGGTGGCCGGAGGGCAGCCGGGGATCGAACCGGCGCTGCAGTGGCTGCGGGCAGCTTCGCAACCCAGCGCTCAACCGCTGCGCCACCGGGGAGGCCCTATAGTTCTATTTTATTATTAGCAATTCTTGTTAACCTCTTATGTAAACTAAATAATCTTGTAAATTAAGCTGTACTGTAGATATACATGTATAGTCAAAAACAATATATATGGGGTTCAGTACTATCTGTGGTATCAGGCACCTGCTCAGGGTCTTGGAATATCTACCTGCAGATAAGGGACACCACTGTTTAACTTATATATGGCCTGCACCTTACTGTTTAGCTTAGGGGCTGTCACACATGTATATACCTGTGCAGTCACCATTTCTGTCAAGAGAGAGAACATTTCCATCACTCTGGGGAGGCTTTGTGCCCCCTCCAAGTTAGTGCCCCTGAAAGGTGGCCACCATTCTGGTCTCTGTCTCCAGGGATTACTCTCGCCTGCTTTCCAGATGGTGGGCTTCTCCCTCTTGTCTAGGAAGGAAGATCTGATCTCTGGCACAGGAGAAACTGGCGCTTATAGCAGACTTACTAGAGGGGGCTTTGGATGGTGATCTGAATTCACTGGCTTAGTAAAGGCTTCCCTGGGGATGGCACTGGTTAACTAACATTACCCCAGGACCCTCCTGCCATTTACCCATACTGTTCGCCCACCCTCACTAGAGGCAGGTGGACCGGGGCGGGGGCGAGGGGGGGGCTGAGTTTACCATATCCCCTAGCCCTTATGTTCCCCATCCCTTCAGCCCTGGGTTTGGACCAGATGGCCTCTTGGGGGCAAGAGGTCCCTTAGCCTTCAGCTACAATAGCTTTTTGACTTTCAGAAATCCTTTCTGGGTCTTTTGTTTAGGAATTGGCCTAGTTGGGCCTTGGGACCGCCTGTAATGGTGTTGGGGTGCACGCATCCATCACCTGTGTGTGTCTAGAACTGAGCTGGCACCAGTTTGCCCTCGAGCAAAACAGTGTCCCTCTGCCTACCCGCCCCCCTCCCCCCCCAATTCTGGTCGCAGTAGAAGAGAAGGAGGACCCGTCCTCCCAAGCCTGCGGAGTGTCGAATAGTCTTCAACCATATTGCCCGGATCCAGGTCTCTTGGTTACTGCCATATTTAGGGCTCCCCATGTCTGGTCTGGCCCTGGATATCTGGCTGGTCTTTCCAGACCTGGCTTCTCTGGTAGGGCCACAGGCCTGGGGTGGAGGCCACAGGGCAGCCCATTTATGATCCTGGCCTGGGCGGCTCCCCGTTTACAGGAAACCCCACCATTTCAACAAGAGGAATTTAGGCTGCGTCATTTCCAGCTTCCTGCCTGGGCTGCCGGAGGTGGCTGGTGGGCAGACCCCTGACCCAGTGGTGTTTGAGAGTAGGAGAGGGAGCTTTCCGTGTCTGAGGGTACCTCACTATCTGGGTAAAGCCAAGACTCCCCCTGTTGGCACAAATGGTAGGTCCCTGGAATTCACTCCACAGGAAGGTGTATGGCAGGCATCTTGTGTATCCCTCTATTGCCCTGGTTTTTTGGGAAGGGATTCCTAAAGAAGCCCAGCCCCAAATTCCTGTGCCCCCTCTTGCTGCCTATTTCTGCATGGTGGAGGGGACACTCTGGGCAAAGCTCAGGCTGGACACTGACTCAGTCTCCTTAAAATTTTCCTGGGAACTTTGATAGAAATCTTTGTGGGATGAGTCTGAGAATTGCTTTCTGGTTGGGAGAGCCCTTTCTCCCAAGTGTGCCCCTCCCCGAGGAGCCCCACTTCTGGACTCTCTGGACATTATGGGTAGACAGAGAGCCAGCCTACTCCCCCTACCCCCAGGACAGGGCTTCCTGAGCCAGGGCGGTGGGGGGCCTGGGCAGAGCACAGTGTCCTGGGAGAGAGGCTCCCTGCCCCCACTCTCTGAGGCACACAATGGCTGCTTTCTCCCCTATGACCTTTCCAGAGCCCGAGCTGTATGCAGCTGTCTCCTCCCCTTTCCCAAGGGGCCTGGGATGGGTGGCATCTCCCCTGCCCTTGAGAACCCAGGAGCTCCCACCCTGTTCTGATTGTCTTTTTTATTTCCAAAGTCCACTTCTCCCCAAGGAGTGGAGAGTGACTCCCTTCCAGTCCTCTCACCTACTTGGGGCTTCCTCTTTGGGGTAGCGGGAGAGGGATAGTATCAGTTATACACATGGCCTAGTCTCTGGACTCTGAGTACCCTTGTCCACATTCCAGAAACCCTACTCAACATTAGCTAGCTGTGTGACCTTGAGCAAGCCCTCTGACCTCTCTGAGCCACTGCCTCATCAGTAAAGTTAGTGTAGCTTTCCCCACCCTGCCTGACAGTTGTGAAAGGTGTCATGCATACAGAACCCTGCTGGTACACAGTTGGTGCTCAGTCAGTGTTCCTTGCTTTTTCCATCCCTCTTAAGAGGGGTTCCAGCTCACTCCATCAGCAATAGTGGCAAGAGGTTTCAGGCATGAAAAGGCCTCTTGCCTGCCAGGATGGCGGTAAAGGCAGGAGCTTGTGGAGGGGCCTACTGGGCCAGAAAGGGGAGGGGGGCAGTGGTTCCAGTAGAAGCCCAGACACAAGGCAGATATGGCACCCCTAACACAATTGAAGTGTCACAGTTGGGTGCCACGTCTGAGTGTAGCCTTGGAGTTGCATTCCTTAGGGAGTCCTTCCTTCCAGAGGAAGGGCTGGGGCAGCAGACTCATTACCTGGGGGAAGGCTGTGAGACCAGCAGCTGTGGCTGCAGGACAGGAAACTGTGCCACTGAGCAGGGCCCTGGGGACCATACATCCTCAGAGGCAAGGATGGCTAGGAAGGGTAGGCCCTGGCTCTGTGTCTTGCTGGCTGCCAGTCTTTGGGGAAATCCCTTCCACCACTGTAGCTCAGCTAGCCGACCTTCTGGGCACCAAAAGAGTGACTGCATTGTGGGGAGTACATATGGTCCCCTATTTTATGATTTTTTTCACTTTATGATGGTGTGAAAATGATATAAATTCAGTAGAAACTGAACTTCAATTTTTGTTTTATTTTTTTAAGATTTGTTTATTTATGCATATAAGAACTGGGGTCTAGGCCAGAGGTGTGGGGGAGTGAGAGGATTCACCAGAGACAGAGTGGGGAGCAGAACAGGCAGCTCTACTGAAATACGCTGCTGAGGGGAGAAGCGGGTGAGACAGGAGAGGTCTGCCAAGCCATGTGGGTCACCTTCCGTGGCTGAGGATCGAACTCTTGCTGCAGTGGCTGCCGACAGCTTGATATTGCTGAGACTTAACCCCTTGTGCCACCAGGGAGACCTAGGTCAGGTTTATTAAATGCATTTTTGACTTATTGTGGGTTTGTCAGGATGGTTTGTCCTAAGCCTCGAGCTGGCCCAGAGTGGTGCTGGAGAGGATCTATCTATCGTGGGACCGTGGCTGACCCTTGTCCCCACCCTGCAGACCCTGGCTGGGCCTCCATCAGCAGGGGTGTGCTGGTGTGTGACGAGTGCTGCAGTGTGCACCGGAGTCTGGGACGCCACATCTCCATCGTCAAGCACCTTCGCCATAGCGCCTGGCCTCCCACGCTGCTGCAGGTATGGGACTGGGCTGGTGCTTCTTACTGGCACTGGCACATTCCTGCATCAACCCAGGGCAGAGCCTCACCCTGACTTTCCACCCATTCCCCCCACCTACACAGAGTGGAGGCTTCTAGGACTTCAGTCCTATAGACCTGGGCACTCTCCTCAGCTCTGCCACTCACGACCTTGCCACACACCATTCAGCAAGTGGCTTATCCTCTCTGAACCTCAGCCTGCTCATGTACCCGAAGTGCCAAACAGATCCGATATTCTTGGGTGGCCTGGCTGGAGGGAGGTGTGATGGTACCAGGCACACAGCAGGTCCCTTGGCCCTATTTCTAGCTACACCTGTTGCAGCGACCACTCAAAGGTGTTTCTCCTAGTGCCCAGCACACAGTGGGCCCTCTCACTTGGCATCTCTCCTCTGCAGATGGTGCACACGCTCGCCAGCAACGGGGCCAACTCCATCTGGGAGCATTCCCTGCTGGACCCCGCACAAGTGCAGAGTGGCCGGCGCAAAGCCAACCCCCAAGACAAAGTCCAGTGAGTTGGGCTGGACAGGTGGTGCACAGGGGCCTCTTGGTCTGTGACAAAGGCCTAGGAGGTGCAGGTGACTGACCTCTCCTACCCTGCTCCCCATTTCCTCCCGCATGCCCCATGCAGCCCCATCAAGTCAGAGTTCATCAGGGCCAAGTACCAGATGTTGGCGTTTGTGCACAAGCTTCCCTGCCGGGACGATGATGGAGTCACTGCCAAAGACCTCAGCAAGGTTTGAGGGGCCCCACAATGAATGGGTGGGCCTGCCTCCTTCTTACACATGACACATTAAGGCTTTTCCTACGTTACCACTGTGCCCCCGGCCCCAAGAACAGTGTGATCTGGCAAGAACAGTGGGCACAGAAGAAGGGTAATAGTCCATGGGCAGGCTGCATGTGGTTAAGGCCACTCAGCTCCCCAGTGGACTTGCGTGGCTAAAACGCCTCAGCTGCTTCTCCAAAGCTGGGAATACTTGAGTAGTTCTATAACCTTACAGACCTTATTTCCTCATGTGTAAAATGGGGAAGAAATGATAGCATCCACCTCATAGATACCGTGTTCAAGCACCCAGCACATGGTAGCTGGTGACCGATGGCTGTTATTATTGACATTAACTTCTGTGAGCCTCTTGAAACTGGTAGGAGTCCAGGAGCTACTAGACTTAGTGCAGTTTGAGGGGCAGGGCCTCAGGCACACACATATCTGTTGCACACTCTACTCCTTGCAGCAACTGCACTCAAGCGTGCGGACAGGCAATTTGGAGACATGTCTGCGCCTGCTGTCCCTGGGTGCCCAGGCCAACTTCTTCCACCCAGAGAAGGGCACCACACCTCTGCACGTGGCTGCCAAGGCGGGGCAGACGCTCCAGGCTGAGCTTCTTGTAGTGTATGGGGCTGACCCTGGCTCTCCTGACGTTAATGGCCGCACACCCATTGACTATGCCAGGTGAGGGTCTGCTGAAGGGTGAGGCTTGGCGGGTGGGGGTGCGGACTGCTCCTGCAGTGCTGAGCCATGCCCCCACCCCACAGGCAGGCGGGGCACCATGAACTGGCTGAAAGGCTAGTCGAGTGCCAGTATGAGCTCACTGACCGGTTGGCCTTCTATCTCTGTGGACGCAAGCCAGGTGAGCAGAGTGCAAGGCAGGCCTGGCTAGGCCAGGCAGGTGGGACCCAGACACACCCCAGCAGCAGGTGCCATGGTGACAAAGCCGGCTGGGGAACAGCGTTGCTAGGCAACTGGCTCCTGTGAAATTGCTGCAGGCTCTGGGCTGCAGCACTGTTGGGGTAGGGAGTGGGGGTGGGCCCAACTTCCAGCCAGCTCCCAGGGCTCTTAGGGGTGGCCTGCCCTCCTTCCTTTACCTGACACTTATGGGTGCTGAGCCCTCCTCATGGTAGTGAGGTGGGCTCCCAGCAGCTAAAGCCACCCAGTACCAGTGACTTGGCATTTTTATTTTTGTTCAGATCACAAGAATGGGCATTACATCATCCCACAGATGGCTGACAGGTGAGTGCCCACCTGATGTTCTCCAGAGAGGCTGTGGGATGCCATTTGGGTCTCTGAGTCCAGAGCCTCCACCCCTGCCATTCCCCAGGCTGTAGGGGACTAGGGCACCACCTCTTGCCCCTGCCCCCAAAACCCCCCTGGGACTAGAGGCACAAGCATTTCACAGTCCAATCCTCACAGTCCAGACCTCAGTCTCCAGTCCTCACTCTCCAGTGCTGGGCCCTGAGGCATGGAAGAAATGTCAGCACACACCCAGCACAGCCTAAGCTCCAGGCCTGTCAAGTCCATGGGGCTTGTGTACAAGGAACACCCCTGGGAGCAGTGAACACTGGGTTCTGGTTCTGGTGGCTGTGACCCCAAGTAAAAATCTCAAGACAAACTCTGTTCTTAGATAAAAAGATGGTGGGTACACAGATTTGACCCACTTTGGGACTACTGCCAGGCCTGCGGTGTGCTCAAATTGGGCTAGGGGAGGAGGGCACAGGTGTTTCTCATCTGAGGCCCAGGAGACATTTCCACCCGCTTACCCAGCTCACAGGATGGATGCTAGTGCCACCTGGTGGCCACCTCTGATGACCACGTCTGCATGGCAAGCTGTGCCTGCTGGCCTGGATCTGGAAAGAGGTGGCTCCTTCCTCCCCAAGACCTTGCAGGCACCTTGGATCCCTAAATCCAGACCTCCTCTGGTCTCAGACTGCAGGACTACCCCCTACTTTTCTGGTCTAATGCTGCCTGGTGTGTGTGACTGTGTCCATGTGGGTGGGTTTGTGGTAAACACATGGGCACGTACTCAGTGAGATGCTAGCCCAGTGCCTTCCCAGTGCCAACTGCTACACTGGGACGCAGAGATGATCCGGGCCCTTAAGGAGCTGACAGTTGAGAATGAGATGGCCTTTTCAGACAGCCGTAGCCCGGGGGGCGGGAGTGCAGCGAGAGAAGCAAAGGCGCAGATGTTAGAAATGAAGTGGCAGGACTTCAGCAGCTCAGGAGCTTGTTGTGAGAGACAGGGAATCCTAGGAGTAAGACTGGAAGAGACACAGGCAAGAGCAAGGCCAGTCCTATGAGCCCCAAAAGGAACTGCAGCCATCCTGACTGAGGACTGAGAGATTCTAGACACAGGGGTGTGGACTCAGCACTAATGCTTGCTGGCTGTGTGGCTTTAGGCAGGCTACCTAATCTCTCTGAGCCTTGGTCACCTCACCAGGAAATACAGGCAATCATGCTTACCTTTTGGGAGCTGTTCAGAGGATTCAATAAAATAATATATGCACAGCATTTAGCATATTTTCTATGTGAGCTTTTTGTTAATATCTGCCATCCATACTTGGTATTATTGAAGTGTTTTTAAGACCAGAGGTAGAGTAGGTGGATGTGTTGAAAAGATCACCCTGGCTGCTGAATGAAAAGACTGTAAGGGCAAGACTGGAAACAGGAAGATGAACTCAGCCCAGGCAAGAGGAGTGATGGTAGAAGCTGGGGAAAGCGTGGCCAGGGCTAGGGCTTCAGGTGAGGAACAGGTTGAGAGGATGAATTTGGTTTTCTATAATTGGGTCCTGGCGTGTGCACAGAAATAGGTCTGTGTTTGGCACGGGAAAGTGTACTGCCTGCTCCTGGGTAACTGCTCCTCTGTCCTGTTCTTCCCTCTGCTGCCTTCCTCTGGATTTAGATCTCGGCAAAAGTGCATGTCTCAGAGGTATATGGTGCCTGTCGTGGGCACAGGCTCTGGGGGTTGGGTGGGGCCGGGAGGTACCTGGCGTGTGCATCCAAGATGTGGTTTCCCGGGAGCCATGCATGTTTGGGAGGTCACTGTCAGGGGCCTAGCCACGTCCTCATTCCCATCTCGCTCCTTTGTCCTCAGCCTCGACCTGTCCGAGTTGGCCAAAGCTGCCAAGAAGAAGCTGCAGGCAGTGAGTGCTCACATGGGCCCCCAAAACTTGGAGTTGCTCCCCATCTCTGACCCCTTTGCCATCACTACCCTTTCCTCTGGCATGCCCTCTTTTAAGTCTTTGGCCTGCCCCTTTAGACTTCCTGGTCTGTTCTTCACCTTCTTGTCTTTGACCCTGGCTCTGGCCTCTAAAGGCTCCCAGGACCCCACCTTCACCACTGACCTAGGGGGGAGCTCACTGGTCTGGTCTCCTGTCTGTCCTCTCCTGCCTTGGAGCTTGGCATGCAGACCCATATCCCAATTTCCAGTTTGGAAATCATGGGGGCTTGTGGGTGGCACAAGAGACACAAGCAGTTTTGCACCTCATGATATCCTGGTGAGCAAGCCTTGCCGGCATAGGAGGCCAGTGTTGATCTGACAAAGCCTGTGTCCCTCTGCCTCTAGCTCAGTAACCGGCTTTTTGAAGAACTTGCCATGGATGTATATGATGAGGTGGATCGAAGAGAAAATGATGCTGGTGAGCCAGGGCATCGGAGGTCTTGGGTGGCTGGGATAAGAGTACCTACCTGCTGGGGAAGTACTGGGACCTGGTACTAAAAAGGGGTGCCTGAGTTCGCAGCTGCCCAGCAGGCCTGCAGGTAGCCCCTGCCAGCTATGAGTCTCCCTGGGCAGCTTCCCAGTGGACAGGACAGCGTGTGTGCTGAGCCAGAGGCAGCCAGCCTGCTCCCCCCCACCCCCGCCCAAGCCTAGGGCTCATCTCTGCTCTGGCTGCCTCCCACTTTGGCTCTCTCCCCAGTCCTGCTCCACCCCCTGCATCACTCCTTCCTGGCCACAGCCAGATTCCAGCCCAGACTCTGGGTGGGGACTGGCAGGAGGCAGTCGCCTTGTTCAATTCGTCAGTCCCTAGCTTTCTCTCCCAGCCTTGCCCTGACCCAGCCTGGCTTGAGTGTCTGAAGACCACCCATTTTGAACATGAGACACTCAATCGGTGGGTGTGGGGAGATCTAGGAAAACTGTGCCCAGCACCTTCCCACCTCCACCCAGTGGGCCTGGCCACTGTGAAAGAGCTGCTCCTTGCCCCTCCCCCACAGTATGGCTGGCTACCCAAAACCACAGCACTCTGGTGACTGAACGAAGCGCTGTGCCCTTTTTGCCTGTTAACCCCGAATACTCAGCCACACGGAATCAGGTAAGGGGGCTGGCTGGGGGCCTGGGGTGGTGGTCTCCCCTCCTGGGATCAAGCTCTGTGGGCCCTACCCTTACTTGGCCTGCTGTTGTCCAGGCCAGGGCCCAGCTTGCTCTTCTCTGCCCCTAGTCGAGGCTTCCCTTGGGGTCCAGCTGGCACTGGGGTTGGGAATGAGGAAGAGGCTGTTCTTTTGAGCACTCAATGAGCAGCCTCTGGGGGATGTCCCAGTCTGTCCCTGAGAACTCCCCTGGGCACCCTGGAATCTATCATATACCCCACTCCGCCTGGGCCAAGGGAGCAGCCTGGGGCTTCTAATATGGAGGGTAAATCAGATAGCAGGGACCTTGCTGCCTTGCTGAGGTGACCCCACCCCCACCGGTCTCAGCAGCCACGAGGGTGCCCCTCACACCGGCCTGGCGCTCTCTGCCTTACAGGGACGACAAAAATTGGCCCGTTTCAATGCCCGAGAGTTTGCCACCTTGATCATCGACATCCTCAGTGAGGCCAAGCGGAGACAGCAGGGCAAGAGCCTGAGCAGCCCCACAGGTGGGAAGGGTGTGAATGGGGGCGTGGGTGGTAGGAGTTGTTCCAGGACATTGTTTCATCGCTCCCTCTCGAGGGTGACATGATAGGGTGTGTAGCTGGGCTCTGAGTGCCAGGCCTGTACCCTCAGACAATCTCGAGCTGTCTGCGCGGAGCCAGAGTGACCCTGACGACCAGCACGACTACGACAGCGTGGCCTCGGACGAGGACACCGACCAGGAGCCCCTGCGGAGCACCAGCGCGGCTCGGAACAACCGTGCCCGGGTCTGAGCACTTGCCCTCCCAACCCTCCCCAGGCCTACATCAAGGCCCAGCTCTGTCCTCTCATAGCTTAAGCCTCGAGGACAAGGCTGGTTGCAGCCTGGACAGCAGTCCTCTGAGGCATTAGTCCCCTGCCCCGGTGGCTGACTGGCTCGTGTCTTGCTCCGCAGAGCATGGACTCCTCAGACCTGTCCGACGGGGCTGTGACGCTGCAGGAGTACCTAGAGCTGAAGAAGGCTCTGGCCACCTCCGAGGCCAAGGTGCAGCAGCTCATGAAGGTCAACAGTAGCTTGAGTGATGAGCTCCGGAGGCTGCAAAGGGAGGTGAGGAGCTGAAGCCTCAGTAGGAGTTGGGAGGATCACCCCCTCCCTGTCATGGGGGCACTGCCTGGAGCCTCCAGAGTTTCTGACTGCATTTTGCATTCTCAGATCCACAAGCTACAGGCAGAGAACTTGCAGATCCGGCAGCCACCAGGGCCAGTGCCCACACCTCCACTTCCCAGTGAACGGGCAGAACACACGTCCATGGGACCTGGCGGGAGTTCCCACCGCAGGGACCGCCAGGCTTTCTCCATGTATGAGCCAGGCTCTGCCCTGAAGCCCTTTGGGGGGCCACCTGGGGACGAGCTCACCACCCGACTACAACCTTTCCACAGCACCGTGAGTTGCCTATGGGTCTCAGGGCACAGGGAAACGGGGCTGGGGCCACCACAGGACCCTCCTTGATGCCCACTATGCTGACCCCCAGGAGCTGGAGGATGATGCCATCTATTCAGTGCACGTTCCTGCTGGCCTTTACCGGGTAAGCAGGGCCTGGGCAAGGTTCTGAGTCCCTGTGGGTGCCATCCAGGCTTTGTGCTAAAACCTGAGCACAGGGGTTCTCACCCTCACTGTGGGAAAGCTAGAAGTGGGAGGTGAGGAGTAGGAGACACTGACTCCAGACCTGCCTGGGTTTCAGATCCGGAAGGGGGTGTCGGCCTCAGCTGTGCCCTTCACTCCCTCCTCCCCATTGCTCTCCTGCTCCCAAGAAGGAAGCCGCCACACGGTAAATTCTGTGCCCAAGGGATGGGGGCTGTGGGCCCTGAGCATGTATCTTACCTTGTCTACCTTCCCTGCACCCTCCAGAGCAAGCTTTCCCGCCATGGCAGTGGTGCTGACAGTGACTATGAGAACACGCAAAGTGGGGACCCGCTGCTTGGGTGAGGCACCCCAGGGGAAGGAGGTTGAACGGGCCCATGGTGGCTGTGAAGGTGTAGGCAAGCAACCTCACCCTCACGGCTGGAATGTTTCTTTTTCTAACCTGGGGCTTCAGACTGGAAGGGAAGAGGTTTCTAGAGCTGGGCAAGGAGGAAGACTTCCACCCAGAGTTGGAAAGCCTTGATGGAGACCTCGATCCTGGGCTTCCCAGCACAGAGGATGTCATCCTGAAGACAGAACAGGTCACCAAGAACATTCAGGAATTGTTGAGGGCTGCCCAGGAATTCAAGCACGACAGGTATGGGGCTGGGGCACAGGTTCCTATCAGGTCCTGCGGTGCTGCAGAGCGCAAGAGAAGGGCCGGAATGCCACTGTCTCCGGGAATTGTCCTTGAGGGTCCCTGCTAATTTATTCTTTCCCCTCCCCTACAGCTTTGTTCCCTGCTCAGAGAAGATCCATTTGGCTGTGACTGAGATGGCCTCTCTCTTCCCAAAGGTAAAGGGAATAGAGAGGGGAGCAGGATTGGGAGGGCCTCAGGGTGGGGCAGGTGCAAGGAATCTGACCACTACCTGGGTGGAGACTGGAACACATGGGGCCACGCTCACAGCTCATGGTTTGAAGTCCAAGGCCCAAGGCCCTCCTCCTCCTTTCCCTCCCGCCAGAGGCCTGCCTTGGAGCCCGTGCGCAGCTCACTGCGGCTCCTCAACGCCAGCGCCTACCGGCTGCAGAGTGAGTGCCGGAAGACAGTGCCCCCAGAACCTGGCGCCCCTGTGGACTTCCAGCTGCTGACTCAGCAGGTGATCCAGTGCGCCTATGACATCGCCAAGGCCGCCAAGCAGCTGGTGACTATCACCACCCGAGAGAAGAAGCAATGACCACTCTCCCTGTGCCCTCACCCCCACCCTGAGACCTCACTGGCCATGGGAGCTGGGCCACTCCAGACACTAATCCCCACCCCAACAGAGCCACTGGTGCAAGTGCCCTTAGTGTTGCCACTTACCCTGGCAGCCAGGCGCCCTGGTGTTGCCCCCCTCCCCCAAGGATGGGGAAGTGGAGTGGCAGGAGCTTCTGTCCCCCACATTCCATGCACTTCCTTCCTGTACATAGCATCTCCCTCCCCCGTTCTAGCAAGCAGGGGCCTGAAAGGCATCACTCCCAGCCCCTTGCCCTCCAGGCCACCCTCAGCAAGGGGTCAAGTGGGGACACTCCAAGAGGGGCAATTCCCCCTACATGCACCCCACCCCCCCATGAGCCAGTTCAGCCCTATTGGGGGCTGAGCAGGGGCATCCCCATTTGTACATAATCTCTGGATGTCCCTGCCCTGTAGCCACCAGCCCCCTGCTGCTCTCCTTTAATGCCAAACGGCCCCTGCCTAGGGCACAGACTCCAACCTGTGTTCCCGGGGTCCCCAGCAGCAAACACTGGAAAATCTTTTTTTTTTTCCCTCTCTCTCTCTTCCACCCCTTAATTTTAACATTGTGGTAACTGAGTGTGCCTGCGTGTGAATGTGCGGGACGGCAGTGCCGTTCCTGAGGACTGGCCCATCTGGAGCTTTGTGAGGGGTGAGGGGACCAGAGCAGTGGGACCAGCATTGGGGGGCAGCCCCCCTCTTCCCCACCCTGGGGCCAGGGACCATCGGGGCAATCAAGGGTTTGCCCGGTGCCTCCCCTCATCACTCCCCTTAGGTCCCCCCACTCATACCCCTTATCTATGAACTTAAAAAGGAAAACCACTTCCCTCCATCTCGTCTCCCTCCCTGTGGAGGGGGAAAGTGTGCTGGCTGGGGTAGAGAACTGAGCCCCTGAGCCTGGGGCTGGCTCCCCGGGGTCCCTGACTCAGCTAAGAGCCCCTTCCCCAAAACCTCTGAGATGCCAGCACCTGTGTCTGTGGTGTCTGGGTACCCGGAACCTGGGCTGCAGCCTGAGAAGGTTGGAGAGGCAGATGGCAGCGCCCACCAGCTCTTCTGTCCAGCCTTGGTCCTAAGGGGCCAGGTTCTACCTGTGTGGTGGTGGGTGGGCTGTCAAAATGTGTGTCATGTACATTTGTATCAAAAATAAATAAGTGACCATGTGTTGTTTCTGCTGCTTAGAGAACCGAGGGGATGGTGGGGAAGTGCCAGGCATGGGGTTGGCGGGGGGTGGGGGGGGGCAAGCCTGATGGGAGACCAGAAGACTGCCCTGCTGCTGAGGGCCTAAGGGAGCCCTGTGTTGCCTTTGAGAAAAGGAGCTGGGAAGCCACTTTTTAGTAACTACAACACCATCCCCCCTCCCATGGTGGCCGAGAGGTTCTTGCACACGCCTAGAACCCACATCTAAGGTGGGGTTGGGAGGGTGCCAACTAGTTTTTATAAAACCCCAACTTCAAACAACTTAAATGGCCTAGGACAGTGTCCTGGGTGGGAGTGTGTCTGTGTGGCAGAGGCAGAGGCTCAACTCCTGGCTCTACTAAAATAATTTAATTAGAAATAACGGGAATTTGGGCAAGGGACGGTGGGACAGCTTTTTTCCCTCTCCTTGGCCACCCCTCCTGGCAACCCACACCTTGGCGACGCTCCATCCCGCCGCCAGGGGGCGGCCCTGCACGCAGTCCACGTGGCAGAGGTCCCGGCAGCCGGGCCGGGAGGAGGAGCCAAACCTGCCACAGTGGCAGGGCTGGGGCAGGTCAGTCGGAGCTGTCCCCATCCGGGCCGCTGTCTGGCGTCGGGGGGAGGAGGGGTTTCCCGCGGGAGCGCTTGACCCTGCGCGGCGGCAACAGCAGCCTCCGTTTCAGCACAGCTGTGGGCAGGGGGTGGGCAGTCAAGAGCAGAGAAGCCACGGTGGGGGGGAGGGGAAGGGGGTTTGAAAGGTGGGGAGCAGGGCTGATGGGGTTGTAGGGGTGCCGGGAACTTCTTACCTGCCACTGTGTCTTGACTGTCTGCTGTGGGTCCCCAGTAGATGCTCTCCCCACGTCTGAAGTTTCGGTGTAGGCGTGTACAGAGCGTGGCCAGTGTGAGCAGCACCAACAGGAAGGTCAGGGCCATGGCAGCCCAGGCTGCCTCTTCTGTGCGTGGGGTGGGGCCCCGGGCTACCCGAGGAGGCGCAGCTGCCCGAGGGGCCGGGGAAGCCTGACTTGGACAGGCACAGCCCCCCGAGCTGCTTTGCCCTTTGAGCACCTGAGTCTCTGTCCTGGAACTGGAATTGCCTCTATGTCCCCCAGGCAGCAGGGGGGCAGTGGGCACAAATGGGGCATTACTCCCTTCACCTGGAGCTCCCAACATGGGCTGCTTGTCCTCCAAACTCCGTGGGGAAGCAGAGGGGACTCTCAAGGCTGAGGGGGTGGGCTGGAAACCAAGGGCAGCCCGCAGCCCACGCCTCTTGGCACCACCAGGAAAAAGCTGCCAGGGCCTTCTAGAGGGCACCTCTGTGCCTGGGGGCCGCCAGCTCCGCAAAGTAAAGGCCAAAGCTGGGACCTAACGGGAGAAGAGACAACAGTCACCCTTTCCCTGACCAGGTTAACTCGATGATCCCATCACCAACCGAACCTGGGCCCAGCACCCCTCACCTGCACACACCCTCTTCCGCACAGCTTCCTTCTGCCCCGGGCTGGTACCAAGCGAGAGGACCCAGAAAGGCTGTCAGAGTGGGACCATGCCTTCTTCCTCCGCCGCCACCTCTTCAGCCAGTGGGCAACCCAAGCTGGCTCTACCCATGCCATCTCCAGCGCCACCCCCCATGCTGCCAGCATCAGGGGCTATGAAAGGAAGTAACTGAGTTAAGGTGAAGGTGGGGAGCAAACAAGAGGAAGGCCCTGAATTTCCCTTTCTGTGCAGATGGGGCTGCAACCTCTGCCAGTACCAGCCCTCTTTCATCAACCACTTACCCGATCCTGACTGAGGCTGGGGTCGGGGGTCAGTGAGGGCTGGGCCACAAAAATGTGGGCCAGGAGAGCAAGCTGGAGCTTTAGCCAGGGGTGGGCACAAGGATGGTAGAGGAAGCTGGCATTCTCAGCCTGAAGGAAAGGCACAGAGATATCAAGTCACATTCAAGTGTCTCCCTAAGAATCCTAAATTCTCCCATCCTGGAGGCCAGCTTCAAGGGACTCCCAAGATGGCCAAATGATCCCTCCACCTTTGGGGCTCAGGAGAGCACAAAGAGCCCTGGATTCTGGCAAGAACCCCCTCTCGGGCTTCCCTGGTGCCGCAAGGGGTTAAGACTCAACCTATGAAGCTATTCGCAGTCACTGCAGCATGAGTTCGATCCCAAGCCAGGGAGCAACCCACATGGCGCAGCAGACCTCTCCTGATTCACCCACTGCTCCCCTCAGCAGTGTATTTCAGTTGATCTGCCTGTTCTGTTCCCCACTCTGTCTCTGGTGAATCCTCTCAACCCCTGCACCTCTGGCCTGTACCCCAGTTCTTGTATGCATAAATAAATCTTTAAAAAAAAAAAAACTCTCACCTGAGTGTTCCTTTCACCTCTCCGCTCCCATCAAGTGGCACCTTAGAGCTCACAACTTCCAAGACCACATGCCTAGTTAACCCCCTAAAACTTGTCACTCTCTTTAGCTGTATTCCTCTCGCCTGCAACAGTGGCTTCCCTGGCCAGTCTAGACCATAAGCATCCCCCAAATGGAGATCAGATCTTCCATTTATTGCTCCTATCTATATATTCACTCTCTCCAAAGCACCCAAATACAGAACAAACAGGAAGCAGGCACACAATCCCCAGATGGGAACACTTCATCAATTATTAATTACCCTTTCATGAAGTTGACCTGATGCTCAGCATGGTGCCAGATGCTGTAGGAGATGCCTAAAGAGAACTCCTGGGCTCTGCTTGCAAGGAATGTAAAGGAAGTTCATGGAAAAAGAACTAATATAAATGAAAGAATAAACCAATAAAACTCCAAGTGATTAGTTGTTAAGTGTAACAGTTATAAGCATTATAAGCATTACAAACATTATAAGCATTATAAGTTATAAGCATTACATGAATTTGGAGAAGGTGCTGAAGAAGAGCTGGCATGATCAGGCAAGGTCTCAAAAGAGCATTAGCTCCCGCTCTGGGCACTGGAAGTGGATAGAGAGGGCAGGCAGGGAGCGGCCTGCTCCAGGTCAGGCTAGTCCAGGGGTAAAGGAGAAATAGGAGCAAAGCTTCCACAGTGGGAATGGGCCTGGCACTCAGGCATGTGGTGACATGAGTGAAGAGGAACCAAAGGTTCAAAGAGGTAAGGTGAGGCAGGGCTTGGAAAGTCAGGGAGGGCAGCCCGGCCACAATAAGGAAATAAGGAGCCCCTGTTTTGTTTTGTTTTTTAAAGATTTATTTATTTATGCATACAGGAACTGGGGTACAGGCCAGACATGCGGGGGGTGAAAGGATTCACCAGAGACAGAGTGGGGAACAGAACAGGCAGACTGACTGAAATACACTGCTGAGGGGAGCAGCAGGCGAGACAGGAGAGGTCTGCCTTGCCATGTGGGTTTCTCCCTGGCCAGCCGGGGATCAAACTCATGCTGCAGAGGCTGTGGATTGCTTCATAGTGTGGTGCTTAACCCTTGCGCCACCAGGGAGGCCCAGGAGCCCCTTTTTTGAACAGTGGAACGCATTAGGAAGGACTGTTTGAGGAAAGGAACCAGTTAAGCGGCATGAGGTCTCGGCCCAGAGTTATCATAAACATCAAAGAAATTTTTTTTTTTTTTTTTTTGTGGGACCCTTGCTGGTGGCCTGGGATCGAAATGGCGCTGCAGAAGCTGCAGGCAGCCTCACAACCCAGCGCTCAACTGCTGCACCACCAGGGGAGGCCCAACATCAAAAAATTTTTGATATTTCTGAAAGAAAACCCACCAAAAACAAATAGGCAGCCATACATGGAAACCCACAGTTTGGAGCCTGGTAAACTGAGGCACATTCCATACATGATACTTCATACCTTACAGTGCTGTCACACACTATTGCTTACTCCTTTTGGATAAGTAGTAATACCTTCTCTTGCAGAGACATCCGGAGACTTCCCCCAGTGACACAATGGAGCTGAGGTGTGGGGTTTTTTTTCTACTACCTCCCCTGTTGCAGCCTCCTGCCCACACAGCTACTCAACAGCATTCCTGACAGCAGTGCAGAGGACAATGGCATGTGGCACACTATTCTTGGCTGGGGACCTGAGGTAGGAGGTCCAGGAGGAAGAGCACTGCCTCTTCCTGAGGGAAGTGTTAAGGGATGGAGATGATGAGCAGAAATGGTGGGGAAAGCCTGCCAGGAGCGCCCTTTTTCTGGTGCAACCATAACTTACCTTCTCTTGGCTCATCCGTGTGTAGGTCACTCTTGGCGACACCTACATATGGGGAAAGAAGGGAGTTTAGAGCAATCAGGGGACTTAGTGTGGAGCATGGAGAGAGGACAGCAGGCCCCAAGTCGGGTTGGGATGGAGTCGGGTTGGGATGGAGACGCTAGCGACCGAGGTCCTCAGACGATGGCTGTGGAGGGGGTGGACTGTGAGGCTACACCAGCCTCCATCCTCTCTCCTCCACCTCCTCCAGGCTCCTACCTGTGGGGGCAGAGGCCACGGGCCCTCAGGGCAGTGGGCTTCAGCCTCCTCCACCGGTTCGGCTGCCACCTGTGGGTCCAAGAAGCAAAGCGGGCTGGGCGCGAGCCTCGGCGAGGCCCTGCCCCCTCGCTCCCCGGGCCCGGCCCGCAGGGGAGGGCTCCCAGCACCCTGCCCGCGCACCACTTCTTCCAGCACGAACTTTCGGCAAAGAACTTTCAGAGCCCGGGTGACGCCCTCTCCCCAGCGGGCTGCCTTACCTCACGAGGAGCCAGGAGTCCCGCCGCCGCTGCCAAGAGAAGCAGCCGGGGAGGAGGAAGCGCCATCCCGCCCGGCCCCGGGCGGGCCACCGGCTCTGCTAGCACGGGAGCGCGCGCGGCCCCGGAGCCCCCGCGCCCCGGCGACGGTCCGCGGGTCCACGTAGCCCCCGGGCTCGCGCGCGCCGCCCCGCCCCCTCCCCGCGCCGCCCCGCCCCGCCCCGCCCCCGGAGCGCGGCCCCTCCCGCCCCGCCCCGCCCCGGCCCGGCCCGCCCCGCGGCCGGCAGTGCGCGCACGCGTCCTAAACCCCGAGCCGGGAAAGTTTCGTGCGGGAGCCCGGCCCAAGTGCAAGGAATTGCGAGCACTCAGGGGCCGCCTCCCGCGCCCGGGCATTCGTCCTAGTGGGTCTCGGTGGCGGGTAGAGCGCAGCTGTGGCGTCTTGATGGGGCCATGGAACGGGGCGAAGGGTGGAGAATAGGATCCCGTGGACCCGGCTGCCCAAGAAGGGGATACCGGTCCTTCCCCCTCCCCCCACACCCGATGCAGATTGGCTAATGTGACCTGCAGCGGGAAGGGCGGCGTCCGGGCTGCGGAAAGAAGAGAGTTCCCTCTCCAGCGCTGCACCCCAGCCCGTCCACGCCTGCTCTTGCAATGAGGGGCAGGCCTGGAAGCGTCTCGGAGGCGCTCAGGTTCCACCTCCCACCGTCCGTCCATCCCCGCCCAGCAGCCCCAGCCGCAGCAGGCTGGGCCCCGGGGGTCTGCCGTGTCCCCCACCTCCTGCTCTGTTCTTAGCCGTCGGCGCATCGGTGGCCACCGCGAGTGAGATACAGGAGTCACAGGCTTCCACTGCAGTCGGCAGCGCTGACCACCCCTTCCAGGGCGCGGGCGCCCCCTGCTACCCGCTCCAGGGCCCGGCTCAGGGTTTCGAGAAAAGGCGGGAACGTAGGTGGAGGGTGAGGGTTGAGCTGTCCATCCCAAAACTTCGAAATAGAGCAAGGCCGTCTCCCGCGTACCTGTGACAGGGATTTTTCTTACCCTTTCTCTGTCCCACCAGTAACTGCCGGTTATCAAGCTGACCAAGGGGTTCCAACCCACCCCTGCCACGCCCCCATCGGGGGTGACTTGCACCCGTCTCGAAACCCTGAGTGCTTCCCTTGCCTCAGCTCATCCTCAGAGGCTTAGGACGATTTCTTTTGGGGAAGTCCTTGCTGGCGATCATTGTTGAGGATTTCCTCTATCTGAAGCCAGACTCCTGGGTTGCTTCGCGCTTCCGGACAGCTCGCGGACGCCGTCCCCCCGCGCCCAGGCACCCGCCACTCTTCGGCTGTCGGGCCGGGACGCCTGCCCCGGCCCTGGCTGGCCCTGAGCCGGACCCCCGCCCCCCGCCGCCGGGCTATTGCGCAGTTGCGGGTGCCCGCGGGGCGAGACCAACCCCGAGGTCAGAGAGCGCGGCGAGCGGGGGAGGGGGCGCGGCCGGCGGCTGGGGCTGCGGCTGCCGGGCGGGAGCCGGGAGTGCGCTCTGGGGCTGTGGTTTGTTCACTCTCCCTTCTGCTGGTTCTCAACAGCGGCCCCCGAGGGTGCAGCGACTCCCCCCACCCCGGCGGGGGGGCGAGAAGGGGGACTCGGGTGCTCGGGTGCTCATCCCCGTCCCTCCAGTCTCGCTCCCCGAGTGTTCCTCGCGTCTCTGCGCCCGCACCCCTCTCCTCGACTCGCCGCCCTCCCAACTCCTTCCCGACTCCGCTGTTGGCCTCGGCTCCTTTCACCCTCTGCCGCTGCTTGTCGCAATCTCTGTACAAAGGGCCGGGGGCGGGAGTGGGGGGCGGGCGAGGGGAGCTGGGCCCGAACTGGCTGCTTTCGGCGGGGCCGCGGCCAATCCGGAGCGCGCCCCCCCGCGCGGGAGGGCGCTGGGCGGCCGCCGGCGGCCGGGCGGAGCCGCGGGCAGAGCGTGGTGCTCGCCGAGGGGACGGCCCGCCGCTGCCGCCCGCCGCCGCGGGGGCTCTCCAGCCTCGCCATGCCGCCGTGGGGCGCCGCCCTCGCCCTCCTCCTGGTCGCGCTCGCCCTGCTCGGCCTGCTCGCCCCGCGGCTGCGGCGCCCCGGGAGACGAGCCGTCGGAGAGAGGACCCCGCCGGGGGCCGGGGGCCCAAACGACGAAGAGGAGTCGGACGGCGGAGGCCCGGCGGACGAGTTCCGCGACGGGCGCGAGCCGCTGCCCGGCGGGTGCAGCCTCATCTGTAAGCCGTCGGCGCTGGCCCAGTGCCTGTTGCGCGCCCTGCGACGCTCCGCAGCGCTGGAGCCCGGCCCGCGCTCCTGGCTCTCCGGGCCCCACCTGCAGACCCTCTGCCACTTCGTGCTGCCGGTGGGGCCGGGGCCCGAGCTGGCCCGGGAGTACCTGCAGTTGGCCGACGACGGACTAGTGGCTCTGGACTGGGTCGTGGGACCTTGCGCCCGGGGCCGCCGGGTCACCAACGCCGGGGGCCTTCCAGCGGTGCTGCTGGTGATCCCCAATGCGTGGGGACGCCTCACCCGCAACGTGCTGGGTCTCTGCCTGCTCGCCCTGGAGCGCGGCTACTACCCAGTCATCTTCCACCGTCGCGGTCACTACGGCTGCCCACTGGTCAGCCCCCGCCTGCAGCCTTTCGGGGACCCCTCCGACCTCAAAGAGGCAGTCACTTACATCCGCTTCCGACACCCGGCGGCCGCGCTGTTCGCGGTGAGCGAGGGCTCCGGCTCCGCGCTGCTGCTGTCCTACCTGGGCGAGTGCGGCTCCTCCAGCTACGTGACCGGCGCCGCCTGCATCTCTCCGGTGCTGCGCTGCCGCGAGTGGTTTGAGGCCGGCCTGCCCTGGCCCTATGAGCGCGGTTTCCTGCTCCACCAGAAGATCGCCCTCAGCAGGTGGGTCACCCGGGCCGCGGACGGTCGAGGGGAAGCGAGGTCTTGAGCTGATGGAGAAACAGTGGTGCCTGCTATTGAATCAAACAGGTTTAGGGCAATTCGGGCAGGGTTCTCCTTACACACTTTCTGAAGCTTTCAAACCTCTTAGTCTAGACAGAAACAGGGCATCAGGTTTAAAAGCCAAGGACTTTTAAAAGTCCATGGCTTTTAAACCTGCTAGAACAGGGATTCCTGCCCTGGGGCCCCCAGGCCGAGCTCACTTCAGACCCACCGTATCCTGGCAACCGAGCACCTGCCCGGCCGGCAGCAGAGGCAGCATCTGACATTTACCATTTAGTCCAAAGCTGGTCAAATCAGCAAAAAGGCTCTGGAAGCAACTGCAACGAATTATCTGTCCAAAATGTTTCCTCACAGTCCGAGACTGGAGAGGACACGAATCAGATAGCTGATGGTATTTATTAAAATTCTTAAGCCCTGACAAACATTTTACATATTCCTAGATATGTACTCAGTATTTGTTAAAGATTTATTTTTATTTATTTATGCATACAAGAACTGAGGTGTAGGCCAGAGGGGCAGAGGGTGAGAGGATTCACCAGAGACAGAGTGGGGAGCAGAACAGGCAGATCTACTCAAACACACTGCTGAGGCGAGCAGCAGGTGAGACAGGAGAGGTCTGCTGTGCCGTTTGGGTTAGCTCCCTGGCTGGGGATTGAACTCATGCCCCAGTGGCTGGTGGTAGTAGCTTGATAGCGCTGAGACTTTAACCCCTGCGCCACCAGGGAAGCCCTGTACTTAAAATTTAATACCAAAAAAAAAAAAAAAAATTAAAAGACTACCTAAACAATTTTTTTAAATCTCCAAAAGGAGAAAAGCTACTACTCAGGTGACAGGTCAGACTTTTCCACTGGGGAGGCCTGAATGGTATTCCCACAGTAAATATCAGGCCTCAGTTTGTACTGTTGCTTCCCTAGGAGTTGGCAGAATGAGGTAAATAAAAGACGTTTTGGCAACAGTGTGGTATGGCAAAAAGATCTGGGACTTAGGGCCAGACCCACTTGGATTCAAATCCTGAATTTCCAGCAAGTTAGCTAATCCTTTTGAAGCTCATTTTCCTCTTCAGTTAAATGGAGTTAATAATATCTACCTTTCAAGGTTGTTAAGCATTAAATAAAATAACAAAAGTGAAGGGCTGGCCCTGTGTAGGGGCATAGATAGCAACCCCTGGCATTCCTTTATTTCTTACCCCATTCTGCCTCCTGTTCTGAGGTCATACCCTAAGCTCTACATCCTCCCAAAGTGCTGCCATGGCAACCCAGAGACTCCAGAGCAGTGGAGGGGCAAGCTGTTCTCCTGTGGCTTAACTGCCATAGTTTCCATGTGTGAATGACCACCACCAGCGCTGCCCCTGGGCAACCGCTGGAGGAAAAGGTGAGGGAAGTAGAGACAAAACCCTAGCTTTCAGGAACTGCCCCGCCAGTGGTGGAAGTTTGGAAGTGAAAACTCGGGGCAAGCTCCTTTGCATGTTTGCAGGAGACACACCTCCAAATTCAACTGGTTAAGGCAGGATTGATGCACCCAAAGGATCAAGCTCCCCATTCTGGTCCCCTTGTTAGGGTTCCAGGCCCTCTCCAGGGCGGGGAAACAAAAAAGATACTCCTCTTTCCCATAGCAGATGCTTTCAGGCTTGCTGGAAGCCTGAGTGTGATCAAGGTCACACGCATTTGTCATCATCTGGATAGCTTATTACTTAAAATAAATAAACTAGTATAACCTAAAGTAAAATGTCAATGATGTGTTTGTCATCTGTTGGTCTGCATAGTCTGAGCTGGTGATTCCTAGGAGGGGTTCAGGAGGTTACAGTTCATCTCAAGTTCCCTCCAGAGGGTCAGAGGTGAGGTCAGAAAGAGAACCATCTCTGCAGCTCAGCAGCTATCAGTAAAATGCTGCCCCGGGGCTGGGCAGGTAGTGCCATGTACAGGCGTGGTAGGAACACAGGGTGGAGAGAGGAGGGTCCTGGTTGTGGCCCTAAGAAGTGCTAGCCCAAGGGCCTCCCTGGTGGTGCAAGGGGTTAAGCACAGCACTATGAAGTGATCAGCAGCCTCTGCAGCACAAGTTCAATCCACAGCCAGGGAAGTGACCCACATGGCACACCAGACCTCTCTCCTGGCTCGCCCACTGCTCCCCTCAGCAGTGTATTTCAGTAGATCTGCCTGTTCTGCTCCCCACTCTGTCTCTGGTGAGTCCTCTCACTTCCCGCATCTCTGGCCTGTACCCCAGCTCTTGTATGCATAAATAAATCTTAAAAAAAAAAAATGCTAGCCCAAGTTGCCAGATCTTCTCATTTCCCCAGAGAAGCCAGATACTTTATGTGAAATGTCCATGAAATAGCCAAGACAATGAAATGGAAGTTTTAAAAATACTATGTGGCCAAAGAAAGCCCCTGTAGCCAGAATCTGGCCTGTGGGCTGCCACTCTGTTCCTTCTGCTATCAATTTGTTTTCTTCCCTCCTTCCTAACTTCCCACTCAACTTCTCACTCCTAGGTACACCACAGCCCTGGAGGACATAGTGGACACTGGTAAGCTGTTCAGGAGCCGCTCTCTGCGAGAGTTTGAGGAGACGCTCTTTTGCCACACCAAGAGTTTGCCTATCAGCTGGGACACCTACTGGGACCGAAACGACCCGCTCCGGGATGTGGATGAGGCAGCTGTACCTGTGCTCTGTGTCTGTAGCGCTGATGACCCTGTATGTGGGCCCCCAGACCACTTCCTGCCCACTGAACTCTTTCACAGCAACCCCTACTTCTTCCTCCTGCTCAGTCGCCATGGAGGCCACTGTGGCTTTCTGCGCCAGGAGCCCTTGCCAGCCTGGAGCCACGAGGTCATCTTGGAGTACTTCCGGGCCTTGAGTGATTTCTTCCGAAATGAAGAGAGGATAAAAGCGCTGAGCAGGCGCAGAGCTTCATTCCTAGGGGGCCGCCGCCGCTGGGGAGCCATGCAGAAGCGGGAGGTCTCACCCTCTTCCAATCTGGAGGAGATCTTTAGCTGGAAGAGATCATATACACGGTGAGACCTGGCAGAGAAACCCCCAGTCCTGCAAAGAAGAGCAGAGCTGGGTTTGGGGGACTCTTGATAGGGTGGTTAGGACCAAGTGGAGCCAGCAGCAATCTTGTCACTGACTTAATCCTTCTCTCTTAAACTGGTCTGTGGAAAGAGCTAGAACTTCCAGCAAGCTGGCGCTCACATTTTACCCTGAGCAGAACTCCTGTCCAGGCTCTGTTCACATTCCTGGTCATGATGCCTATTCAGTGGCTGGGCATTCCCCATCACTGTCTCTTGCCACAGATCTCATAAGCCAGAGAATAACACCATTTAAGTCCATAGACTCAGAAGTGCTCTCTCACTAGGGTCACTGCAGAGTAGAGAAGATGAGTATTTGCATGTCATTAGGCAGCTCTGTCCCACGTAAATGCTCTATGGCCCTGATTCTCAAACTGGAGCCACTTGATGTAGCGAGGACAGGATGTTTGTGTCTCGGTCCCACTTCCCTCATTTTGCTCTGTGGTTGTGGCCTCTGCTGACTTCATGGGCGGCTGTGGAAGTGCGCTCACAGAGCTGTGCAGCCTCCTGTCTTACGTGAGTGAGAAGGGCAGCAGAGGCAGTGAATACTGCAGTGAGACTGGGTTGGTGAGGGCCACAAGGTAGAGTGTGAATGTCCAAAAGCTCCAGCTTTTCAGATGAACTCTGCAAAGTCTCGGGATAGGATTGATCTGGGCCTTCAGCTGGGAACCTCAAGACTCACTGGAGAGCTGAAGGATAATTTTAGGAATAGGAAGTCCTCACGCAGAAGGGTATAAAGGTTCTACCAGACCATAGCTCCAGAAGTCAGACTCTCAGACGCTCCAACTGCTCCCTTGGTATCATTTCAAAGGATTACTCCAGGGAGCTCTAGCAAGAGCTGCTTTTCTCCTGCGATGTGGGCTTTCTCTAACTAGTGAAATATATAAACCTCATCTTCAGTGTTTTCTGACCAGTTTTCTGCCCTCTTTTTGGATATTACGACTGCCACTCCTTCTCCCAGAGCCTGGAGAAACATTGGGACCAGAAAAAACAACCTAGAGTTTGGCTAGACCTGACATAGAAATTCATAAATGTTTCACATTACCATGCTTTTTTTCTGCTCACTATTCACATTGCCATCTGTGGAAATGTAGACAAGCTTTTTTCTTGATCTTGCCATTCGGTGACTGCGTGGGTGTTGGTTTTATGAGGAATAAACCCTGAAGATTGGAGTAAAATAAGGTAGTACACAGATTGATGTACACATCCTGGTTTGGATTAAGTCACTAAATACAACAGGAAATCTAGTTCCATGGGTTACTAAAAACTTTGCCCCGAGGCTTTGTCATTGGGAAAGAAGACACCTGTTTTGACAGGAAGCTGCACCCTGGAGTCAAACAGCAAAGCAGTTTTAAAATAATGTTTACCAAAAACTAGGTCCAAAGGTTAGCTATAAAGAATTCCCAGAGACAGGGTTTCAGGTGTGGATAACCATCCACCAGCCTAGCTCTTCTAGATCAAAATAAAGAAGGAACTCTAAACTATCCAAGAATTTAAACTGAAATGCAGACAACACTCGATCATCTTGCCAAGAGAAAATTATCTTCATTCCTCACGTCTTGCTTCTCTTCCACATTCCCATCTAAGCTTCTTTCACCATTTCTAGGCAGGAACAAATAAAAAGAAACTGACCTCTAAAGATCCCACTTCTGGTCAACCACCTCAGTGTTAAGCTTGATAGTGGGGAATTGCTGACATCTGCCCATACACACTTCTCCCCCAGCACCTGGTACAATGGGAATCTCGGTTAGTTAGAGTCCTAAAGTCTCATCTGCCCTAGGATTGTACAGAAATGACTGCAAAATGGGAAGCAACCCATGATTTGATGTACTTTGTGTAAGGATTAAATCTGGGTTGTTTCCCTAGGTCCAGTACAAGACTCTGGTTCTTCAAGATAATAACTTCTGGAGATATAATGCTTGCTTTTCCTTTCTCTTTTAATAGGAAACAGTTTGTGGGGGGCTTGGGAGTGGTACACACACACACACACACACACACACACACACACACACAACTTACAGCCTTAAAGCTTTCAGAATGGCAGACCTGTCCTAGTCCAGGCCCCATTAATTTCTTTGGACCCAAACCCTAATGACCTAATCATGAAGAAGAGCTAGGCTACTGGGTGGTTATCCATATCCCCTTGTGCCAGATGTGCTCGCTGCCTATCTCAGGAAGCTACTTCTCCCATCTTTCCATAATTGCGTCAGAGCTAGGGCAGAGCCCATTTTTGCTAAGATAGTTCCTATCTAATAGGTTTGGCTGACCCTGCCCATCACCCAAACTGGTTCTGCTTTGATCAACAGCTCATTATGTGACACCAGATGGAGGAACCCTGGGCATATTATTCTGGAAAATATGTGGCTTTTGAACAAAATAAGTTACAATTTTGAGAAAGAAAGAAAGAAACCCAGCCCCAAAGTGGCTATCACTGAGTTGAAGTTTTCCTGGTGGATCCTCAGGCCTTGCTCACTTGCTTGCTTCCCTTTGGTCTCTTCATTATTTATAAACACTGTCATATGGTAAAGGAAAAAGAAAACAAATGCAATGATTTAAAAGGGAGTGATTACCTCAGAAGCAGAGACTGAGTCCTCTATCTAACCATTGGATAAGAATGCAAGAAGCAGGGGCCTCCCTGGTGGCACAAGGGGTTAAGTCTCAGTACTACCAAGCTATCTACAGCACAAGTTCAATCCCTGGCCAGGGAGGTGATCCACATGGCACAGCAGACCTCTCCTGCCTCACTCCCTGCTCCCCTCAGCAGTGTATTTCAGTAGATCCGCCTGTTCTGTTCCCCACTCTGTCTCTGGCAAATCCTCTCACCACCCCCTCCACCCCTCTGGTCTGTGGATGGGTGGTTAACAATACCAGTGATTAGTCTACCCTAGCTCTTGTATGCACAAATAAATCGTAAAATAAAAATCCAAGAAGCAGACAACTGCCTCTGAAGACTGTTTTAAGTTCTGAAAGTTCTGACATCTGATACTGAAGATTGTGCTAAGCTACAACTTAATTGTCCTACTTATGATTTTATGTCTTTTTACATAGCTTTCCAGATTAACTTGTCTGGACTTGACAGGATGAAAAACAAAGAATCAAATCTTCACTTTGGAAAGATATCATCTATTTTGAGTGAAGATAGCATTTTTAAGACTTGAGTACTGTTAGAAAAAAGGTCTTGACACAGGAAGTGTCATTTTGGCTTTACATATAACCTCAACGCCACCCCAGAGTCAGATGCTCCTCTGTACTCATCTGCCACCCTGAACACAAGATCCTCTGTCAGTCATCCTTAGTAATGTCACAATAGCTTTCTTTAGAAATGAACATTAGCATGAATTTTTCTCCCTGCTAAAGCAAGCAGATATAGTTGGCCACTTTTATAGAACATGATTAACAATACCAGTGATTATTCTACAAAGTCACAAAAGATGACATCAGAAATTATTTTCACACTTGTTAACACAATTTGCAGAGATAAGATTGCTTTGAAGAAGGCTTGAGAAGTTTTATCTATACCCCAGTGCCTGGAGATGGAATGAGTGTCTTGGGAAGAAGTCAGTCCCACATCATCAGTGGGATATATAGATTGCCACTTGGCACCACAGAGGGAAACTGCTGAGAAATGAGAGGAGCCTAGATTGCTAGAAGTCTCTTCTCAGCTGAGTGTCAGTGAATTGAAATACTACTAATGAGCTCAGTGAGTTGTAAACATCTGGTTGGCTCGAGTTTGAGGATCAGGAGACCACAGACCTGATGTGGATTCTGGGAGTTGGGAGAGGACATAAATGTTTTAATGAAAATAATACTGCCAAAGTGGCCAGATGATGTTTTTAAGATATTCAGTAATTATTCTGTAATATAAAGGTGTTTAGGAGGAGCTCCAATTCTGAAGGTGGAATTTCACTAAAACAAACTATAAAAAAACACTACCATACCAATAATAAAGAAATCTCTGCCCCTCCAGCCTTCCTGTGCATTGATACCTCATCCTAGTATCTATCACTACTGTGGCTGAATAAAAATTTTCTAACTTGCCTCTGAATAATAAATATATTGCAGTTTCCCTGCAACAATGGAATGTCATTATTTTCTAAATCTCCAGAAACAAATATGTGCTGTTTGTCTTCTCTCCCTGCACATTCTCTATTCACTGCATGTTGCTTCACTTCTGTAGTTCTAACCTTTTTGTGCCCTAACACTAACTAGTGGCAACTCTGTTTAATCAACAACTAGGCCTTCTGCTCTGGGCTAATAATTTCCCAGCAAACTCAAAATTCCCAGATCATCAATGATACTTAGAGCTATTTTCCAGCGGGCAATTTATCATTTGTGTCAGATAGAGTGCTGAAGTAGTTTGGAAATGTGGGTTCTAGTTCTACTTCATCTGTGATTCATTGACCTTGGGAAAGTTAATATATGAGATGTTCCGTATGAAAAGACATACTGTGTATAGGCCTTAATTTATAAGCTTTATTTTTAGGATATAATGAGCAGGTAAAAGCAGACAGAGCCCACTTTCCAAGTCTATTTAATTTCTTAACTAGAGTACAGACTTCTCCATGATGAGGTAGCATCTGCTTTCTGATCTGAATCCATTTTCCAATACTTACAAGGCCAAAAAGTTCCAGTTATTAAAACCACCATAAAGTTGGGAAGGACCTGAAGAGTACCCACCTTTGAGACTCATGGGCTGAGTTCTGTGTTGCCTAAGTGAAGGCAAACTCTCCCATACCCGGCTCCTACACATTCAACTCTGATAACCATGTTATAGCTGATAGGTTTCATGTTGGTTCACTTGTTCTCGCCCAAAACCTTATCTGTTTCTTACAGATGAAGGTCAAGAGAGGATGTGACTTTAAATTTCTTACAATTAGTGATGAGGCTAAAGACCAGAACCCAAATCAGTGCTTTATGGCATACTTTACCTGCCCCTGCTTAGTCAATCACTGGCTGAGTTGACAGTACCCATTTTAGACTTTGTAATGCAAACGGTGTTAACTAAAGGGGAATTTCTCTTTCGAACTGCTGGAGTGCACAAATCAACGGGGAAGCCACATACACACAAATCTAGAAAAGGTACCACTACACTTACTGCACAGCTTCAACACTCTCAGCAGCTCTGCCACCCTCTATCCATTAAGAACAAGTACCTGGAAACACAGTAGCATCAGGACACAGGGAAAACCATGGTTCTGCAGCTTGTTTCACTTAGATGTAGGCAAAAGCATTAGTTTGTAGTAACTGGGGCAGTGGAGCTAGCCAACCCCTGTGGTAAATTCTTATTTATGTTCAAATTTCTTTTACTGTCAGATAGGACAGGCTTTTATCCATAAAGAATAACCCAGAGTGTCTCTGATATGTTTAGCCAATGCAACATTTGTTTTGGGTTGACATGGGCTAAAACAGCTTAGAAGCACATTTGTATAACACTCCTTCCACTGCAATTTGAAGAGTTCCACTGTGGGGTGAAGCCCAAAGCAATCTTGTTTTTTATTTTATTTTTTTTAAGATTTATTTATTTATTTATTTATACAAGCACTGGGTACAGTCAGAAGTGCGGGAGGGTGAGAGAATTCACCAGAGCCAGAGTGGGGAGCAAAGCAGCCAGAAGGACCAAAGTACACTGCTGAGAGGTCTGCGTGCCATGCGGGACCCTCCTCCAGTGGCCGGGGAGCAGCTGGGGATCGAACCAGCATCGCAGAGGCTGCGGGCAGCTTCGCAACCCAGCGCTCAACCGCTGCGCCACTGGGGAGGCCCGCAATCTTATTTTTTAAACCCTTCTGAGGTTCTCCAAATTTAAGCTGAGATGCTGAGAATGCTGGATATAAAAGGCCTGGAAATCTGACCCAGGTAAATGAAATACTCTATAAATGTTAATCTCTCGGGCCTCCCCGGTGGCGCAGCGGTTGAGCGCTGGGTTGCGAAGCTGCCCGCAGCCTCTGCAGCGCCGGTTCGATCCCCGGCTGCTCCCAGGCCACCAGAGGAGGGTCCCACATGGCGCGCAGACCTCTCCTGCCGCCCGCTGCTCCCCTCAGCAGTGTACTTCGGTCCTTCTGCCTGCTCTGCTCCCCGCTCTGGCTCTGGTGAATTCTCTCGCCCTCCCGCACTTCTGACTGTACCCAGTGCTTGTATAAATAAATTAAAAAAAAAAAAATGTTAATCTCAAAAGAAAACGCATATTAACATTATTTGGAGTTAAAAAACTGTTAAAAGCACCATTTTCTGAGAATACTCAATAAAGTATAAGATAATCTTTGAAAAATGACAAACTATTTAAGAACATATAAATCCTAGCCCACAAAACCACCTTCCACCAATTAGCCGTCTGACAAAAAAAACAAAACAAAACAAAAAACTGAATAGCATTTTAATCAATAGGCTGGAATAGATGATCTTCCTATTTAGGGCTAAACTATGACTATTATCAAATCTGGGAAGAGAAGTCCAAATGAAATGAGCTTTTGAGGGTTTGTACAAGGTTCAAGAACTACATACATTTGTATGTCCATTTGTGTAGGAGTTGTAGTTACGCAGACAACAACACAGGTCTATATATAAAACTTAAGAACCTGTATCAGACTGTCAGAACCTAAGTAGAATCATCTCATACACCCAACACAAAAGACCCTGGGAAAACAGAACTTAAGGCAATGAGCCTAGCGAGTTGATGTCTACACCTGGGAGTTAACACCCATATCTTACTCACTTTGTAACCCCAACATCTAGCACAGCATCAGAAATTCAAGCACAGCATCTAGCACAGCATCAGTAATTATCCAAAAGCTAGTCACTGAATTCAATCATACTTTATCATTTCAGAAATAAAATTACTTTAAAAAAAAAAGAGCAGACACTCTGTGTACTAAAATTACTTTATTACAGTTGATTTTTTTAAACATTTCCTTTGCTATGATACAAAGGATACTTACAAACAAAATATTACATATGACCTTGTTTTCTCTCTTATGTTTTGACAACTTGGTAACAGTTTTAAATGCACAATCTATACAATTAATACAGGTTATATATGAACTATAAGGTATGTTGAACCAGAAGAATACTGACAATATACTGTACAATAAGCCTTACCAGTTAGTGCTGCGGACCATTTCTACCAAAAGGAAAATGCACATCTGTACAATCACCTTTACCAGCTGGTACTGACAGTGAGGGAGAGGCTTCTTCCTCATTGCAACCCTTGATAAGCCTCCACTGTGGGTTCTGTTTGGTCCGAAAATTGTGAGGACTGTGTATATTTAAAACTAGTCATTTAATAAAGTGGCAGAAAACCATACTTCAACATAATTTCTCACAAAAACAAAACAAAACAAAAACAACCCAACAACAAACCAGTCCTAGTTTTAAAAGACCACAAGTCCTCCATCCACTATGAAAACCCTACAGGCTCAAGGGCTTTGGAAGATGAGAAGATGAAGGCTGCCAAAAAGGAGGCAAGAAACCAAGCCAAAATCTAGGTCTTGCAAAATCATCGTTTTTTTCCCTTCACCAAAGGGAACTAGAAATGTACAAATTCATTGATGAACCTCAATGATAGCATATCAGTTAGCTGATAACCTTCATTTTATCTGGACCCTTAACTTGTGGGAATAACTGAGATTGTGAATAATACATACCACACTTTTAGAAAACAACAAAAGAAAACCTCTTACTAATATTCCCTTTTAGCCACCAAAGCTGGTCCTGGGCTATTACAGGTGTGCATTCATCTCTCAATGGTCTACTCAGAAATGATAAGGTTACAGCTTTTTTTCTTTTCTTTTTTTCTTTTTAAATAAAAAAGCAATTGACTGAAGCATTTCTTTGTTTAGGTAAATAGCAAAAATAAAAATAAAAACCAACCCTGGCATTTGCACAAATAATGCAAATGGAGCGATATGGCCTTTAAGGTAAGGGGTTAGTAAAAAGAAAGTGAGAAGTGAAGAAAATCCGGAGAAAATGATGTATTAATTTTTCTTCTTAAAAATTTCTACAATACATGTGCAAAAAAATCATGCTGCTTGAGGAAAACAATGGAAAATGAGTATATAAAACTAAAAACATAAATAATATGTTTGGATGACTGGTAAAAGCAGAAACCAACCTGGGTTACAAAAAGGATTATACATTCAAGATGCTCTTAAACCCAGTGGGATAACTTATGTTAAAATTGTGTTAATAGTTAATGTTAAAAATCTCAAGTTTGTTTTTAAATCTTCACAATACAAGCAAAGCTGTTTTAAAATATACACTATACATATTTCTCATAGTCTCTCCAACCTTATTAATGCGCATTAGGCTATCTTTTTCATATACTAAAACAATGGGGTTCTGAAAGCTAAATTGCTCAAAGTAACCCATCCATTATTTAAATGTTCCTTAAATTTTAAATGGGTTAAAATTTTTAGCAGACTTACATAAATAGGATTTAGCAACACAAGTGTTAATTTAAAAAATTCTAAAGCATTTACAAATTATCAGGTTGGAATAGTCTTGGGAAGTTATGTGCACTATACTTTAAATGTTATTTACATCAGACCATTGCTTTTGTAAAAATTTCCCTAGGATAAAAAAACAAATTTGGAGAAGTAACCTGTTTTCACTTAGAAGGATCATAAAAGGAAAGGTAAAATAAGAAAATTATCTCCTAATAGAAACCCCACATACCCTCTCCACTTGAATTTTGCCCTATGAAACCAACTGCAATTCCTAATAGGCTCATATAGCAAATGTCAAGATAAATTACTGGCCTCAAGGGGGATCTCCCCACCCCCATTTTCCCACCTTGTGTCTCTGGCTTGCATTATTTTCCAAAACATGTATAAAAGTGGAGGGGCACTCTAAGTAGGCACAATTTCCATTTAATGTGTAATAAAAGGTATAACATAGAATGCTGTTGGGGAGAAGGTGTGATCGTTTCTTTGATATTATGAAATGCAAGGAAGCACATTTGGAATGGGTACCAAAACAGCTCTCTGGCAACACACCAGGGGCAGCCAACATCTTAAATGAAATATACTTGTCCATGACAAAAAGGTATTAGAGAGTTCCAATATACCCCAGGGTTGTTTGATATGTGCCAAATAGTCACATGGACCAGCCAAAATCTACAAATACTAAGCAGTTATATCCTTTTTAATCACATAATTCACTCCATGACCATGTGCAATTTATAGTAACAGTAATGTTCATGCTGAGGCAATGTATTTGAGGGCTCAGAAAAAGCAAAATGTGCTACTGAGAGAAACCTGTTCCCACACAACAGTTCTTCATGCTTTCAAGTGGCCCTAATATACCTTTGATGCTAAGCCAAGCCATGCAAAAGCAAAGAGTACACACTTTTCATTAACATTGGTATCTCATTTCTAAACTCCACTGATCTCAGAGTTGCCATAGAAACAAAAGTACTGAACACATACAAATGAGGATTCATGGATTTTTTAAAAAAGTATTTCCCTCGCCTATGTTCAGCAGCCTTTAATATGTTAGGCTACAAGGCATATTCAGAGAAAGGTTAAGTGGGGATAGTGAAATAGGGACAAAATGCTCCAGAAATGGGATTAATGTGCCAGCAATAAGCATAGTTCATTTCATGTGAAAATTCAGCTGGAGAGCCCAATAAACAGTTCCAAGCCATAATGTTACCACCTGCATAACTTACATAAACATTAAAACTCTTGCACTTTATAGACAAAACACACTTCTGTAAACATGGCCACTGGGGGAGGGAGGCTCCCTATCTCATTCATGATTGAGGACATGTAATCATTAAATAAAATGACTTCACTTCAAAAGATTGAAAACCTGACCAATGATTAAGCTTCATTTCCCCTGTTTAACAACACTTAAGCATTAATTCTAAAAATGTCACCTAGGATGGTTTCAGGGTTAGATGCTAGGACCACAACTGGCAATGACAGCAACTCCTCTCTAGCTGGCACAGACTTATAAACTTTAGTACAAAAACAAAAAAATACAGAAACTAGGTCAATTTGTTAGCTACATATTTACAGATAATTACATGATTTTTCACTCACAATTGCTAAAAACTATGAGCGAAAAGGAAACTGTGCAGGTTGAACTACCCGTACTTTGGGGGGAATTCTTGGGCACCTAGATACCCTTTTCATTCATTCAGAAGTCTCTTCTCTCCATTTTTTTTGTGGCAAACTACCTACAGATGTCCAGATTGATATATCCAGTGGGCATCCTGTTTCAGAGAGGATGAACCTTTTTATTTAAAAAATTTCGTGTATTTAAAAACTAAAACAAAATAAACCCAACACAATCAGACACATACACACACACAAATCTCTGACACTTCAAAAAGTTAGGATTGCTGGGAAACAGTTAACAGTGATGGTGACATAGTAAATGGCTCCCCAGTTTTAATCCTCTGCCTTTATTTTCTTTAAAGAATATCTACTTTGGGGTGGGTGGAAGGGAAGTGCAAGTTTTAGAAACCCACAACAGGCAGATAAGGTGCATACCAATTCATGTATTTCTTATGATCTGAAGGCTACTAAGTCAAATAGCTCTCTTCCCTTATTTGAGTAAAAATTATTTTGCAAAATTTTGAATATAAACCAGAGAAAAATTAGTCAATGAGACTTTAAAGGGGGCTACCAGAATTCAGTAGAAAATATGAAACACAATAAAGGAAGAGTTCTCAGCTTCACTTTCTTTTTCTGGACAGTGTTTAATAAAATATACCTTTTTACAAATTGAGTTATATCCAATGTAGACCTATTGTAGTGATTTCATAAAAGTGCAGACAACATAACCAGACACACAGCAAAATAGACTTCAATCAGTAGTCCTTGCATACAAGAGGCAAATCTGTTAAGTGTACAGCACACTCTTCATCCTTTAAGGAATCTGAGGATGGGAAATTTCCAGTTCTTAACTAAGAGCAAATGAGTGCCTTTTCAAAGGCAATGCTACAATCTGGTTGGAGGCATGTTAGATGAGGGAAAACAAAAAGAAAATTTGTTTCTCTTTAAGAATGATCTGTATTTTTGTAAGCAATTCAAGGACAGTCCAAGTTTTGGCTTTGTTCCTTAGGAGAAGGCAGTTTTTTTTATCTAAGAAACAAGAACCTCTTCTTCCATCATTATAGGAGATTCACACTTACACATCTTAAATATATTATTTTCTCACTTGAATACACACTATACACTTCACATTGTGAGCCTGGGACAAAAAGCAGGACCATGTAAACCTCCCAGGAAAGGATTGCTGTGTTGGGTCAAATCTCTGCTTGAATAGTAGTGGCTCAGAAGAGGTGAAAGGTGCACGAAGAAATTACTATTAGCAAGCAAGAGGAGGCAACTAAAGGGGGAAAAAAAAACATGCCAATAAAATATCCTTCTCTCCCAGTGGCCATTTCCTGTTGATTTTTATTGTTTAGGAGAACCTTAGATGCTTTAGCAATAATTCCTTTCTTGGCTGTTTTGGTCCTTAGCAAAATTTATAACTGTTAGTAATAAAGAAGTTAAATGAGTAAGAGGATGAACATCATTACTACTAAGAAATACATCTAAAGCACACATGAAGATTGTGTGACTGCTTCTTTTAATCATCTTGCAGAGGAATCACCATCAGTGTTTTTCATTTCCAAGGTTCATTTTTCTCTGCAGCACTTATCTTTTACTGCATAACAACCCAAACTCACAGAGACACTAACTGGCTCCTTCCCAGCACAATTTTACTGCATTTCAACTTATGGTTCCACATTTTATTTAACTTTCTTTCCACTCACACAATTGCTAAGAGAGGATTAAAAAAGAAAAGATTGAATCTAGCGAATACCTTCTCATAAATATCAACCCAGAGTACTCATCTTAAGAAACACATGCAGTCTTTTCTCAACTGAGGACTGAAATAACAAAACAAAGTAACAGAACCTTAAGTGCCCTGATGGAAATGTACAGTATGAGTTACATCCATCTATCTATACACACAGACACTCATATGTATATACAATATATACATACAAATGATAATAGCTATACCAAAAAATGTGCATATTTAACACAGTTTTAAAAAGCCAGTAGAATCATGGTATAATACAATTTATTTCCACTAGTGAATGGCACAAATGGAGAAATGCAAAGGAGGTGTTTCAAGTACAATAGTTATTTTTCACAGGTGAAAATAAACAGTATTATTCCAGTGTCCAACACAATGTATTCTATAAAAGTTTAAAATGCCAGACATTTAGTATGTAAAGAAGTTGAAAGTTACTAAAGTCTGCGTTATGGTATGAAAAAGACAAGAGTTTTCGGTTTTTGGAAGGGGGGGGTTTAAGGAAAAATAGGTGGGAGTGGCAAGCAGTGTAAAAGACAGTTTCTTTAGTGTACTGAATGGTATTTACCTGTCTAGGCAGTCGAAAATCCTAATGATTATGCTAAAAATCACAATTTACCAATCTATCCTTGGCCTAGAATATAAAATTATTAGACCTGTGAGTGTGGCTTCAAATTAGGACTCTTCATCTCAGCATAGAAATGACTAAAAAGAATGGCAGCTCTAACAAAAAATAATGCAAACACATTTTCCAGCGAACATTATAATGAAAATATTTTTAGATACTATAATCTGGAGTTAGAGTTAACTTTAACCAGGGGAGAAAAAAATGATGTGCAAAAGGGAAGGAACCCAATCAGGAATAACGTATTTCAAGGTATGAGGCTTTGTATTTTTTAAATGCTAACTAAAAAGGGGGAGAGACAGTGAACACAAACTTTTTACTGCCAAGCTCTGGATACCAGATATAGCATTTATGACTTTCTGATATGCTGGATAAATTTCCCATACTTTAATTTTTTTTAAAAAAACACATACATAATGAGTGAACATCAACACTGGGAGGAGGTAGTATTAATTTGATCAAATGTTGACATTTGCACACTGATTCAGAAAGTACCTGCTTCTTCCCTTAGGATCTGTCAAAATCTTTCAAACTCTCCTGCTACAAATTTAACTTTTTGTTGATTCCTGCCATGTTACTGAAATTCATCAGATCTTACAAACATGAAAACCAATTAATATGAATCATTTTTGCAAACTATGTTTTAATTAAAATTAACTTACAGAATAACCTAGATATAGCCCTACTGAATATATATAGGGAATCAGTATTCAATCATACCTTTACAAGTACATATGATACGAATGAACTCAGTAACTGAGTTTGATTAAGTCCACAAGTGGATTTTGACATGTATCATGGATATTTTGGGTCTTAAACAGTTTATAAGCAAAACTGACCTGCTTCCTTATTTCAACCTTCTAGTACTACAGAGGGACCAGATGCAACAAGGCATTCTATTAAGAATTTTTTAAGGCATCAAATTCCATTATATTTTTGGATATTTTATTAATTCTAAAGCTCTCTCCTATAATTTTCTTCCAAGTAGGTATACATTTCAATTTGTTTGAAATATTATAAAATATTTTAATGGAAAAAAGATACTGAGGAAATTAAAAGGCCCTTTCATTAGACATGTCGTACAAATACATGCCAAGTTTATATAAAAACTGGAGAGCATGAGCATGGCCAAGAGGAAAATGTATCAGAGTGATACTTGAAACTCTGCCTAAAATTGCCTGAGAATTCTGTGGTCTTGATTTTGAAAAGATTTACATTAAAATATTAACCTTTCTTCAAATTACTATCGAATGAATGCCAGAAACTCCAAAAGGGAAGGATTTATGGAGACTGGAATATGCCTGGAGAAGACTTAAATTTGGTTAAGAAAACCAGTGCATCAATAGTGAGAGATTACTGTTTGATCATTAGACTATCTAGGTGAAAAGTATCATCAAGCAAGGTTTAGAGAATTCTACCTTGGAGTCTTCTGACTTTATGAAAAGCAGGATCCAGCATTAGCAGCAAGAGTTCTTCAAGACAACTGGGGAGGGAGACAGTAACTCATAAGAAACTCTGATCTGTCACTGAAAAGAACATGTTTTTTTCTTCAAGTCATATTCACACAGCTTTCTACCCTCCTCCCACTCAATTTCCACCTTGACTGTAGAATACCAAGTAATATCTGACTTTCAGCATTGGGTTGATCCTTCATTACAAAACACAACACAACACAACTGCCTCTCTCTGGAAAAAAGTTAGCTTTGTCAAGAGATTCCCTGACTATTATAACTTACTTTTCTTCTTGTTTTAATCTGTCAAACTTGCTAGTTCCTTTTCAGTAGTACTTTAGCACTGAGGCTAGAGACTTCCGGAAGTGGTGTTTCCTATTGTGGGACACTAACATTATGCCAATGGTCATTAAGTCTCAAGGAACTAGAGTTGAACTAGACTTACATCAGGAGTTTGTAAAGTACTGCAGCAACAAAAACAGCAATTTTTTAAAAAAGGAGGATCTGCACATGCAGCAAAATCTACAGTGGTGATGAGGATTAGCCAGCAGCTGGTAAAGTCATTGGCTCAGTGATTCCTGGTTCACTATGGCAACTAAATATTTAAATAATTGGCTAGTCTACTTGTAAACAGGAAATCCCAAAAGCCAAAAAAAGTGTTATCAAATTGTCTATGTAGTGTGATGAGAATTCCAATAGATGGCAGTTTGCAAATATGGCATCATTTAAATACCTCTGGCATTTGATTTGTATTGGCTATATGTCTTTGTTTTTGTACAGAGTAAAATTACTGATGAGGGATTGGGAATTCTAGAGATTACAGATATCACAGTATAAGCAACAAAATATCAGGATATACAGGTTTCATCTCCTCACTTTGCTGCTGAACATACCCACCATATGAACTTTCAGGAGCCTCTGTCACCCTCTGGTTCCCTTTAGAGGCTCACAGGTTCACTGATGCAATTTCCACAAAGCCTGTGATTTCCTTAAGCACCTCCATCTCACCAGGCCACAAAGAAGGCACAATTGAATGGACACACACACACGAATACAAACGCCCAAAAATAAAAACAAAACCAACAGCCTATGCAGCATCCAAAGAAATAACTGTTTTCTACTTTGTGAAGAAGTCAATGCAACCCTTTAGTGTTCATAGATACCAGCTTTCTTTTTTTACTCTAAATGAGGCTGAGAAGTCAGACCAATTTAATTAAGAAAATAAATTGGTAAAAGGATATAGGTGTGTTTCTATAACATGTTTCAGCATATGCTGCCTGCTGTGAGTGGCTCATAAGAATTTAGGATATGGAGAAAAACTTTAAATCTTTTCACAAACTTCTTAGATATAGTTGCCCGAAAGGGATGACTCAAGCCATTGCATTCTATTTTTGTTTTGTTTAGAATATACCCCTTTATCTAGCCAATTTCTTTTTATCACATGCATGATATGCATGTGTGTATATATATGCATATATATCTATACAGATATATACATATCTATATACAGATATATACATATATATCTACACACACACACATATACATACATACACACACACACACACACCCCAATTCCCCCTTTCAAACTTTCTCCAAAAGTTAAAATTAAAAACAAAACCCGGCAGCCAAATACTATGACATCCCAATTAGTAAACACAAAACAGAACGCTTTACAAAAATGAATAAAATATAGCATATGCACTCAGCTTCCACACTGTAGTACCCAAGTGAGGAGGCTCATGGTACGATGTCTGTAGGCAGTTTCTTTTGGCAGACAGCTCCAGCGGAATTGCCACTTTCAATTATTAAGTTATGTGTAAGACATATGTGACCCATTGGATATTTGTGAAGTGACACTCGTGCTTCTGCTCATGCCCTGCTCTGTCCGTCCCCCAGAAGCTGTCCGCCTCAGTGCCTGGGGGCTATTGCGGACTCCCATACTGCTACCTCGGGGTACCCCTTGCATTGGCCCTGAGGGGTGACCCCACGGCTGGGGTCCACCTTGCATTGGATGACCCCAAGCTTGTGGTGGGCCACCCATGGGATGACCCCAGTGAGGTGCTGGACCCCCAGTAGGATTGTGAGACCAACCAGAAGCTCCCGGGTAGCTGTGGCTGAATGCCTCAGGGGAGAGATTAGAAAGGACCATGTTACTAAAACCTAGTCTCATGCTTTCAGAGTCAAAAGCTTCAATTTCTCTGGCTTGACGCTCCAGCAGGCTTCGTATTCGTTCTGTGCGTTCATTCTGCAAAGCCAACATTTCTTCTTCAATCTGTTGAGGTTGGGGAAAGGAAGTAAAAAGTAAATTGATTTGTTTTTTAAACTCTATAAACTAAGGAAACAGTAATTACTCAGCTTCAAAGTGAATCATAAAAAAATTCCGGCTATTTTATGTAGATTAAAAATCCAAGAAATGAAAGAATAACATGTAGTGTGTATTTTTAAAGTATGAAAACCAAGTTCTTAAAAACAAAGATAACTTGAGGGGCCTCCCCGGTGGCGCAGCGGTTGAGCGCTGGGTTGCGAAGCTGCCCGCAGCCTCTGCAGCGCCGGTTTGATCCCCGGCTGCTCCCCGGCCACCGGAGGAGGGTCCCACATGGCACGCAGACCTCTCCTGCTGCGACTGCTGCTCCCCTCAGCAGTGTACTTAGGTCCTTCTGCCTGCTCTGCTCCCCGCTCTGGCTCTGGTGAATTCTCTCACCCTCCCGTGCTTCTGACTGTACCCAGTGCTTGTATAAATAAAATAAATAAATAAATCTTAAAAAAAAAAAAATTCTACTTAAAAAAACAAAAAAAAACAACAACAAAAAAAAAAACAAAGATAATTTGAAATAGATTTTTTTTTTTTTTTTGTGGGACCCTCGCCGGCGGCTGGGGAATGAACCAGTGCTGCAGAGGCTGCAGGCAGCCTCGCAGCCCAGCGCTCAACTGCTGCGCCACCAGGGGAGGCCCTGAAATAGATTATTATTAAATAATCATCATCAATGGTTACTAAATCCATTAGGTAAAAAGCTGAAGTTGAATGGAAAAGAAAATGGGTGGGGCCTTCCTGGGGTGCAGGGGGTTGAGTGCAGTGCTGTGAAGCTGTCTGTGGCCTTTGCGGCATGAGTTTGATCCCTGGCCGGCCAGGGAGCAATCCACATGGCGTGGCGGACCTCTCCTGTCTCATCTGCTGCTCCCCTCAGCAGTGTATTTCGGTATATCTGCCTGTTCTGCTCCCCTCTCTCTGGTGAATCTTCTTATCCCCCGTGACTCTGACCTGTACCCCATTTCTTAAAAAAAAAAAAAAAAAGAAAATGGGTGAGAGAAAACTAGTTTTATCAGACATACCACAATGTCATTAATAAAATAAATATTGTGTTAGTGCAGGAACAGACAATGAGTGAAATAGAAAGAGAATGAAGATCTCAGTTTGTAGGTTTTTAATGCAGGACAAGATTTTTTTAAAAACAAATAAGAGGAGCACAATTGGTCAACAATATGGAAGGAAACAAAAAAGGAAACCCATCTCAAGCATTTATAAAAGTATATTCCAGATGGACCAAAACCTTCTGTGAAAAAGACTATAAAGTAGTCATTAAAAATTTAGTAGATTCTAGGGCCTCCCCGGTGGCGCAGCGGTTGAGCGCTGAGCTGAGAAGCTGCCCGCAGCCTCTGCAGCACCAGTTCCACCCCCGGCTGCTGGTGAGGGTCCCACATGGCATGTAGATCTCTCCTGCCGCACCCGCTGCTCCCCTCAGCAGTGTATTTAGTCGGTCTGCCTGTTCTGTTCCCCGCTCTGGCTCTGGTGAATTCTCTCACCCTCCTGCGCTTCTGACTGTACCCAGTACTTGTATAAATAACTAAATAAATCTTTAAAAAAAATTTTAAAAATTTAGGATATTCTATATACCAAGAAATTAGTACTGAACAGGCATGATAATCAATTCTGGAAAACCGAAAAGTACTACGGCTAAATAAAGTTGGCTAAAATATAATTCATAATAAAGTCAATAAATAAAGGGGTTCGAAAGAAGTTGACGGGAGAATATTTTTATGTTCAGATGATCAGACTGACAATGCCTGAAGCCACTGATCAGTATTAATATCACTTAAAAGTATGCTAGACATTATCTCCTGTTGTGATGTGAAAGGAAAAACACCATAATCCTTATTAAAAAAATCCCCTGAAAACATGTTTTAAAAGAAATTAAATTTAAAAATAACTATGCCTCTAGATCTAATTATGAGTTTATAGGAAATATGAAGTAAGGGAGAGAGGAATACGTTAAGTGACACTATGAGGATAAAGTCAGCCTGTGAGAATTCCAACAGAGAAATCAATCCATAATTTAAAAAAAAAGGGGGGGGGGATACCTATTATAGACCACAAGATTTGAAAGACAAATCTAATGCAAAGTCTAGACCTTATTTGACCCCAATACAAATAAACCAGTTGTAAAGAAGTTTTTTGTTTTTTGGTTTTTTTTTTTTTAAGATAAAAGGGGAAATTTGGGCATGGACTGGTAGATAACATTACAAATTTAGCATTAATTTTGTTATATATCGGGACCTCCCTGGTGTCGCAAGGGGTTAAGACGCAACCTATGAAACTAACCGCAGCCACCGCAGCACAGGTTCGATCCCCGGCCGGGGAGCAATCCACATGGAGCAGCAGACTTCTCCTGACTCACCCTCTGCTCCCCTCAGCAGTATATTTCAATAGATCTGCCTGTTCTCTTCCCCACTCTGTCTCTGGTGGATCCTCTCACCGCCCGCACCTCTGGCCTGTACCCCCATTCTTGTATGCATAAATCTTAAAAAAAAAATTTTGTTATATATCACAATGTAATTATAGTTGTTAAAATCAAAAAGTCCTTATCTATATTCAGGAGTGAAATGCTGGGATTTGCTCTCTCCTGTCTTCCCTCAAAAGTTGTGTGGAGAGCAGAGGAACAGACAAGAAAAAATTAGCAAACTACTGGTAACTATTGAAGGTACATGATGAGCATTTGGGAATTTCAATACACTATTTTCATATATTAGAGACTAGAGTAGAATGCAAGTTTATCAGGAAGACATGGGGAGGCAAAGATATTTCAGCAGAGAAAACATGCACAAAGGCATGGAAAAATGATAGCATAGAAGTATCTAGGGGAATTAAAATTAGGCCAGAATGGACTCTAAAAGAAAAGCTTGAAATTATTGAAAATTTTAAGTACCAACATATTACAAAGGTCTAAAAGGGGTATTTTACTTTATTTATTTATTTATATTTATACAAGCACTGGGTACAGTCAGACGCATGGGAGGGTGAGAGAATTCACCAGAGCCCGAGCGAGGAACAGAACAGACAGACTGATGAAACACACTGCTAGGGGAGCAGCGGTCGCAGCAGGAGAGGTCTGCGCGCCATGTGGGACCCTCGCTGGCGGCTGGGGATTGAACTGGCGCCACAGGGCGCCACAGACACTGCGGGGAGCCTTGCAGCCCAGCGCTCAACAGCTGCACCACCAGGGGAGGCCCTAAAAGGGGTATTTTATATGAAAGTTCGGAAGGAGAATTTAGACATGAATGCTTCTTCTGAAGGAAGAAGTGGTGGTGATTTTTGAGTAGTGGATGAAAGGGCATTTTAATTTCTATTTGTTTCTATATATTTACAAAGATTGTACATTTGTTTCTTTTTTAAGATTTATTTATTTATGCATATAAGAGTTGGGGTACAGGCCAGAGATGCAGGGGGTGAGATGATTCACCAGAGAGAGTGGGGAACAGAACAGGCAGACCGAGTGAAATACATTGCTGAGGGGAGCAGCGGACGATACAGGAGAGGTCTGCCTTGCCCTGTGGGTTTCTCTCTGGCCAGCCGAGGATTGAACTCGTGCTACAGAGGCTGCGGATTGCTTCATAGTGTGGTGCTTAACCCCTTGCATCACCTGGGGGGCCCCAAGATTGTACAGTTGTGAAATAATTTTCCCACTACTTTAATCTCTTTATATAAAAACGTAATTCATATAGAATTAAATTTACTTAGCACTTATCATTCAAAGAACTACAAAGTAATACTTCTAAATATTTTATTTTGAAAAATTGCAAAAATCCATTCAGTAGAATAGTCTAATTTAATTCAAGGGATCTAATAAATGATGAGAATGCCTTGTATATTACCTGAAGAAAACTCATGATAAAGTATTAAACACATTAATGTTTCTCAACCTTTTACCCAGTAAGCACTGCCTTCAATTCTGTTTGCTGATTAGTCCATCATTTAAGAAACTGAGGACATTTTTTATTTAAATAAAAACTAAAATTAATATTTGTGATAAATCACATTAATCCACATTTCCTTTAAAACATGTTTTTATTGCTACAAATTAGAAAGTTCTTTTCACGGCATAGCTAAGTGTTACCTTAATTAAGATGTTTGAGAAACTCTATCAACCTATCTTCTTTTTTTTTAAGATTTATTTATTTATTTGTACAAGCACTGGGTAGTCAGAAGCGCGGGAGGGTGAGAGATTTCACCAGAGCGGGGAACAGAACAGGCAGACTGACAAAATACATGCTGAGGGGAGCAGCGGGCGCGGCAGGAGAGGTCTGTCGCGCCATGTGAGACCCTCACCGGTGGCCGGGGATCAAAATGGCGCTGCAGAGGCTGAGGGCAGCTTCACAGTCCAGTGCTCAACTGCTGTGCCACAGGGGAGGCCCTCAACCTATCTTCTTTAAATCTAAATGTGGTATTTTTGTGTGAATATTTTCTATTCCACAAAGAAAGGTCATGCATGTAAGATGTTCCAAATTTAAATTCTTAAAAATTAAAAAATTTAGACATTTCCAACTATGAGGTTGATACAATGTGAAATATTAGCAGAAAATTTAGTGAAATAATATATATATATATAAAATCACATGAAATTTAACATTTAGAGTTATGTTGTCATCTTGTCAAAATTTTAGTGTAAATGAAATATGAGAAAAGTTATAATGGGACCACATGTAAGTCACATGAGGCACACTTTGTTGGGGTTCTAACCTAGAGGAACAAATCTTTGTTCATTTGGAAGCTTAAAGCAATCTGTAAATAGAACTGTTATTCATTAGAAACAACTAACATTAACTCTGGTTTATTTTCAGATGATTGCTCCTTATTTGTTTAACCATTCAAACAAAGTGAAGAAAACATAGCTGTTAGGAGTTTTCAAAGTTTTTGTAGAGAGAGTACATGATCTTGGTAGTTGCCAATTGATGGCTAACTACTCTACAGTTATGTACTTCACTTGAAATGTAAATAGCAAGTAGCTCTCAAAGCACTATAGATTTATTTATTTATATTTATTTATTTTTATTTATTTATTTATTTATACAAGCACTGGGTACAGTTGGAAGCACAGGAGGGTGAGAGAATTCACCAGAGCCAGGAGCAGGGTGCAGAACAGGCAGAAGGACCGAAATACACTGCTGAGGGGAGCAGCGGATGGCAGGAGAGGTCTGCGCGCCATGTGGGACCCTCCTCCCGTGGCCGGGGAGCAGCAGGGGATCGAACCGGCGCTGCAGAGGCTGCGGGCACCGCTGCAGAGGCTGCGGGCACCGCTGTAGAGGCTGCGGGCAGCTTCGCAACCCAGCGCTCAACTGCTGTGCCACAGCGGTTGAGCCCTTTAGATTTATTATCCTATTGTTCTTTTAATTTTTTTAATCACTCTGTTTTTTTAAAAGATATATTTATTTATGCATACAAGAGCTGGGGTACAGGCCAGAGATGCAGGGAGGTGAGAGGACTCACCAGAGACAGAGCGGGGAACAGAACAGGCAGATTGACAGAAGCACACTGCTGAGGGGAGCAGTGGGCGAGCCAGGAGAGGTCTGTGCGCCATGTGGGTTTCTCCCTGGCTGGCCAGGGATTGGAACTTGTGCTGCAGAGGCTGTGGATTGCTTCACAGTGCAGTGCTCAACACCCCGCGCCACCAGGGAGGCACTCTTAATTTTTTTTAAAAAAATTATTTATGTATACAAGAACTGGGGCGTACACCAGAGGTGAGGTGGTGAGAGGATTCACCAAAGACAGAGTGGGGAGCAGATCAGGAGGATCTACTGAAATATACTGCTGAGGGGAGCAGTGGGTGAGTCAGGAGAGGATTGCTGTGCCATGTGGGTAGCTCCCTGGCTGGGGATCGAACTCATGCTGTAGTGGCTGGTGATAACTTGACAGCGCTGTATGTTTAAGCTCTGCACCACCAGGGAGGCCCCTCTATTAATATTTTTAATACTAAATAACCTAATATACTTCCTATTATCAAAGTAATATAGAAAACGAAGTAATGTAAATCACATTTAAAAAAGTAAAACAGAAAAACAAACCAATCTGTCATGTTAATATAGCCACTACTACTTCAATTCACTTAAATGTGATTTGTCATTTTAATTTTATACAATGCATCATAAGCATTTTCCATAACACTGTCTTTGTTGCCATCATTCAAATGTCTAAATAAAGTCAATTTATTAATTGGCTTGGTCATAAATTACTTAAATATATCTCTATTTTAGATGGTCATGTGTTTTAAACTACTATAAATATGTTATAATTAGCATATTTATGCATGTTGTTTTTATAGGTTGTATATTTTCCTTAGAATAAATTCTCAAGGTCTAAAAATGCCAAACATTTCCAAAGCTCAATATGTAATGCAAAATTTCTTTCCAAAATGCAGTCACAATGTGTAAGATTGTCACTGCACCTTCATTAAGTGATATCAGTTTTGTGTCTACATTTTACCAGGCTTTGCAGAACAGTAGATTTTGCCCTGTATATTGATAGGACTACTAATTAGCACTCTGAACCACTAGGTGGAGCTAAAAATACAAACTTTAATAGGAACAACACAACATTATTCCTGAAATAATATAGGGAGTTTTCCTTTCAGTGATAGTTTTGAAGCATAAGAGATAGACCTTTAGATTCAGTTTTAAAAATGAAAGTTGAAATTAGATAAATTTATGAAATCTATACATGGACAAACAAGATATTTAGAAATTTTCTATCTTTCCAATCTTGAACGAGAAACATAATTAATATTTGGAAGCAAGTACTTCTCAAAGAAGCCAGTAATAAAGACACCTGTGCCAGAGTGAGTTTTTAAGAATACATTTTTAAATTTAGTAAGTCATTCTACTTTAATCACAATAACTGCAAGAAATAAAGAGAAAATCTATGGGCCATTGGTCCAGAAATGACAACTTTTAATAGGCAAGAAAGCCATCATTTGGCGTTGGAAGGGATCATGCTCAGCGAAAAAAGCCAAAAAGAAAAAGAAAAATACCGGATGGTCTCACTCATAGCAGGAATCTAGAAAACTTAAATAAGGGACCAGGAAAATGAATATAAGAAAGTGAAAATCAAAATCAACAAAAAACTATGAACCAGAGACACTTTTTGGGGGGTGGGGGGCGGGAGGGGAGGGATTGGGGTCAGAATGGGGCGTTTGCAATTGTATGGGGGAATATAAAAATAAAATTTATTATTTAAATTAAAAAAAAAAAGAAGATCAACAGCAAAAAAAAAAAAAAAAAGCCATCATTAACTTGTACTTAAAGACTACACTAGCTTTTGGGAACTTAGGGCTCAGGAATTCTGGAACATAGTTCTGAATCCTGGATACAGCTGATACTCTAATAATTTTCACAACAAATGCCTTTTCTCTATCAAAATCTTCTACTATCATCCTTTCCTTATGGCAGGTTGGGGATTCTAATTATATTCTCTAGTACCTTCATTGTACTTATTCTAGTATAAAGAATCAGTGAAGAAAAAAACCAACAAGACACATCTAGAAGTAACAATTCCAGCCTTATTTTTGACCTGTGTGGAACTGGTAATCGTCTACCAATCTGTAGAGTTCCACACCCAGGGTGTATGAAGCAAAATAGATATTCCTGATCCTTTGTACCTGTCTCTCCCAGGCAATTATGAAAGTTCTTTTTCTTTACTACCCTAATTGTCCTCCAATTACATTAGGTAGAGCTAGGTATACAAAAGAAGTGAGGAACACTGAAACCAAAACTACTCTCATAATTCAACAGACTATCTTCACATAACCCTACATCTTTCTTCTAGCAATTACAACTTAATTATATTACCTTGATACTTATGGTTCATTAATTATAAGGTTCATGACTGAAGCAGTATTTTAAAAAGTGAAACAATATCAAAACTAAAATGAAGGAAATATGGTATTGTGAAAACTATCATTAGATTATTTGCCCCCTGTTAATATGAAAATATTTTTATAAAATGCTTCTGATGAAAGAATACCAGCACAATTACCTTCCTTTTATTACTTATACCTTTTGTTCTAAGAGTGCCCTGCGGAGGGAGACCCTCTGTTCAAGCTCCCGAAGTTCACGATCATGTTGTGCCTCGGCCTGCATCTTGATTTTGCTCTGATATGCATTCAGCAGCTCCAGTTCCTGCTGCAGCTGCATCTTTAAAACCTGGCACTCTGCTTCCTGTGCTTCATCTAAGCGCAACTGGAAGAAAGAAAACAGATATATCCTAGTGTGAGCTATCTATTCATGACCTGGAAAGGAAGAGATGTGAGAGAAGATGGACTACTCTTGTAGGATACACAATTATTATTTCTTGTAACTTGGAACAAACATTTCTGAAAAGGAAAGGCACGGTAACCATGATGCAGTATGAAGCTATCATAAGGGATTTAGAGGATGCCAAGATAACAATATTTTTCTTCAAAAAAGTCTAGGTTCTAATTAGAAGATAAAAACTGCTGAGTCTCTTTCTCTCCAGTGGAAGTAACTGAAGAACAGAGACCAAAAACCTATAGCCTATGGGCCAAATATAGGCAGCTGCCTGTTTTTGTTTTGGGGGGAAGTGGGGACAAAATCGAATTTTTCTTTAATATCTCACTAGTTAAGAATGGTTCTCATATTTTGAAATGGTTACTACATAAGCACCTACATAACAACCTCAATTTTACCTTCTGGTCTACAAAGCCTAAATACAAAATATCTGGCCCTTTAAGAAAAAGTCTGCATAGAGAACTTATTTCTACATAAGTTCTCCTTATGTAGAAAATATCTTGTATTTGCATTCGAATGTGACCATTTGGATTTGCAATATAGTACTACCTTTTGGCCACTGCTTAAGAAAACTGCTGTTCTCATCTTGATAAGCTATTGGGATGTGTGCTTAACAGAGGCACAGGCAGAGACCCTATTTAGAAACTCATGTCTCAATAAAACAATGAGAATTCTTTATCAATATAGAATTCTGTATCATACCTGTTTCCAAGCAATGTTGACAGCAGAGTTTAAGGACCACTGCCACTATTTCCTAAGCTATAGGAGAGGTATTACTTCCAACTAGTAATTTAATAGCTAGGATTTCATTCAGGTAGTAGAAAGAAAGGGGCGTTAAATTTGTTTTCCCTAAATAAAACAAACTCACAGCTTGTGTGGAGAGCATTTCATTAATGCTGTGATCATACTGTTCAGCCAAGATGGCTAACTTTCGGGTCTGCTCCTCCTTGAGCCGTTTCAGAACAGCTTTGTGCTCACTCTTTGGTGTAGTCTCCAGTAGGTGATTTCTTAATGCTTTGTACTGTCTGGTTTGGATTTTGCAGGTGTCCTGAAATTGCTTTTTTATTTGGAGTTCTTTAGACTGGGAAGGAAAAACAAATAGATGTACATAATTTTAACATACAGCATTTGGTATACCATAGGCTTGCATTAAAAATAAAGGCTAGCTAGGAGAAAGAGGAAAAACAAAAAGGTCAAAGCATAGGTTGCTGGTAATTCTGCTTTTGGCTATTGGACCAAACCACTAGATTCTATACATTTTTACAACAAAAACTCTAATCTAAAATATCAGACTATCAAGAATCCCATTTATCACAGGACTTCAAACAATACTTGTTATTTTACTAGCATATTGAGTTGTGTTTTTTTTTTTATATTTAAAGAGCAGGTTTAGGGCCTCCCCCGTGGCGCAGCGGTTGAGTGCTGGGTTGTGAAGCTGCCCGCAGCCTCTGCAGCACCGGTTCGATCCCCGGCTGCTCCCCGGCCACCGGAGGAGGGTCCCACATGGTGCGCAGACCTCTCCTGCCGCCCGCTGCTCCCCTCAGCAGTGTACTTCAGTCCCTCTGCCTGCTCTGCTCCTCGCTCTGGCTCTGGTGAATTCTCTCACCCTCCCGCGCTTCTGACTGTACCCCCAGTGCTTGTATAAATAAATAAATAAATAAATTAAAAAAAAAAAATAAAGAGCAGGTTTATTAGGGAAAGGGAGACAGAATAAAGGACATATGCAAAGACACAAGCAGGCAGAAAGAGCTGCCTAGCAGTTTTTTTTTAAAGATTTATTTATTTATTTATGCAAGCACTGGGTAGTGTCAGAAGCGCGGGAGGGTGAGAGAATTCACCAGAGCCAGAGCAGGGAGCAGACCAGGCCGACTGACAAAGAAGTACACTGCTGAGGGGAGCAGCAGGTGTGGCAGGAGAGGTCTGCTGTGCCATGTGGGACCCTCGCCGGCGGCCGGGGATCGAACCAGCGCTGCAGAGGCTGCGGGCAGCTTCACAACCCAGTGCTCAACCGCTGCGCCACCAGGGAGGCCCCTGCCTAGCATATTGAGTGACCTGAGTGAATATTAAAATTAGATGATGGAAAATTTAATTTCTCCTCATGAATTAAGTATAGCAAATTAAAATAACAATATTGGTCAGAGAATATTTTATCAGATCTGAGGCAGAAATAAGTCCATATACTTTGTTCCTTACCTGAGACACTTTGCTTCTATTTCTTTTAATGACAATCTCAAATATAAGTACATAGTCTATAGTAGATCCTAGAGAAGTAGGGCAGTATTGACTAATAAAATTATTACTATCATTTTTTCCTTGAAGGAACAGACTGGATTGAAACCATAATTAGTAATGGTTTACTCTTTATTTATACCAAAAGCAAAAACTTGAAAGTCACATGAATTAACCAATCTTTGAAACAAAAGTTATAAAGGAAGGAGGTGACAACCTTTCTTGGTTGAACTACATAACTACATAAACATTTCTGAGATAAAATAGTTTGATCTCAGAGACAGAAGAGTTTAGACTTCAGATTTTGGTTACTCACAAGTTAAGTATTCTATGAATTTAGGTTTTAAAAAAACTTAAGATAATTTTCAAGGTCTATTGATTGAGTCTACAAATAAGAACACAAATAAGATTTGTTTACTACAAATAAGAACACAAATAAGATTTGTTTACTACACTGAGGTAGATCGTACAGTTGGAATTACTTAACTTTAATGTAAATACTACCAAATAGTCATCAGTTGGTAACTGTGCAAGAAATGTATATAATGCTCAAAGTAACACACTTCTCAAGGAAGAAGCTGCCCCGCCATGTCACAAAATCAAAATATACCCTTTTCATGTCTTGTACTAACTAGATCATTGACATATTCATTTATTCTATGGAAGTTCTAGAAATGTCTAGCTAGAAGGAGAAACTCTTGGATTAGCTATGATTAGTAGTACCACACTTTAATATTGTTCTGGGTTAACAAAATTCTTCCAAGTCAGTGAGGAATATGGGATAATGAAATTTAGACATTTTCTTCTGCTTCTTTGTAACAGCCTCCATTCTTTTAAAAACTACTTTACATTGTTCAGGAGCCTCCCTGATGGTGCAAGGGCTTGAGTCTCAGCACTATTAAGCTATTAGCAGCCACTGCAGCCTTAGTTCAATTCTTGGCCAGGTAGCTAACCCACATGGCACAGCAGACCTCTCCTGTCTCACCCACTGCTCCCCTCAGCAGTATATTTCAGTCAATCCCTGTTCTGCTCCCCACTCTGGTGGGTCCTCTCACCCCCCACACTTCTGGGCTACACCCCTGTTCTTGTATGCATAAATAAAATAAATCTTTAAAAATAAAATAAAATATTGTTCAAAGAAAACTGTAATCAAAACTGCAATAATTACATATCACTAACCCTAATAAGAAAAAAGAGCTTGAAAATTTTTCAACAAGAGTAAAGCTTATACCAAAAATAAACTATACCCCTCAATGTTTGACACAGATGAAAAAAAGATGATATAAATTATAGTTGTTTCTACTGATTTGACACTAAGAAAGCATCATCTAAGTGGCAGATGAAGAAATAGTAAAGCAGGCAGTAGATGTTCACCCAATCCATTCCATGGAAATGGTACCCCAACTCCCACAAATCCTATCCAACTCACATTAAGAATTGTTCATATAAAAGTCCTCTGACCCACCTTTAAAGTTCTGGAGACTTTACAGTCTCAGAAGTGGCAACTACTACTTATGTAAACAAAAAGGAGATGACAATGTTAAAATCTAGTCTGTTTTAACAAAGATCACTCTGTAAATTGAGCAAGTAAATATATGTATATAACTTAGACAAAAATAGGGATAGTCTTCCCTAAAAATGTTACAGAAAAATTCCCTTTATGGAAAATCTTGAGCTCATTTGTCATCAGAAGGAGACATTCTATTCACAGTCTATGATTATAAAGTATTATTTATATACCTGTGTATAGTATCTGTGACAATTAGACTATTGTTTAAAATCTTACGAGTTGAAAAGGTTTCAACAAAAAGAAACAGACAGAAAGAGTTAAACATCAAACAATTATCTATCCCAAACCCCAGAGAAATAAAGCCATATCAGATTTCTAGTATAACATAATGAAAAGTCATTATGAATTTCAATTTTCCTTAGCAATGCCTAATAAATGTTATACACTGGCAGTCCACAAAGATAATCTACAAATGATGTCTTGTTTTCAAGACTCAGCAAAGTGAAATTTTACTCAGGTTCAAAAGGAAAAGGCAAAGCATCTTTGTGTCCATGTGCTGCTCAGGACTGCCTGTCTGACTGGAGCTGTGTGGGAAATGAAGACGCCCCTGGTTATGTATCTGCTAGGTTTTAGCACAGAGTATTACCCCTGGGAATGAATTTCACTTCATTCTAGCAGTTATTCATGTAAGATTCAGAATAGTTTTAAACAGGAACAAGGTTTAACAAGAAAATGGCTGCATGTAAATAAAGTTACTACATGTAATAAAAGTTTAAAATTTCCGAATGTGCAGACTGAGATACTGCGCATGGATGAAAGTTTACATAGTAGGTGGTTTTTTGGGTTGTTGTTTATTAGGATTCACGAGATTACACTCCTTCAAATATTTATCACAACTTACAAAGTTTGCAATTTATCATGTCTGGTTGACTTTGGAGGAAGGGGCTGGGCCAGCTAACTGCAAGGACAAGGGCACAGAGTGATACCTTTACCTTTATAGTATACTTGATTCAAAGAAAACACAAAACTTAAAATCCCTTGGTATTATTTATCACCAAAACTTGTCTTTCCTTATTTGTTTGGGGGAGGGAAGATAACAACTTGCTCCACTCTTACATGCTAATTAAAATATCCCAAGTACCCATGGTATAGTGTTACCTACTCTATCCAAGCAAGGAAAAAAATAAGCAGAATGGGAATAACACTGGTGATTCTACTCTTCCTCTTAAGATGAACAGAGAAAATGAAGGGGGAGGGGATTAAAAAGGCACTTTTCATTCATTGGCTCCTGTATTGATTAAGAACATAGTATCTTTTAGATACAGATCACATTTACAACAAGTAAGATTCAAAAACTGTGTCACTTGGAACAACAGAGAAAAGCCAACAAGTTATTATGTTCACATGTAATATATAATGTCAGCAGTGGGCATTTGGTTACTTTTTTTAAAAAAGATTTATTTATGTATACAAGAACTGGGGTGTAAGCCAGAGATTGGGGGGGGGGTGAGAGGATTCACCAGAGACAGAGCGGGGAACAGAACAGGCAGATTGTCTGAAATACACTGGTGAAAGGAGCAGCAGGGGAGCAGTGGGCGAGACAGGAGAGGTCTGCTGTGCCATGTGGGTTAGCAGCACCTGGCTGAGAATCCAACTCATTCTGCAGTAGCTTGATAGTGCTGTGCCTTTAATCCCTGTGCCATCAGGGAGGGCCCAGCATTTGGTTACTTTTAAAATAAGAATTCTGATTGTTGGGCCTCCCTGGTGGTGCAGGTGGTTAGGTGCAGCGCTGTGAAGCTGTCCACAGCCTCGGCAGTGCCAGTTCGATCCCTGCCGGCCTCGGTGCAACCCACAAGGCGAGCCGACCTTTCCTGTCTCGCCCACTGCTCCCCTCAGCAGTGTATTTCGTCAGTCTGCCTGTTCTGCAACCTGCTCTGTCTCTGGTGAATCCTCTCACCCTCCCGTGCCTCTGGCCTATACCTCGGTTCTTGTATAAATAAAATAAATATTAAAAAAAAAAAATTCTGATTGTTATTTATGCCTTCATATAATTAAAAATTTTGGCCATGATTTGGTGCTCTGCTGAGAAATACATAAGCAAAAGTCTACACCTTCAAGCACTCCATATAAAACTAACCAAACATGCTTAAAATGTAAAGAAAAAAGTTTATTTCAATTTCGTTATGACAGACATTGGTCTTAGACTTTTACTGTTAGCATGGATGGCTTTTTATCTCTTTTCTACTTGTCAAGAAGTGTAGACTAAAGATACCTTCAGACTCTTAGGCTGTTGTCGAACTTCCATGACATGCTTTCGCCTTAGTTCCCGCTCTCTTCGTTTATTATATTCCAGCTGGTTAGTGAGCTCAGTTTGATGCTGCAATCTGATCAACTCACAGCGCATTTTCTGAATTGTGTTGAGGTGGCGAAACTCCAGTTCTTGCATGGATTCATGCTGTCGCAGTAGCATGGCATGCTCTAAGTCCTTTTGAGTCTGTCTTTTATTTAATTCCTAAATCATAATAGAAAAGACAAAAGGTATAATTTAAAGTTATATAAATGCAGGGGGGGACTCCTATAGATGTAGTCCTTTAATTCAATAATGGCTGCATAGTAAATATTAGAGTTTTAAAACTTTACTATAGTAATCAGCAATGCCATAAACTGCCTTATCTTATTATTCTGAATAATAGAATTTTATGCAATACGCCACAGACACATCAAATCTATCTCGAGGCTTAATGTCCATCCTTTTTCTTTCTTTTTTTACTCCTAAATTTATATTAGAAGAGGTCTACTTTGTGATCTTTTGAATTTCTCCACAGTAAATGATTCAAATCTATTTTATACAGTATACCCAGTATAGTGTAGTAGGGTGAAGAACATGGACTCTAGAGGTAGACTGTGTATATTCTAAACCTTGGATCTGCTTATTCAGCAGTAAGTCCTAAGGTTGGTCATTTAAACTCTCTGTGCTTCAGATGCATCCCTTTTCAAATAGAGAATATAGCATTTCATAGATTTAATGTGAGGATGATATGAGTTCATAAGTGGCAGTATCTCAGAATAATACCTTGCACATTATGTGTAATAAATGCTATTATTCTCTTTTCAAACTGAAAAGTATAAGGGTACAACACAAACACACACAATGTCGAAGTCAAACTTGCCCCTTTTGCCTATGTAAACATTTTCCAGAAGCCAACAGTCAGGTGCAAATACAACTCAAACTTACCCATACTTACTGTGACACAGCCATTATATAAAAACATACAGTTTTAAAAACTGAATAACAATATACACTGTGGGCATATAATGTGCTTAATTTCACTGAACAATGTTATAGGCATATATACAGGTCAGATTTTTTTTTTTTAAAGATTTATTTTATTTACTTATACAAGCACTGGGTACAGTCAGAAGCGCGGGAGGGTGAAAGAATCCACCAGAGCCAGAGGGGAGAGCAGAGCAGGCAGATTGACGAAGTATACTGCTGAGAGGAGCAGCAGGTGGCAGGAGAAGTCTGCGCGCCATGTGGGACCCTTGCCTGGTGGCCAGGGATGGAACTGGTGCTGCAGAGGCTGCGGGCAGCTTTGCAACCCAGCGCTCAACTGCTGTGCCACTGGGGAGGCCCCCTATACAGGTCAGATTTTTATGTATAGATCTTTTTAAGTTTCATTGTAAGATTCTGCTTTGTAATATCATAAATTTTCCACTTCTTAATATACAAATTTTTAATAAATACCTATGAATTTTGCATCATATAGTCATTCTATTATTTTTTTAGGATGAAGTAGATTTAATGGGAAGCAAATAGTAAATTTTAAAAGCTACTACTAAATTATATTCTAAAAGGGCAATATCAATTTATATTCTTTTTTAAAAAAATATTTATTTTTAAATGCATACAAGAACTGGGGTGTAGGCCAGGGGTGCAGCGGGTAAGAGGATTCACCAGAGACAGAATGGGGTGTAGATCAGGTGTATTGACCGAAATATACTGCTGAGGGGAGCAGTGGGCAAGACAAGGGAGGTCTGCTGCAGCATGTGGGTTAGCTTCGTGGCTGGGTATCGAACTTGTTCTGCGTGGCTGCCGATAGCTTCACAGTGCTGAGACTTAGCCCCTTGTCCCACCAGGGAGGCCCTCAATTTATATTTTTATCCAACATTGTTCATCACCCAGTGCCACTACTCTGACTTGATGTTACTAGTCTTTTAAATTGATCTTGTCTAACTAAAGATAAATTTTTAATTTGAATTTCCTATATTAGTGAATTTGATTATGCTATATTTGGAGCTTAATTTAAGCTATTCTCAGAAATAAATTTATTTATGTTCAGAGGTATCCCTGATAATGTAAACAATTGTTTTCACTGGCACAGAAGTTTCTATACTTGCCAATTAATATGGACATGATAATAAAAATGTGTAAAGTGGTAACACAAACTTCAGGGTGACCACTGCAGATCAAAAGGCATTAATTGGGGGGCCTCCTTGATGGCCTAGAAATTAAATTTCAGCACTATCACTGCTATGGCCTGAGTTTGATCCCTGGCAAAGGGAGCTAATTCACATATGGCATAGCAGACCTCTCCTGTCTTACACAATGCTCCCCTCAGCAGTGTATTTTAGTAAATTCACCTGTCCTGCTCCCTACTGTTTCTGGTGAATCCTCTCACACCCTGCACCTCTAACTTAAACCCTAATTCTACTCCAAAATAAAAGCATAAACATCCAATTAGTTTTGTCATATTTAAAAATATTTCAATCAAGCACTGACTTCCTGTTTATTAAATACTTACTGAATGCCTATTATGAGTTGGTATTAGGGATATAAAGACCTAAATAAAATCTGTGACTTCATACAATTTCCCTTCTATTGGGGGAGAGACTTACCCCAAAAGAGAAAGGAAGAGCAAGAGACAATATGTGTGTGTATACTGTGTGCAGGACAGAGAAATAAAAAGAAAAACACTTAAAGAAGGGAAGACATTTCTGAAGAAGTGACATTTGAGGCGAGACATGAAGGAAGGGAAAACAAAATGTGGATATCTGAGGAAGAGGGATTTAGGTAGAGGAAATTAGATATGCCAAAGTACTGAGGTTGAGATGTCACTGATATATTTTCAGGAAATATTCTACTTTCACATCATGCAAACATACTTCTCTGACAAGGTCCTGCTCCAGGTTATGGCGCCCAAGTAACATCCTTCTCTTAAAGCGACGACATTCTAGCTCTAGGTACTGTCTCTGACGTCTAAGAAGGTTAGCCTCTTCTTCTGCTTGAAAGTGCTGTATATTCTCCTTCTGCTTTGAAAGCCACTCCTGTTTTTCTTTTTTGGGGGTGCTTTGATTTTCATTCAGTTCCTGGCAGCATAAAAACAACTCAATTCAAAACACATAAAAATTAACAGCATGAATTTCCCATTTAGTTTGGTAAATTTAAATAAAAATATTTGTGTCCTAATGCTCAAGTAGGGTAATGATCTCAAGGAGGTAACACTCCTTTTTCTCCAGTTACCCATGAGAAAAGACAGAAAAAGAAAAATGAACACTGGAAACATGCCCACCTTTTAGCTTTGCACAACTACAATTATGATTGTTCCCAGCTTCAAAAGCATATAGTGATTAGTAAATGAAGAGAAACATACAGTTAATCATATGTCTCACTTTTTGGTTTCCCCCCCTTCTAAAGAATTGAAAATAGAAAATCAACAAAAACATGGTAGAACAAAATAACTTTTTTCAGAATGGTACTCAACAATCAGCATTATGAACCACGAAACAAATCAAAGCTAATGTGTTTCTACACTATTTTAAATAGCTCACAAACCAAATGAAAAAGCATTTATAGTAGGAAAAAATGCAAATACTGAGAATACAATCAAAGAGACAAATTTTCAGGATGCTAATTAATACTAGAATACATTCAACCTAAAAAACATGAACATAGTACAGAATATACATCAGTCATCATTCCCAGGTATAAGATGAATATTTAGAGACTCTTAACTTTACAATCCTTCCCCTGTTATTCAAGAAAGAGACTAATGTTTTACAACTTTAGTTCATAAGATACTCAAACACATAAAAGCACATAAATTAATAGTTTTCAACTTAAAGGTATACGTACATACAATATGAGAAAAGATTTAGGTAACACTGGCACATACACAGAGAATCACCTGGAATCTTTTTCAAAATCTTCTACCAGGGAACTTACTACAAGGCTCAAGTATGTACCTTTCTTTATACCAACAATTATTATTCTACTTAAACATACACACACACACGAATCTGGCTTCTAACTAAATGAATTTATTAGTTGGACAAGTTAAGTGCCTAAAGGGTTATTTAAATCAACACACACACAAAACTAAAATCTCATTTCATTGAGAAATGCAACTGCAGAACTGCATTTTGTTGAATATTTTATTTCAGTTGCAAACCCTCATTACAGCCTTTCCAAATGCAATGTTCCAGTACTGTATTATAATTATTGGGAATATATTGCAGGTTACAACTCTAAAGAGTGGGAGAAATTCTGTCAATGAAAATGACTTGACAGGATATATAGCAAGTCTTTGTGTCACCAATATCCTTAATAGAAGTTAATATCTGATTATAAGGCAATTTTCTACATCAGTATGCTAATAATGACATGAACTAAAAAATTCGTCAGTCTGTAAGAGAAGAGATAAAGGGAGATTTGAGAAATTGCCTTGGAACAATTAAGGCTCTCTTCAAAGTTAGACTAAATGTGTTTTTAAAAGAAGTTGAAGAGTCTCCCTGGTGGTGCAAGGGGTTAAGATGCAACCTATGAAGCTGCCCACAGCCTCTGCAGCACTAGTTTGATCCCCGGCCAGCCAGGGAGCAACCCACATGGCGCAGCAGTCCTCTCCTGACTCGCCAGCTGCTCCCCTCAGCAGTTACTTCAAGTCAATCTGCCTGTTCTCTTCCCTACTCTGTCTCTGGTGAATCCTCTCATCCCCCCATACCTCTGGCCTGTACCCCAGCTCTTGTATACATAAATAATAAATCTTTAAAAAAAAAAAAGTTGAAGAAAGCAGATACAAAGGCAGATAAATATGAAATCATGTGGTCATAAATAATCAGCATGTTCTATTAAATAAATTGTAATAAACAGATATGCATCTTATCCTTAATTTATGTTTTAAAATCAGAGAAAGCAATCACTGTCATCTTCTGAGCCAAAAGTAAGAAAGCATGCTTAGTTTTTAAAGAAAGGTGTATATATATACAAAGGTGTATATATATATATATATATATATGTAGCTCTTTTTTCCAATTCTAATGTTTTTATTACTAATGAGTTAGTTACTTAAACACATAGGAAAGCTATTATAAATAAAATGATTTATATTTTCAGGAAAGGATTCTTTTCAGGAGAAGATCTCAGTCAACTGAAGAGTAACTGATTATAATCAATATCTTCATTCAAACTGATATAATCAAACAAAATCATAAAATTTTTTCCTAATGGTTTTTTATGAGTTCATCACCACTGGGTATAATCAGTAAGCACATAAATGGCTTGAGAATTATTTATAAGATAAGCACCTCCTTAAGCTGTTCTTTTCGAAGTTTATATTCTCTTTTCTGGGACTCTAAAAAGCTGTTCAGTTCTTTCTTCTGTTGGGCCTGAATATGTTGCTGAAACTTTTTCTCTTCATTGGCCATCACTTTAGCCTATATGAAAATTTTAAATGGATAAAATTAGTTAAGTATATAGACACAAAACAGTAATTTAATATACATCACCAAAGATACCCTTTTTTCCTCAAGAATATAAAATCAATTTAATCACCAAAATAAGAATACCCAACAAATTATTAGTGTTACTCAGCATTTTTATTTGAATTTCAAAAAACCAATAAAGTAGAATTTATCCTTAATATGTTAATCTTTTAAAGTCAAAATGTTTTTGCCTTTTTTGTTTCATGAACAGGAACCTGCCCTTGACCCAATAAAACAAAATATATACTTATCTATGAATAAATTAAATCATGACCTTTTATCTAGACTTATGTGTATATTAAATGTAATAATTTGCCCTTATATTAAGCCCGAACCTTTACTTTATACATTAACATGGAATGTTAATATGATAAAGCTATTATTTTATTTCTGATAATAATGTGATATATACTCATTGTAGAACATTTACAAAATATAGAAAATCAAAAAAATCTTGCACAATTCAACAACCAGAGATAACCAATATAAACATTTTGGTGCACCCCTTCCTAATTTTTTCTATACATTGTAAACAATTTGTAATCATATTACACATCCTGTTTCATGAATTAAGTTCCAAAATATGTTATCTATCTTTCCTGTTATTAAAAATACTACCCAATGATCAACTGGATTCTAAGTATCTGTACATTCTTTCAGCAAATTATTTAAAAATCAAGTATTTATTTACACCATAAATTATCCTGTCAAATTTTTTACTATTGGGACTATTACTTTTTTTTTTCCATTATTAGGAAAAGGAAAAGAGAAGATACTTACACCGACAGTGGGCAAAAGAGCTGCTGAGAGTGTTTCTTATTTATGGGAGGAGGGTGTTAAACAGGGTACTTACCATAAATAATGCCTCCAAATAGACTAGCCATACATATTTGTCAATAGTGAATTTACGGAGAAACTTATATTTTACTTGACAAACATAACTATCAAAATAAAATGAAACATGCTACACTAAAAACATAAGAAAAAAAATTTCACATAATAGGAATCCTAAATAAAGCACCTTTCATTCTAACACTGTAAAATTAGAATAATCTTCAATTATTCTTATCTAAAAATACTGCTATAAATTTAAGGAGGGTTTCCAAAAAATACAAGAAGAGAATCATGAGTGATCTTTTGAGACTACCAAACTCCTCAGATAATCAAGGTACTTGGGACCTAGAACAGTTGAATGACTTACCCACAGTGATACTATAAAACTGTCAAGTGTCAGGAAATGATTGATTCCATGTCTACTGATTTCCAGACTCAGTACTTGGTATTATACATATTATATAAATGTTTCTCCTTTTCCCCAACTGATTTGCTTGGTTTTCAGGAAAAGATACCCTAACATTAAAATCCCATCTTGGTTAATTCTGAGATGGTCACAAAATAAAACAAGCAAATTAATAATACTGAATGAGCCACCTCTTTTTCCATAGCAGCCTGATGTTTCTTGATAAGTTTCTCCATTTCAGCAGCAAAATTGTTACGCTGAGTTTCAAGATCTTTGTCTAATCTGAGGCGATGTTCATCCATCTCAGCCTTAAGTTTATTTTCCAGAGTCATCAGCTGCTTTTGATGTTGCCGCCTCATTCTCTTATAGCCAGACATCTGTTCTCTAAGTTCAGAGTCCTGTTCATGTTCTTGCATTTGCCTTGTAACCTAGACATACCAACAATGGAGAGGAAAGAGTAAAGCAAAACATTTTTCTTTTGAAAGCATTTTAGATCACTCTACTACTAAGTCAATTAATGTAAGAAATCCCAATTAATGGTTATCAATTACATTTCCAGCAGGTCTTTAAAAAAAATAGACATGCTAGTTCTAAAATTTTTATAGGACTACAAAGGGCCTAGAACAACCAAAACAAACTTGGAGGAGAGGGGCTCTAAGATATACAGTAATTGAAATAGCGTGGTATGGTATATGAACAGGCTGAATAAGTCAAAGCAAAGGCATACAATCTAGAAACAGACCCACACATATTCAGCCTACTGATTTTCTACCAAAATGTCTAGTTAATTCAGAGAGGAAAACTTCAAACAAATACTGCTGAAACAACTGGTACTCTGTAGAAAAAAGTAAATAAACCTCAAGTCCTCTATTTACATGCAAATATTAATCTGAAAAGAATCATTTGACCTAAACATAAAACCCAGATCAGAGCCTCCCCTGGTGGAGCAGGCAGTTGAGTGCTGCGCTGTGAAGCAGTTGGCAGCCTCTGCGGCGCAGATTCAATCCCAGTCGACTGGCGAGGGTCCCACATGGCACAGCAGACCTCTCCTGTCTTGCCCGCTGCTCCCCTCAGCAGTGTATTTTGTCAGTCTGCCTGTTCTGTTTCCCGCTCTGCCTCTGGTGAATCCTCTCACCCTCCCGCGTCTCTGGCTTGTACCCCAGTTCTTGTATTAAAAAAAAAAAAAATCGGGCCTCCCCAGTGGCGCAGCGGTTGAGCGCTGGGTTGCGAAGCTGCCCGCAGCCTCTGCGGCGCCGGTTCGATCCCCGGCTGCTCCCCGGCCACCGGAGGAGGGTCCCACATGGCGCGCAGACCTCTCCTGCCGCCCGCTGCTCCCCTCAGCAGTGTACTTCGGTCCTTCTGCCTGCTCTGCTCCCCGCTCTGGCTCTGGTGAATTCTCCCGCCCTCCCGCGCTTCTGACTGTACCCAGTGCATGTGTAAACAAAACAAACAAATAAATAAATAAATAAAACATGCCTCTATTAAAAAAATATATATATATAAAAAAAAAAAAAAAAAAAATCCCAGATCACAAAGCAAAAGAAAAAGACTACCTTCTTGATCTGGGTAGGCAAATATTGCTTGAGCAGGACCCACAAAAACAAACTGACCATAAAAAAAATGTAAAAAATTGGATTTTTAAATTGAGATATTTATATAATTTAAAATTGAGATCATTTAAAAATAAACAATTTAGTAACATTTAATATAGATACAATGTTATGCAATTGTCACCTCAACGAGTTACAAAACTTTTTATCAACTCAGAAGAAAACTCTATATTCCTTCTGGTAACCACCAATCTGTTTTCTGTCTCTAAATTTATCTATTCTGGGTATTTCATATAAAATAAGTCCTTTGTGACTTTGTGTCTGCCTCCTTCCATTTAGAATGTTTTTAAGGTTCTGCTATGTTGTATAACATGTATTAGCATTTCATACCTTTTCATAGCTAAATAAAAATTCTATGGTATAGGACCTCCCTGGTGGCACAGCGGTTGAGCGCTGGGTTGCGAAGCTGGCTGCAGCCTCTGCAGCGCCGGTTCAATCCCCGGCTGCTCCCCGGCCACTGGAGGAGGGTCCCGCATGGTGCGCAGACTTCGCCTGCCGCCCGCTGCTCCCCTCAGCAGTGTACTTCGGTCCTTCTGCCTGCTCTGCTCCCTGCTCTGGCTCTGGTGAATTCTCTCACCCTCCCGCGCTTCTGACTGTACCCAGTGCTTGTATAAATAAATAAATCTTTAAAAAAAAAAATTCTATGGTATACATATACTATAACCTGTTTATCCATTCATCAATTAATGAACCTTTTTGTTGTTACAACCCTTTGGCTGTTGTGAATACTGCTGTTATAAACATGTGTGTATATGCTACTAATATATGATTTCAATTCTTTGGGATATACACTTGGGAGTTGAATTGCCAGATCATGTGGCAATTCTATGTGTAACTTTTTGAGGAATCATCAACTGTTATCCATAGCAGCTAAACCATTTTATATTCCTACTGGCAACATACGGGAGTTCCAGTTTCTCTATAAGCTTTCCAACTCTGGTTATTCCCACCCCATTTTTTGAACAGCCATCCTAGTAGGTGTGAGGTAAACTTTATTGCAGCTTTTCTTTCCTTTTTTTTTTTTTAAAGATTTGTTTTTTATATATACAATAGCTGGGTACAGGCCAGAGGTGCGGGAGGGTGAGAAGATTCACCAAAGAAAGAGTGGGGAGCAGAACGAGACTGAGAGCACTGCTGAGGGGAGCAGCAGTCGCAACAGGAGAGGTCTGAGGCGCCATGTGGGAATTTCCCTGGCTGGCCGGGAATCAAATCCGTGCTGCAGAGGCTGTGGACAGCTTCACAGTGCTGTGGTCAACCTGCTGCGCCACCAGGGAGGCCCAGTTTTTCTTTAAAAAAAAAAAAAGATTTATTTTTATTTATTTATGCATACAAGAACTGGAGTCCAGGCCAGAGGTACAGGGGGGTGAAAGAATTCACCAGGGACCAACAGGGGAGCAAAACAGGTGGATCAACTGAAATACACTGCTGAGAGGAGCAGTAGGTGAGACAGGAGAGGTCTGCTGTGCTACGTGGGTTAGCTCCCTGGACAGGGATCAAACTCATGCCATGCCACAGTGGCCGGCAATAGCTTGATAGTGTTGAGACTTTAACCCTTGCACCACCAGCGTGGCCCCATTTCATCTTATTAATAATGATTTGTAAGAATGCTTTATTTAACTATAAGTATTATATTGTATACTTTGAAAATATTTTTCTCCATTTGTGATTTACCTATTCTTTTCTTACTGTTGCTTATGAGAAATTAGAAATATTTTAGTTTTAAAATCCAATTTAAATACCCCAATTAAAAAATGAGCAAAGGACATTAAATAGACATTTCTTCAAAGAAGATATACAAATGGCTAGCAAGCAAGTAAAAGGTGCACAACAGCATTAGCCATTAGGGAAATGAAAAGAAAAAACTAAAGGGCAAATAAATCCTAAACAAAAACATGAACTGCATGAGAAGTCAAACAAAAAACTTGAAGACATATTCACATTAAGAAAATAATGTATGGGGCCTCCCTGGTGGTGCAAGGGTTTAAGCACAGCACTGTGAAGCTATCCACAGCCTCTGCAGCAGGAGTTCAATCCCTGGCCAGGGAGGTGACACATATGGTTGCAGGAGATCTCTCCTGTCTTGCCGGCTGCTCCCCTCAGCAGTGTATTTCAGTCAGTCTGCCTCTTCTGTTCCCTACTGTCTCTGGTGACTCCTCTCACCCCCCACACCTCTGGCCTGTACCCCAGTTCTTGTATGCATAAATAAATCAAAAAAGAAAGAAAAGAAAATATTGTATGACAGACAATAAGCACATGAAAAGGTGTTAAATATTATGGCTACATCTTTAGTTATAGGGAAATGCAAAAAAGGAGAAGCATTTAGATTCTATTTTAAAGCTACTAAAAATGGTGAAAGACTGATAACACCAAACTTTGGAGAGAATATGGACCACCTAGAGCTCTTTAGACATTACTAATGGGCAAGTAAAATGGTATTTTTGAAAACCGTTTGACAGATTCTTATGAAGTTAAATGTACATGTATGCTATGACTCAGCAATTCTAGCCTTATCTATTTCACAAAAGGAATTAAAACATCATGTTCATATATAGACTTATCAAGAAATGTTAACAGAAACTTTATAATAGCGCCAAATGAGAATCAAATCAAATGCTCCTAAATGAAAGGATAATAAAAATTCTGGTATGATCACATAACATAAAAGTATATACAATAAAAGGGCCTCCCTGGTGGTACAGGTGTTAAAGACAGCACTATCAAGCTATCATCAGTCACCACAGCACGAGTTCCATCCCCAGCCGGCCAGGGAGCAACCCACATGGCGCAGGAGACCTCTACTGCCTCGCCCGCTGCTCCCCTCAGCAGTGTATTTCCGTACATCCACCTGTTCTGCTCCCCACTCTGTCTCTGATGAATCCTCTCACCCCCTGAACCTCTGGCTTACACCCCAGTTCTTGTAAGCATAAATAAATAAATCTTTAAAAAAAAAAAACAAAACCCTAACTTAAAAAAAAAAGTATATATAATAATAAAAGAGAATGAATTTTGACATACGTAATAGTATGGATGAGTCTCATAAACATTGAGCTGAGGAAACATACATTCTGTGTTATTTCTTTATACCAAATCCAAACTGACAATAGTGAAGAAACAGAAAGTGATGGTCATGGAAATGCAGAACTGACTAAAGAGGGGTATGAAGGCAACTTTCTGGGATGACAAGAAGTTCTATGTATATTGTTTTTTCAGGTGACGATTAATAAAAGTGTGTATGATTGTGAAAACTCTTCAAATTGAATACCTAAGATCTGTATTATATTTTATTGTATGGGGTGGGGAGGAAGTAGTAGTTAGACTGATTATACTAATATTATATAGCGTAATTATACTGAATAATATAGCTATATTTACACCTCTAACTATATAGTCTCTAAACGTTTTATTTAAAATCAAGGAATTTCTGGATTTAGGGATACTGATCTTAAGGTTTCAAAATACATAATATAGGTTGTCCTTAATTAATCTGAGGGGGCCAAACTTTGGAAGTGAAGACTTTTTTTTTTTTAAAGATTTATTTGTTTATACAAGAGCTGGGGTACAGGCCAGAGGCGCGAGAGGGTGAGAGGATTCACCAGAGACAGAGCGGGGGGTAGGGGAGGGGAGCAGAACAGGCAGACGGACTGAAAGCACTACTGAGGGGAGCAGCAGGCGAGACAGGAGAGGTCTGCCACACCATGTGGGTATCTCCCTGCCAGCCAGGAATCAAACCCGTGCTGCAGAGGCAGCAGACAGCTGCGCTCAACCTGCTGCGCTACCGGGGAGGCCCAGAAGTGAACACTTTCTTGGGAAACATTTAATATACACTAAGTTGCAAAGATGTTTTCACATGAGCTTGGCCCCACTATTAGGTATTTATTAAAGCAGTTATGAAAAAATTAAGGAATCTTTAGCACTTACTCTCTTCATAGCTATTAAATGTTGCAGAATAGCAGAAATGCTCTAACTTTTATTGGAAGATGGCATTCCTGACCTCACAACATCATATGTATTAATGGACATAGTATGGGATTTACTAAATCTGCTAATTGACCTATCAGATAATTTCCATATCTTTATTCCTTTCTGTCTGATCTTTTTTTTTTTTTGTGGGATCCTTGCCGGTGGCTGGGGATTGAACTGGCGCTGCAGAGGCTGCGGGCAGCCTCACAGCCCAGCGCTCAACTGCTCCACCAGGGAAGGCCCGCTATCTGATCTTTATTGGTTATCTGACTGATCAGGGCTATAAGTACCGATTATAACAACAACCTTGCACTGGACTTTTATAATGTACTTTTATTATTTGGGAAATAAGAAGAACTACATTTAGAGTATATAAAATTGGATGACCTGCTATTTCCCCTCATTATGCATAGTATCAGTACTTTCTTGTCAATTCTTACCTGGAGATAACATTTCTACTCGACTCTATGCCTAAAATCAACTAATTATTATGCTTCCTTTATGCCCTACATCAAGAATAATTTGAATTCCTACTTGGTACCTTGTAGCTGTAGCCCTCTCAAGCATTTGATGCATTTTAACATATTAATTATTTGCACGTGTCTTGAAGATATTACTAATTTAACATCTTTCAGAGAACTTTGTGTAATGTTTTTTTCATAACAGGCACTTAAATGAAAGAATGCTTTGCAAAATTGAGACACAAATACAAAAGAATAAGATATAGTTATACTTGTAAACAGATGCCAAGGTTCAACATGAAAAGTGTATTTTTAATTTAGGGGAAGTACATACCAGTGATGCTGTCCGTATAGTAGCAAAGTGTTCTCGATTACGATAGTGTGATTTGTGACGAGATACTTGGGGTGGAGATTGTGGATCTGATGCTCTTGTTCTAGGATCACCCTCTTCTCTGTAATTTTCTTCCTCCTAGGCAATGAGAGAGACAATACTATATAAGGGGAACAAACACAGTTAACTTGACCTTACAAGAAAATTTAAGCTTAAAGACAACTTGATCAAATCTCAAAGATATAATTTTAAAAAGCAAAAATAAACAGATATTAGGAATAATGACATATTTATTTTCAACATAATTAGACTCAGGAGACATGATTTTCTCAGTGAATGAAATAGTACACAAAGTCAGGATAAAGACATGCACAACACTAGATTTACATGCAAAATTGAAAAGCTTTAACATAACTTAGAAACAAAATGATAAAGCATATTTTTAAAAAGGATTTTAAACAGCAGTAAAAAATTAATTTCTTTAAGGTTCTTCGGTTTTATAAGGAAAAATAGTGTTAAAATTCCTTTATAGGGCCTCCCTGGTGGCACAAGGGGTTAAGACACAACCTATGAAGCTATCCGCAGCCACTGCAGCATGAGTTTGATCCCCAGCCAGGGAGCTACTCACATGGGGTAATACTCTTTTCTATTATTATAAAACAAAAATTAAACATGATTTTGCTATGAACAACATTAATAATTAACTAAATCATTGTAACAACTTTGAGTGTATATGTGGTTTGGTCATAAAAATGACCAAAAAATTATATATAAAACATATATAAATTTCTATATAACACTTTCCATTTTAATTATCTTAAGTATGTAATTTAGTGGTATTACATTTTCAAAGCTGAGCAACCATTGCCACTATTTCCAAAACTTCATCATCACCCCAAAAGGAAACTGTAGCTATTAGCCTTAACTCTCCATTTCACCTCCACTCAGTTCCCAGTAACATCTAATCTGCTGTTTTTCTTAATTTGCATATTGCATACACTCCATAAAAATGGAATTATGTAACATTTGTCCTTTTTGCAGAATTATGTTAAGCAAAAGAAATCAGAAGGAGGAAGATAAATACTGGATGGTTTCACTTGTATGTGGAATATAGAGAAACCAAACAGGATCAGACAAAGACAAACTTTAACACCAAACCTTAAAAGCTGACCATTAATCTGAGGCATGCAGGAGGTGAATGGGATGGGAAGGGGTAAGATGAGGGACTGGGGAAGAGCACAATGGAGTAAGGTGGAGGACTATGGGTGCTTGGTGGTAGGAAAACTATAGTGACCATACCTGAAGGGAGAAATCCTATACTGTCAAAAAATTAGCAAGAATGAAAGTAGTGGTACTTCATTAAAAAAAAATTTGTACTTTTGCATCTGACTTATATGGCTTGTGTTAATGTTTCCAGAGTTCATTCATGTAGCATGTACCAGAATTTCGATCTTTTATATGTTAACAGTATTCCGTAAGATGCATGTATCACATTTTATTTATCCATTCATTTGTTGATAGATACTTAGGTTGGTTCCACGTTTAGTTATTGTTTCTAATAACTTATTAAGTAATAACACAAGCTGTAAGTTAAAAAGGAAGTATTCCTTTTAATTGCTAAAAGGAGTTAACTGACTTTCAAGTAAAGAAAAAATTTAATTTTGCTTGCAAGTATCAAGAATAATGTAGCAAATAACTGTATTTCCTAAACCCAGAATTTATAAGTGTACTAATTTATTTAAAAGATAAATATTACATATAATGCAAAAAAAGCTTTTGGTCATCACTTCTCTAAACCCTTTTCTCCATTAGGGCCTTCCTGGTGGCCTATGGGTCTAGTCTCAGCACTATCACTGCTAAGGCCTGAGATGAATCCCAGGCCAGGGAGCTAACCCACATGGTATAGCAGACCTCTCCTGTCTCGCCCCCTACTTCTCTTAGCAGTATATTTCAGAAATCTGCCTGTTCTGCTCCCCATTCTGTCTCTGGTGAATCCTCTCACCCCGAACCCTCGAACCTCTGGCATACGAAACAAACAAAAACAAACAAACAAACAAACAAAAAACCCCTTCTCCATTCCCCAAAGACAATCATTATAGTGAATTTCATTTGTGACTTACTGTTTTTAAATATTTTATTTTCCATGTATTTATATATTCTCCTCTTCAGATTTAAAAAATAATTATTCTTGTATTCTTAAAATACTAGTTTCTCAAATGCACATAATACACTGGGAATTAACATACCTATTGCCATTTTAAAAGAAATTACCTGAAAATGTTCCACATTGATACACCAGAGAAATCTCTCTTTAATTCATCAGACGAAGAAAATTATGTATCAAATTTGAAATGTTTTTCACTGAAATCCAAATACTCACAGGTTTTAAGTGGATGACAGAACTATTAGACATTACTGTGTGGTCTCCCTCCATCATGTCTAGTTCGCTCTTGTCATCTGAAGCATCTGGAAGACTATTAACACTACTGCTTTGGCTACTGGCACTGATGGACATACTGGGGATAGACTGATTACTTCCAACACTATTCACTGTTCCTGTTCGTCCAACACCATGGTCTTGCTCCTATGGAAAAAGAACATTAGTTCAAACATTGATGTCTTTTGAAATCTTGAATATTTAACAACTGTTTGACCACAGTCCTAGAAAAGAAGTCACTGGTCTATCATCAGAAACTCCATTTATCATGGCCAGGGTATTTCCTAAGTGCTAATTGACAGAAAAGCAGAAAAAACCTAACCATGGATAGAGTTCATCAGTTTAGGGTTATTTCCAAAGTGATGTAGCATTTTCCCTAGATAGACATTTTTTGAAATTCATTTCTATATCACACATCTTGTGGGGTATATATATCCATATTTTGTTCATTTCTCAATAACTCCTTGGTTAAAATAAGCCCCGACCTCCAATTTTAAAATCCTTTAACAATCCCCTTTTAGGATCATGCTCAGCAAAATAAGGCAAAAAGAAAAAGAAAAATACCGGATGGTCTCACTCATAGCAGGAATCTAGAAAACTTAAATAAGGGACCAGGAAAAAGAATAACTATAAGAAAGAAAATATCAAAATCAACAAACAACTATGAACCAGGACACTCTATGGGGGGTGGGGGGCAGGGAAAGGAGGGCTTGGGGTCAAAATAAGGGGGTTGTAATTGTATGGGGAATATAAAAATAAAATTTAAATAAAAAAATAAAATGAAAAAAAAAAAACCAATCCCCTTTTAGTTGTTACTTTTTATTAAAGCCTTTCGTAAGTAGATTTTTCTTTCTTTCTCAGAATTATAGGCTCTAATCTACCCTTCTATTACTAAATAATTTAATTCCTATCAAATTTTATGTAAATTAAAATTACGTATATTATATAATATATTACATATGTATTTATAATTATATATGTATTTAATCAAAATCATAAGAATGTTTTTCTGAAGTAACCTGGCCTGACCAAACCTGGCAAATCATGGCATTTGGGCATGAACAGTCACTTCACCAATGCCAAAATTCTATGAAATATGTAAAATTTAATAAAAATAGACACATAGTAAATGTGTAGATATATTTTCCTTTTCTTATATCCCTAGCCTAACAGAGATGCTATTACAGATTTAACTATATAATAATTTTGCTAATTTTACAACTTTACTAAAATACTTCATATTTCAAAAATAGCCCAATACAATTTCTAATGACTATTATATGAACAACAACCAAAAAAACCTGTACATTGTCTTACATTTTAATAGTTCATAATTATGTGGTATTATGAGACTTTATCATTTTTTTTTAAATGACACTGTTTTTCTTTTTCTTTCCTTTTTTTTTTATAGAGGCATGTTTTTATTTTATTTGTTTGTTTGTTTTTTGTTTATACATGCACTGGGTACAGTCAGAAGCATGGGAGGGTGAGAGAATTCACCAGAGCCAGAGCAGGGAGCAGAGCAGGCAGAAGGACCGAAGTACACTGCTGAGGGGAGCAGCGGGCGGCAGGAGAGGTCTGCACACCATGTGGGACCCTCCTCCAGTGGCCGGGAGCAGCCTGGGATCGAACCGGAGCCGCAGAGGCCGCGGGCAGCTTCGCAACCCAGCGCTCAACCGCTGCGCCACCGGGGAGGCCCAATTACGTGGTATTATGAAAAAGAAATATCTACTAGGTTGAGAAAGTAATCTATCTCACTGAAAAGAAATAGAAATGAATCAGAGCTTTGGAATTCTGTCAGAACAAACAACAAAACTGAAAATATTTAAAATAAAAAAGACAATTCGGGCCTCCCTGGTGGCGGAAGGGGTTAAGCAACGCACTATGAAGCAATCCACAGCTTCTGCAGAACGAGTTTGATCCCTGGCCGGCCAGGGAGCAACCTATATGGCACAGGAGACTTATCCTGTCTCGACCACTGCTCCCCTCAGCAGTGTACTTCAGTCAGTCTGCCTGTTCTGTTCCCCACTCTGTCTCTGGTGGATCCTCTCACCCTCCTACCCCTGCATCTCTGGCCTGTACCCCAGCTCTTGTATGCATAAATACATAAATCTTTAAAATAAAAAAAAATACAATTCTACAAATTATAAACTTTGTATGTATATTTCCTCGTAGAAAAGTTCTGTAACTACTTTTTTTTTTTTGCAATTTATATTTCCATTGCAGCTAAAAAGCAACATATAAAGAACGTGACCTTAAGAGTGAGAGATATATAAATTTGAAGCCATATGACTCTAACTACAGAGAGTTTGTTAACTTCTATGAGTTTTACCTTATTCATCTGTAAAATGAGTATTTTAGAACAGTGAAGGTGGAATGAAACTATGTATAACTATCCCTGGTAAGAGTAGGGATAGTTAGTAACTTTCTAATGACTTCTGAGTAAATGTTATTTAATTCCAGAGTCTATAATTACAAATATTTCCAAAAGTATGTCCCATAAAATTGGAAGTCAGGCAAAAAAGGGTTCAGGGGCCAAGAATTTGAGAGAGACTAAGTTACTGATAATTAAAGTTGAAGAGTTTTTTTTTTTTTTTTTTTAAATAAAAGACTTCATTGTGCTTTTTCATGCCAATGTGTATCACGAAGGGGTTGAACTTAACGAATACAATAATTTTTTCCCAGTTGGGATCTTATAAAATATTCTTGGCAAAACAAGTTCCATAAGGAAAACAGTATTAAAGAAAACTCATTAGTTTAGTCATTTCTAAGTTATTACCTCCTCTTCTTCCTGTGCTTCTACTGCTGGTCCATTATGTGCCTCCTGGAAAAGGAGTTTCTTCATCTTCCGATACTGTAGATTGTCCAGCTCTCTAACTGCATCCTTTGTTCTTTGAATGAGATCTATTAACACTGTTTCAGGGCGCTCCCGAAGAACAAACATGTGCTGGGTAAGAGTAGAAGGTAAAAGTCAGTTTGAATTCTACACATTAACTCTCTATATATCTTTTCAATTAATACAAATGTACCCTCTTCTCAGATCCTAGAATTACTCTCCTAATAATCACAAAAGATAATGCATATTGGGCCTCCCCGGTGGCGCAGCGGTTGAGCGCTGGGTTGCGAAGCTGCCCGCGGCCTCTGCGGTGCTGGTTCGATCCCCGGCTGCTCCCGGCCATGAGAGGAGGGTCCCACATAGCGTGCAGAACTCTCCTGCCGCCCGCTGCTCCCCTCAGCAGTGTACTTCGGTCCTTCTGCCTGCTCTGCTCCCTGCTCTGGCTCTGGTGAATTCTCTCACCCTCCCGCGCTTCTGACTGTACCCAGTGCATGTATAAACAAAAAAACAAACAAATAAGGGGCCTCCCCAGTGGCGCAGCGGTTGAGCGCTGGGTTGCGAAGCTGCCCGCAGCCTCTGCAGCGCCGGTTCGATTCCTGGCTGCTTCCCGGCCACCGGAGGAGGGTCCCACATGGCGCGCAGACCTCTCCTGCCGCCCGCTGCTCCCCTCAGCAGTGTACTTCGGTCCTTCTGCCTGCTCTGCTCCCCGCTCTGGCTCTGGTGAATTCTCTCACCCTCCCGCGCTTCTGACTGCACCCAGTGCTTGTATAAATCAATCAATCAATCTTGTAGAAACAAATAAATAAATAAATAAATCTTAAAAAAAAAAAAAAAAAACAAACAAACAAATAAAACATGCCTCTATTAAAAAAAAAATTAAAAAAAAGATAATGCATATTATCTATAGCTATGTAATTCTATTCAACTTCTGAATTCTTATATTTACAAATTGTCATTTATTTGTGTGTATGTGTGTACACTGAGCCTACTTAACTACCTCTATGTATCTTTTAAGAACTTTGAACATAATATCTCTGTTGGTTAACTGAAAATAGAGCTGACATAATCAAAGGTCTAATTAATCACTAAACACTGTCAAATTAGAGCCCCAGATAAAGGCTAAATAAAGACTTACATACTCTTAGAAGTACTGACTGCATAGAAAAGACAAGTTCAGTTCTGAGTTATGTTATAACTGTGGTTTTAACAGGAATATATTTCCTAATGATAATTATATAACAAATCTGGATATCATGGGCTCCTTTACATGTTATATAAACAATACTTCACAAAACACTAGCAGCTGACTGAAGGACATTATTGGGGATTTTTATCACTAACATATAATAAAGCTCAACCTTATCAAATACAGAAAAGTAGAGCACTTCTACCATAAGAAATTATAGCTGCAACAGCATTTTGTTTTAAAGATTTAGTTTATTTATTTATGCATCCAAGAGCTAGGCCAGAGGTGTGGGGGCAGAGGGGTGAGAGGCTTCATCACACACAGACTAGGGAGCAGAAGGTGAGACAGCAGAGGTCTGCTGCATCATGTGGATTAGCTCCCTGGATGGAGACTGAACCCGTGGTGCAGTGGCTATGGATAGCTTCATAGTGCTGAGACTTAACCCCTTGTGCCACCAGGGAGGCCTACTGCTATAGTATTTGGATACAGTTCTTTTCACAAATTTTCTATGTGTAGATTGTGTTAATACATAGTACACAGAATGCAGAAGGCTACCTTCTGCCCTTGGGTTTATGAGATGCCCCTGAATTTTTGAAAAATTTTTTAAAGATTTATTTATTTATTTTATACAACTGGGGTATAGGCCAGATGCGCGGAAGGGTGAGAGGATTCACCAGAGACAGAGTGGGGAACAGAACAGGCAGACTGATGAAATACACTGCTGAGGGGAGCAGCAGGTGAGACAGGAGAGGTCTGCTGCGCCATGTGGGACCCAAACTGGCTGGCCGGGATCAAACCGGAGCTGCAGAGGCTGCAGACAGCTTCAAGGCGTGGCGATCAACTGCCTGTGCCACCAGAGGAGGTCTGAATTCTTAAATTTTTTACCTTCTTTATTAATTTTTTATTTATTAATCAAATTTATTTCTTCTCTATGCAGTTATAACTATTCAATATTTTATTCTTTCATTGTCATAAGTGTTATTTCAAGTACATAAACACATCTGTACAATATTTTATCAAATATTTATGCCAAAATTACTTAACCATACCCTAATTCTAAAGTTATTTCCATTTTTTTAAACAAGTTTTTTATTAAGATTTTATTTATTTTTGTGTATAAGAACAAGGGTGTAGGCCAGAGGTGCAGGGGGGTGAGAGGATTCACCAGAGAGAGAGTGGGGAGCAGAACAGACGGATTTACTGAAATACACTGCTGAGGGGAGCAGGAGGCAAGAGAAGAGAGGTCTCATGTGGGTTAGCTCCCTGGCCAAGGATCAAATTCAGACCACTGGGTGGCCCATCTTTGTGATAGTGCTGAGACAATCCCAACGCCACCAGGGAGGCCCCTATTTCCAGTTTTTATTTCTGAAATAAAAAGCTTCATACATTTAAAAGCATTTTTCTATTAATTTTTTCTCTATCTTGGATGAGTAGAGATACATATGTAATTAGGACAAAGGGAAAGAAGGAATTGCTAAATATTTCTATCATTTCAAATAAAGTCATGCTAATATTTGCTACAAACCAGGTAAATGTATACTACATGTAGACTTGGAAATCCAATCACTAAACACCAAATACCTGGCCCTACTAAGCTGCAGTATTACCAAAAGAACTTCTTTTGCCTATATGAGGCATGTATAAGAAATCAGTCACATTCTTTCTTTTGCTTTAGCCAGATCTTGGTGTGTACCACTATTTATAATATCTTCTTTTCCAAAAAATTAGTCATCATTTCTGAGACTGTGAGTAAACATACTGCCTAAAAGTCCCCAAGCATTACTGAAACTTTATATTGCACTTCTACATACTTTGGTACAAATACTACTATTGGACACGTGTGTGTGTGTGTGTGTGTGTAATACATATAGTCAACAATGGTACTGCTATTAATAAAATGATCATGCTCCAAACAAATAATACATTTTTGAGAACAGAAAGCATATGCCAATCTTGCAAATTAGATAAAGAAATTACTTAAAACAATAGAATTTATATGAGTTTAAAAATATTGTCAGGGGGCCTCCCTGGTGGCGCAAGGGGTTAAACACCACATTATAAAGCAATCACAACCTCTGCAGCACGAGTTAGAACGCTGGCCAGCCAGGGAGCAACCCACATGGCACAGCATGTGGGGTGTAGCAGACCTCTCCTGACTCGCCCACTGCTCCCCTCAGCAGTGTACTTCAGTCAATCTGCCTATTCTTTTCCCCATTCTGTCTCTAGTGAATCCTCTCACCCCCGCATCTCTGGCCTGTACCCCAGCTCTTGTATGCATAAATAAATAAATCTTAAAAAAAATTCTCAGGCCTCCCTGGTGGCGCAAGGGGTTAAGACGCAACCTATGAAGCTCACTGCAGCCACTGCAAGCACAAGTTCTATCCCTGGCCAGGGAGCAACCCACATGGCATAGCAGACCTCTCCTGACTTGCCCGCTGCTCCCCTCAGGAGTGTATTTCAGTCAATCTGTCTGTTCTGTCCCCTATGCTGTCTCAGTGAAACCTCTCCGCCTCCATCCCCTCCCCCTCCAGGAGCTCTGGCCTGTATTCCAGTTCTTGTATGCATAAAAATAAAAAATAAATCTTAAAAAAAAAAACTGTAAAAAAAAAAATTCTCACTAAGTCAGAAAATTACATTTCCAAAATGGTAACAAAAATTATTATATCCACTTCTAACAGTTTGTTTTGTAATCTCTTTTCTCTTTCATATTGGGGTTGTTGGAAAGGTCATGATACATTTTTGCAAAGGAAACAGAAAAAAATATGTCATGACTTTTCCCACAAGCCAGTATTTATGTAAATATATTACGCAGTTTTTCTTTCATGTTATTTTATTGATAGACTTTTATTTTTTTAATTGATAGACTTTTAATATGTTAAATACAAAAAATATAGATTAGATAAAAGCCATTATTTTTATTTTGGCTTGTCTTCACTTAATTTCTTCCCCCCCATAAGTAATTTCACAGTATTTTAATACAGAACAGAAAATATGTAAAGCATAGTAGAGATAAACTAAATCCAAGTTAAACAATGCTTTACCAACTTTGAAATGAGACATCTTCCATAGGAACTGAAATTTATAATTCCACAAATGTATTCTATATACATACAGAAACTGAGCCATTTGGTTGGTACCTGAATATTTAACTATATATTCTATTCATAAAGAGTAGAAACAGTTGATACTGATAAAACAAATGAAAAAACTTCACATTCTGAGAGAAATTTCAAGAAAGGACAATACATAAAATTAGTACTTTAGTAAAAATCAGTATAGCATACTAATCCTGATTCAGATTAAAGAAGAAGAAGACATTCCTTTTTTTTTCCGTAGAAAAATTGGGGTGTAGGCCAAAAGTACATGGGTGAGAGGATTAACCAGTGACAGAGTGGGGAGTAGAACAGGCAAATATGCTGAAATACACTGCTATGGGAAGCAGGGGGCAAGACACAAGAGGTCTGCTACAACCTATGTGGGTTAGCTCCCTGGCTGTGGATCAAACTCCGGCTGTAGTGGTAATAATGGTGATAGCGCTGAGACTTAACTCCCAGGCCACTAGGGAGGCACCAAAATATATTCTTTTTATTATTATTATTATTTTTTTAAAGATTTATTTATTTATTTATTTGTTTGTTTATACAAGCACTGGGTACAGTCAGAAGCGCGGGAGGGTGAGAGAATTCACCAGAGCCAGAGCGGGGAGCAGAGCAGGCAGAAGGACCGAAGTACACTGCTGAGGGGAGCAGCGGGCGGCAGGAGAGGTCTGCGCACCATGTGGGACCCTCCTCCAGTGGCCAGGGAGCAGCCGGGGATCGAACCGGCACTGCAGAGGCTGCAGGCAGCTTCGCAAGCCAGCGCTCAACCGCTGCGCCACCGGGGAGGCCCCCAAAATATATTATTTAAAATAATTATTTTTTTAAAAGTAGGATCCTTGGATCATTTCTTTCTTTCTTTTTTAAAGATTTATTTATTTATGCATACACGAACTGGGGTACAGGCCAGTGGTGTGGGGGGGTGAGAGGATTCATAAGAGACAGAGTGGGGAACAGAACAGGCAGATTGACTGACATACATTGCTGAGGGCCGCAGCGGGTGAGTCAGGAGAGGTCTGCTGTGCCAAGTAGGTTACCACCCTGGCTAGGGGTTGAACTTGTGCTGCAGTGGCTGCAGTTGGCCTCATAGTGCTGTGTCTTAACCCCTTGCGCCACCAGGGAGGGTCCTCTTTTTTTTTTTTTTTTTTAAGATTTATTGCTTATTTACTTATGTATACAAGAACTGGGGTGTAGGCCAGAGGTGTCGGGGGTGAGAGGATTCACCAGACAGAATGGGGGACAGAACAGGTGGATCTACTGAAATACACTGCTGAGGGGAGCAGTGGGTGAGACAGGAGAGATCTGCTGCACCGTGTGGGTTAGCTCCCTGGTCAGGGAGGGGATCAAACTCATGCTGCAGTGGATAGCTTGATAGCACTGAGACTTTTGCCCTTGCGCCACCAGGGAGACCCTTTAAAATAATTTCTTAGGGCAAACAGACTTAGAGTGTAATTGCACTGACCTTTAAAAGTTCATCTGATGTAGGGCGATCTTGAGGGATTTTCTGGAGACAAGAATCTACAAAGTTGCGAAAATAATCAGACCTATTGTAAAGGAAAGTATCAAGTGAACATATTGCTATTTCATTTAAAAACACATCCACAAATCAAGGCATATGCCTATTGGTGGCAGGTCGAATGGAAAATAAACAATTTTTTTTAAAAAAGATACACTATACATTATTGTATATAAATCTATATTCATATAAGTCTGAAAATTTATCTCAAGCAACCAATGAATCTTTATTATAATTCAAAGATAAACTTACAGATTTTAATATTCTGTTTAAATATCACATTTAAATATCATATATTAAATATCATAACTCATTTGATACTGAGGCAAAATTAGGGAAGTCCATCCTTTTCTTTTTGCATTCAAATCTAAGGTGTAATTCTTCTCAATTATTTTTTTTTCTCAAAGCCTACTCTCATTTGCTCCTTGTATCATCCTTCTATATAGCATGTTTCAGAACATCTCTCTACTTGCTTTGGAGGGAGCATTTCTAAAACCTCAGTGTTTGCTGTCCTTGAGAAAATAGATACAACTTCCATTAAATCCAGAAAAACAACTAAGATATTTTAAAAAACATTAAATGTTTGTAACATTAAAGTGTTATTGATTAGAATTCAGTGAGTAAAGCAGTAATGATTACTCCAACAATTTTTAATATTCAAATAAAAATTTAAGTTTATTGTATATAAGAATTCTTTTTTGAATCCCAAAAGTATTAAACACAGTGGAAAGATAGTCTGTGGTTAAAATATTTATTACTTATATATACTAAATAATAAACTATGCCAAAAGATTCCTCTTATATATCTCTATAGAAGTCGCAAAGATAAATGAATGCACCTTAATTATGTAATCTTTAAAAGTAAAGTATTGGTAAGTTAAACATCTATTTGTAAATTTTAAAATATTTATTAACTATGTTAGATATTCCCCCAAGAACTTTTCAAATGTTAAATATACTTAAGGAATTAATTTCTTACTAAAATTTTCTATCACTGATAAAAATTCCAGTTTTCTAAAATTTTCAATCTATTCTCCATAAACTTCTTTAAATAATAATGCTTGTTTTTATCAAAACAAAGTATTAGGAGAGGAACATCAGATCACTATGAATAATAATAATTAAAATAGGGCCTCCCTGGTGGCGCAGCGGCTTGAGCACAGTGCTGTGAAGCTGTCTGCAGCCTCTGCAGCGAGGGTTCGATTCCCAGTCAGCCAGGGAGATTCCCACATGGCGTGGCAGAACTCTCCTGTTGCGCCCACTGCTCCCCTCAGCTCCCCTCAGCTGTGCTTTCAGTCCGTCTGCCTGTTCTGCTCCCCACTCTGTCTCTGGTGAATCCTGTCACCCTCCCGCGCCTCTGGCCTGTACCCCAGCTATTGTATAAACAAAAAATCAATCTTAAAAAAAAATTTAAATGATTCTAAATTTCTAAGTTATCTGGTAATGCTGGGTAAGTCATTTTATGTTTTATACCATATAAATTATAAACCATTATCCAATAAAGTATCATTACAGTTTGTTGCAATCTATATACTTTAGTTGTAAAACATTACAGTTTATATCATGCTATTTATAGTATAATTAGGGTTTACGTGTGTTCCCAAAGTTCAAAGGAAAAATGAAATTTTTTAAAAAGCAATACTTATGCTTCCATGTGAAAATATCTATCTTTGTTACTGGACTGAGATGTATATGTGCTATGAAAAACAACAAAATAAGCAACAAATGAGAAAAATAAACCTATTTTAATATCTCTTCAATCAATACATTGTATTAGCTAAAATGAAATCATTTTTTTAAAATTATGAAAAAGCATTTAATCCATACAATGTAACAGACCTCTTAGTAATACTCACCATTCATTAGACTGTAGTGTAGGGGATTCATTTTGGGCTATGTGATATAAGGCACTCATTGCATTCATATTAAATAAAGGAGGCTTCCTTTCCGCTGTAAAACAGAAAACTCCTCTGTGAAAATATGTGCCTGATATGTAGGGGCACTCAACTATTGTTAGTTTCTTTCTTTTTAATTTGTTTTGAAATAATCTCAAACTTACCTCCAAATATTCAAGTACAGTGAAAAGAACTTTTTCAAGAAAATCAATTTAGGGTAAACTGCTGACCTGATGCCCCACTACCCCTAAATATATCCCTTGAATACGTAAGTCCTATAAAAAAAGAATATTTTACTAAGAAATATGACACATTCATTAAATCAAGTCATTAATGCCAATCCCAACTATCACCTCATGCTGAGCCACCTGCATATGTGAGTAATGCAATTCATCCCCCTAGGACTCCACACCTCCAAACCTGACCTACACCCCTTAGTGAAGAAATTTTGAATGAGTACAAGAAATAACTTGTTTCTATGATTACTAATGAAAGTTCAAATTTATTAAGTGGTATAATATCAGCATAACAAATTAGAGTACTTTTGGATTTTGTCCTTTACTGTAAAACTTTCATCAACACTGAACTTAGCTAAAAAATACAGAATTTCCAAAGCTAAAACATGGTAGAGTCAACTGATACTTTGATGGATTCAACTGATACTTTCCATCTTAAATTATCATAAGCTACTACTAAACAAATGGTTTTAACTATTTTTTAAAAAAGTAACAGAGATGCTAATTCTTATTGGTTTGTTGGGAGATTTCTGGAATTAGTCATCCAATTCCTTGCTAGCACAGTGCCACTTAATGATGGAGAAATGTGTCATTAGGTAATATGACTGATTTCTGTGATCCTTTGTGTTTTGGTTGTTATCAGTTATGTCTCCTTTATTTGCATACTCTCTTTTCTTGGTTAGTATAACTGAAAGTTTCTCTTTTTTGTTTAACTTTTCCAAAAACTAACTTATTATCATTATATTTTTTAACACTTTAATCTAGATTTCATTTATTTTTGCTAATTCCTTTTTTCTGGTAACTTTAGGCTTTTTTTCCTAGTTTCTTGTAGTATAAACCTAAGTTGAGATTTTTATTTTTTTTAATGTTGTAGTTATCACTAAGAATTTCCATCTTAGAACTGCTTTTGCTATGTCCCATAAATTCTGGTATACTGTATTTTTATTATCTCTTTTGATTTATTCTCTGACGTGGTTGTTCAATAACATGTTATTTAATCTTCATTTATTTGTAAATTTTCTTACTTTCTATAAGTGATTTCAAGTTTCATATCACGTAGTCAGAAAAGAGGTTTGCTGAAAGTTAAATCTTGTTAAATTTGTTAAAACTTGCCTTGTGTCATATTCTTGGAGGATGTTCCACAGGCACTTGAAAAGAAAATGCATTTCATTTTCTCTCCCTCTTTTTCTTTTTGAGAAGAATGTGTTGTCTGTTGCTCTTGGATGGAATATTCTGCTTATGTCTGTTGAGTCCATCTGGCCTATCATGTCATTTAAGGCCAACATTAAATTCCTGTTCTTTTTTTTTAAAGATTTATTTATTTATGCATACAAGAACTGGGGTACAGGCCAGAGGTGCAACAGGTTAAGAGGATTCACCAGAGACAGAGTGGGGAGCAGAACAGGCAGACTGACTGAAAACACTGCTGAGGGGATCAGCGGGCATTATAGGAGAAGTCTGCTGCGCCATGTGGGTATCTCCCTGGCCAGCTGGGGATGGAACTCGTGCTGCAGAGGCTGCAGATAGCTTCATAGTGCTGTGCTTAACCTCTTGCGCCACCAGAGAGGCCCTTAAATTGCGCCACCAGAGAGGCTCTTAAATTCCTTTTCAATCTGAATGATCTATCCATTGATGAAAATAGGGCATTAAAGTCCCCTGCTATTATTATACTGTTATCTATTTCTCCCTTTAGGTCTGTTAATATTTGCTTTGTATATTCAGGTGTTCCTATGTTGGACACATAAATGTTTACAAATGTTCTATCTTCTCACTGGATTTAGTTATTTTTGTCATTGTATCATGACCTTCTCTCTTACTATAATCTTTGTCTTAAGGTCTATTTTGTCTGATATTATAAATCGCATTACAGCTTTCTTTTGATTTCCATGTGCATGGAATATCTTTTTCTATGCTTTTCATTTTCACTGTTTCTGTGTTCTTATAGCTAATGTGTCTCTTATAGGTAGCATGTAAGTAGTCTGTTTTGTTTTTCAGTTTGTTCAGCCACTATATGTTTTTAGATTGGACAACATACAGCATTTACTGTTATAGTAAATTTTGCCACATATGCAATTATTCCCGTTTTGTTCATTGTTTTTTGACCTTTTGTAAATACCTTTATTCCTTCTGTTCTTGCTCTCATTCTTTGTGACTTGATAATTTATTTTAGTGGTTTACTTAAATTCTTTTACTTTTGTGTATCTATTAAGGGCTTTTGCTTTGTAGTTAACATAATCCTTATGTAAGTAACACATCTGTAAGTTTTTGACAATAACATAAATTTGAATGCATTCTCTAACTGCATTTTTACTCCCAGGTCCACCCCCATGTTTTATATTTTCTGTCATAGTTCAACATCCTTTTTATCTTGTGCATCCATTAAGAAATTTTACATAATTTTCCTTTTTTTATATTTCTGACATTTTATATATTCAACATGTAGCTTTATGATCAGAAAAAAATGGTAAAAATCCACTTTTATAATGACTGTCCATTGACATACATAGACTGAAAATTAACTAGGGACCTTTTGCCTTGGAGTTACTCTAAACAAATATGTAAACTCACCAATGAAAAATCCTGCTTTTTATGATTTCTTGGTCATATTACACAACCAAGTTATTTCAAAGTTCTAAACAGTTATATTGACTTAGTTATATTTATCAAAATGAAGTACAGTATAATTGATTTAAGTTTGTTCTCTTATCTTTAAGAAAGTTTCCTTTAATTCATTACACTTAATTATCTTAAAGTATCATAAGTAAAAGCATGTAAGAGATGTATTTCCCAAGACTGCAAATGTAATTTGCACTGAAAAGCATGCTTCTACACCTATGCTGTTTAACAGAGTAGCCACTAGCCACATGTGGCTATTTAAATACAAACTTATGTAAATGAAATAAAATTTAGCTCTTCAGTTGCACTAGCCACTTTTCAAGTACTCAAAAGCCACGCAGATACAGCACATCTCCTTCACTGTTGAAAGTTTTATAGGCCTGTGCTATTCTAGACCTTTCCCCAGAATAGTCAAGCTTAAAATATATTTTCTGATTTAGTTCTTCATGATTTAAAAAAAAAAAAAAAAAGAAGGAAAAAATTTAAAAGTACTATAAAAGACTACAAAAATTCAAGCTGGCAAATGTACCCATAAAACTCTAAGAATTTATTTAAAATCTCTCACTCATAAAAATACCCATTATGAAAGAATTCTATTCTATGAATTATAACAAAAAGCTAGAAAGCCTGGAAAACTAATTAGTCATATCATAGGAACTACATAACTTAGACACATTTCTTTCTGAGCAGTGTAAGTAGCCAATGAATACTTTTTAGTCAAATAAATATGAAAATAAATCAATGATATCTAACAGGATAACTCATACAATTTCACTAGCACCAAAGGGAACATAAATGCATCAGCCAGCATAAGTGTGAAAAAGTGCCCATGAAACAATTTCTCCACAGTTATACCCAGACCTTTTAAGAAATTAGTTAGAATCATCAGGTGGGAAGAAGAATTAAGGGGAAAAATAGTTTCAGACACTTAAAAATACTGTCAAATGGAATAAATATTTTGCAAACTTCAAATTAAGGCCAAATATAAGAAGAGCGTGACATATGTTACTGGTATTGTCAAACTTTCAAAACATATGATGGTATGGGGCTCAAAGGAAATGGTTAGTATTGCAATTCCAACAAAAGTCAAAATATTTATAGATTACATTATTTTGGAAAAATATTAGACTAAACAATAGAAATAGTAATTATAATGGAAATAATATTTACCTTCTGTGTAAGCTTCTATCTTCTGCAAGCTTTTTGTTTTTACCTCAATTTCCTTATGTACTTAATTTAAAAAACTGACAAACCCAGGTTGACATTGATTTATCAAAATGATACCCCAAGAATGATTCAATTAAATATTCCCAATAGTTTCCACTTTATAAATAAAATTTAATGGAGCACTCTTAAAAGAAGGCAGGAAGGAAAAAATATTGGAATGGGGGTGGGGAAATCAAGAGCAAGAAGATGACTATCATCTTGAATTACAGTGATAGTTCAGTATCTATCTGACTCACAGTAAGAATGTTAGTAAGTTGTAACATTATACCTTAAGCAGTTCCATTTATGGACAACAGAATGAAATATGTCCATAAAATCAAACTGCTACAATATGCTATGCAGCATGACATCTAATTTTCAAACCTAACTCTAATAAGTATCCTAGATAGAGGAAGTATTCATGAATACTTTGTAGACATTCTATAAATAGTAAATCTAGTAATTACAGACATATTCCAGATGTCTAAGAAATATTCATTAATGTTAGGTGTAAGATATATCAAACTTAGCTAATACCATAGTGGAAAAAAAGTTTAGATGTGATTTAACAGCACAGATATATTTAATCTAATATATCAAAAAAATTATAGATAAGTGAAAACTTAATTGCTCCCCTTAGAAACTGACATAAAGAGCTACAATTTGGTACAGAAAATTGAAGTAAAACACCAGGCAAAACTTACTCCATAGTAATAAAGAACAATGCTTACCAAGTTCAATACATGTTATTCCAAGAGACCATACATCTACTTTGCCATCATACTGTCCTTCATCCATGGCTAAAATTACTTCTGGGGCCATCCTAAAACATAATAATTTAAATTAAATTAAAAAAATGTATACTACTCTTGGGCTTCCCTGGTGGCGCAAGGGGTTAAGACACAACCCATGAAGCTATTTGCAGCCACTGCAGTACGAGTTCGATCCCCGGCCAGGGAGATACCCACATGGTGCAGCAGACATCTCCTGACTTGCCACTGCTCCCCTCAGCGGTGTATTTCAGTCAGTCTGCCTGTTCTATTTCCCACTCTGTCTCTGGTGAATCCTCTCACCCCCCCACACTTCTGGCCTGTACCCCAGTTCTTGTATGCATAAATAATCTTTTTTAAAAAATGTATACTACTCTTTAAAAATGTTGTTTCCAGACAATATATTGGGACTAAAGCAATTAAACAATTATCAACCTTAGTGGTATCTCGGTTATAAAATCAAATACTATCATCAATAAGTGTCTAACAATCTTTTTTTTTTTTTTTAAGATTTAGTCATTTCTGCACACAAGAACTGGGGTACAGGCCAGAGGTGTGGGGGTGGGAAAAGATTCACCAGAAACAGAATGGGGAACAGAAGAGGCGGATCTACTGAAATACACTACTGAGGGAGCAGCGGGTGAGTCAGAAGAGGTCTGCTGTGCCATGTGGGCAGCTCCCTGGCCAAGGATCGAACTCATGCTGCAGTGGCTACGAATAGCTTCATAGATTGTGTCTTAACCCCTTGCGCCACCAGGGAGGCCCAAGTGTCTAAACAATCTTGACGATACTTAATATTCATTTGTATTTGATATTAAGTATAGACATTTAGATTGTTATCAGGTACCCCAGAGTATATGTGTGCATAGTAAAGACATACAAATGTCTGTGTTCCCAAAACACTCTATACAAATCAATAAATACATAAACTTTCAGTTGTCATTAAAAGGATGCTTCCAATGTGATTTTTAAGATTTTGGGGAAAAAGTCTGTGAAATAGTTAAGCAAAGGTAAACAAATAATTTTTGTTTTATATTAGAGAACATTCCAGGACCCTTTTAATACCTAATATTAGTCATTTCTAAAGAAGGGATACAGGGGTCCTCCCTGGTGTTGCAAGGGATTAAGTCTCTGCACAATCAAGCTATCTGCAGCCACTGCAGTGAAGAGTTCAATCTGGCCAGGGAGTTAATCCACATGGCACAGCAGACCTCTCCTGTCTCACCCACTGCTCCCCTTAGTAGTGTATTTCAGTCAATCTGCCTGTTCTGCTCCCCACTCTGTGTCAGGTGAATCCTCTCACCCTGTACCTCTGGCCTACTCCCCAGCTCTTTTGTGCATAAATAAGTAAAATAAATCTTTAAAAAATAAAAAAATAAAGCGGGCAAACAAGAAGCATTATTATTTTCTCAAAGCACCCTATTTATAGTAGGAAGGACTCCATCTTAATGGGCTCTACATAAGAAGTTTTTGGTCACCGAGAGCAGTGTTAAGTTGATATTCAAATTTTACCTCCAAAGAACTTATAAAAACTAGCTAACCCCTTGCACATTTTCAGTTGATTATCACTATATAGCCTAATTAGCAAAGGCAACTTTCATGGTCATCTCAATGAGTCAAATCAGACTAAATTTCTGTCAGAATAAGTTGCACTTCATTTTTCAATGTAAATAGCATGTTACTATGTCCCCAGGACAACCATCTGAGTTATAAATTCTAAACTAGAAAAAAAAAAAAAGAAGTGACAGAGATTACCAAGGAGAAAAAAAAAAAACAAGGAGTAAAAGTGAAAGGAGGGTGATGACTGAAAAAACACAGGGTCTTGTCAAGAGTTTATGTCATGATTCTTGTAGATGCTATATTTTCTTCAAGGGGTCTTTATGGTGATGCTCAATAATTATGTTCAGGGTGGGTAAGAAATATTTCTTCAAAAAAAATATTTCTTCTATGAAAAGGGAGAAGAGAAATTTGAACAGCGGGTGAGCAAAGAAGATGTAGGGAACCTAAGATAGCAATACACAGAGCAAAAAAGTTGCATGCAGGCTAAATTACTGTGTAAGACTTTAATACACTCATGCATATTTGAAATTCTTCATAACAATAAAGAAAAGACAAAACAAAAAATTCCAGATGAGCATGAGTACTCTTTATCTGAAGATCACCAATACACAGAAAAATCAAAATTTAAAGAAAACATACAAATTTCCACTTAATATTTATATCATCTGCTACTTGAATTTTTTTTTTAAGATTTATTTTTATTTATTTATACAAGCACTGGGTATAGTCAGAAGCGCGGGAGGGTGAGAGAATTCACCAGAGCGGGGAGCAGAGCAAGCAGACTGAAGTACACTGCTGAGGGGAGCAGCGGGTGGCAGGAGAGGTCTGCACGCCATGTGGGACCCTCCTCCGGTGGCTGGGGAGCAGCCGGGGACTGAACTGGGGCTGCAGAGGCTGCGGGCAGCTTCACAACCCAGTGCTCAACCACTGCGCCACTGGGGAGGCCCTACTTGAATTTTTTATTGAAGTTTTCCACTGCCACACCCAGTATATGATACAGATAATAAAAGGAAAGAAACATAGGGGCAACAAATGAAAAAACAGGAGCTGCAAGGGCAGCACTCCAAATCTATACCTAAAATTAACTGTAAATGATGTACATAATAGCAGTGTATTTCCAGAAAAAGGTAAGATGTGAAATAAGTACAACCTATGGCCTATTATAATCAAAGATCAATACCAGATAGAATTATTCTTACCAATACGGTGTTCCCACAAAAGAATTGGCAGGAGATGCCATGGAAGCAGATCCAAAGTCAGCAAGTTTCACCTGGCCTGGTTCTGTCAGAAGGATATTTCCTGCTTTGATATCTCTGGGGTTAAGACACACAGAAAATCATACATCTTTCCTTCATTGGATTACACTGAAATTGATAAAACTCAAGAATTTGTAAAATAGAGAAGCAAACAGCAAAATAAGTAAATCCTATGACAATCTCTCAGACAAGGTGAGAATTAAAATCCAAATTAGAAAACAAAAAGACTACAAATCCAAATAAATATACTGTAACAATTTTATAAAAGACGAAACAGCAATAAAAATAAAAGACAAATCCAGGTAACTGGAACACAAATCTATAATTGAGTTCCTGTTTATTGGTACAAAACAATGTTTTTTTAAAATCTACCTTAACTGATTAAACACTCCTGAGTAAATACGAAATGAAAGCAAAAACAGATGGAAGGTACTCTGAAGTTGAGAAGACCACAGATTTTAATTCCAACTCTCCCATTCACTTACTTAGCATGTGGATTTCTCCTGTAACTCACTCTGACTCTACCATGTAGCTTAGTATGTATTCCTTGGTTAAATATGTAATCAAAAACACTAACTTCCTTTTAAAAAAGGCAAAACTAATAAATACCAATGCTAAAGGGGCATTATATTATAAAATGGTATAATCTTAAAATTACTACCCATTATAAAGGATTATCAAAAATACAGTCTCAATTAGCTGTTATTTATCCATGTCATGGAGTCAACAGAACAAATCTGGCATTATCAGTTACCAGGATGACAAATTATCTAGGTTTATAGTTCTAATATAATTTATGAAGTAGATGTCAGTTTCTTCATCTGTACAAATATAGAGTAAAACTACATAATCCCTAATGTCCGTTCCAATTGGCATGATATGATTCCACTATTACATTTCTATCACAAGTATATAAAGTATACATGATTCACAAAGTCTGGAAGCATGCACAGACAGAAATAAAAACTATCCTAAAAAAAGACAAGTATACTAGTATTTTGTTTTTAATAATCTAAACAATAATCTAAAACAATATGAATTTATAAGATTCTGAAATTCTTTTATTTGGCTATATACAACCAACAAAAATTTCAGGGTTTCAGGTTTGATAAATGCAAGATATAATTTACTTATTAATAAATGATAATTTTCAAAGTGCTTACCTATGGATCATGGTATGAGAATGTAAGTAGGCTAATCCCTGGAGAGCACCATGTGTAATTGCTGCTATTTCCACTTCTTGTAATGGTTTTTTGTGAACTTCAAATAAGATTTGGAAAAAAAAAGGAATTTATTTGAAAATAATTATTATATAGAATATTTTTGTTTAAAAAAATAGGCATACCTATTATATAGGGAATTTTTAAAAACTAACACTTAGCTAGATGGGATTTGCTTCCCTGGAAAACAAAACAGGCTACTAAACTTCATAACTATAATCAGTTGCAACTAGCTATTAAAATACAGTTCACAGTCAACTTTCCTCTAACAACATTTAACAATTACTTGGTGATGATAAAAATTTAAGTATCAAAAGAGAAGGTCTCCCTTTGTTCACATATATTTCATTTTCAACAAAAGGAACAAAACAAGTGAAAAGACAGAGAATGCATAAAAATGCTTTTTTTAGTAATTGAGAAAATTCACTGATTTTATGCTATTACTTTATTTAATAAAGACAGAGCAGACCACTGTGAAAATCTAGAAAAAACTAAGATTTTTGCCCTTTCTGAAATGTTTTTAAATTATTAGTATTAACATTATTTTAGAATTATCTACTGAATTTTTATTTTATTATGATAGTATCTTTTTCCTTAATGATTAAAGGAAACATACCTTCCAATAAGTCTGAAGCAGATCCTAAACAATATTCCATTACAAGCTACATGGGAAGAAAAGTTACAAAAGCATTAAGATATATTATTTAAAAGAGTCTATTGCAGCTAAAGTAAATTCATCAGAAATCCGAAGACACCTTGAAATAAAACAATCTTCTAGTCATCATTTAAATGTTTATTAAAAAATAAACATTTATGTATTTTTTAATTCGTTAAATGCTTATAAGGTTCAGCAAATGATACATTAGTCTTTTACAATGTCAACATATAATCACTTGTACAAGATGTGTTTCATATATAATTACCAACTAAAATTATAAAGGAACATACACATTCTGTTACTATTAACCTATAGTAGTAATACTGATTAAATTGCTAGGAAGCCTAAAACTATCCTCAGGAACAATATGTAAAGAGGTTAGAGTAACAGTTTAAAAGCTTCTTTTAAAACAAACAGAGCACCTCTTAACCTGCCAGGTATTTTATACATATTAACTATTTTTTAATGCTTACAACCACTTCACAAGACAGGCTCCATTATTACCCTTGACTTATGTAGAGAAACAGATAAACTGCTCAATGCCACTGCTTTTTCTTTAACCACAGACTCAAGATTAGAAGCACCTCCACCAAAATTAAACAGGATAAAAATGCACAAAATATTACAAATCTAAGTTCAATATACTCTGTGTGGCTTATTAATTATTCAAAATAAAGGATCATTACTGTTCAAAGAAAATTGAGCCTTTCTCTTAAAAGATACAGTTTTTATGAATATACCACTGCAAGATTACTGTCATATCAATGGTAACGGGGCAAAATTAATGAAGTGTTTTTCTACCTTTAAACTTCAGACAAGGAACTATAAAAATAATTCAAATTATACCAGGATTTATCATGCTCTTTATGGCTAAATTGGTTACAACAGATTTATGTCAAAAAGATGAGCTAACTTTCATCCTCAAGTAACAGGGTTGTTTTCACAATGCTATCTGAAAAATGATACTACTAAAAACTGTCAGAAAGGTACATAATGGTTAGCCAAATCTTTGCAGTATACTTAAAAGTTCTATTCTTTCTTTTTGCCTAAGAGTTTTAGGAAATGCTACACTTCTCTCTCAGTATGAGTGTTTTTGCATGGCTTTTACCCAACCATATTGAATCACTCTTATTAGTTAACTTTAAACCGATTAAAACCTCATATGGGGAGACCAGATACTCACCCATGCTGTGTGCTCACGTAAATAGCAACCTTTGTATTCTATACTGTTTGGATGTTTTATTCTTTGTAGAAACTTGACTTCCTTAATAATATCCTGCCACTTCTGTGGGAAGAAAAAAAAAGAATAAAGGAAGAATTATGATCAGCTGCTTTTCCTCAGTAAGTTATATAAGAAAAAAGTAATTAATAATTTAAGAAGGCATAAAAAAACACATCTTTTATTTGCAACATTTATATTAAATGTCCAAAAAAAAATTGTACTTCCAGCTCATTCTGCTCCCCTTGCTCCTACTACTCTGCCACCACAGGCTTTCTGCTTTGCAATGCCTTGCTCTAAAGAAACACTGGTCATCTTCTCAAGAAAGCTGGACTAGGCTGTGGAGGAGGGCTCTATAAAGGCTTTGCTTTGTATGGCTCTCAGACAAACTACTGTCCTGACCAGAAGGTTAGCACAGGCTGACCTATATAGTGCCCATGATTATATAGTACCACCTCTAGAGAAAGCCCTCATGAAAACTGACATTGAGATAGCTCTTCCTTCTGTCTTGGCTGCAGAATACTTCATAGATGTAGGAGCAGGTGTCACAGATGAAGATTTTAAAAGAAATATTGGTGTTGCAGTGTTTAATTTTGGCAAAGAAAAGTTTGAAGTTAACAAGGGTGATTAAATTGCCCAGATCATTTGTAAAGGATATTTTATACAAAAATAGAAGTTGTTCAAGTTTTGGTGGAAAATGAAAGGTGAGGTTAAAGAGGTTTTGGGTCCATTGGAAAGAATTAAAATTTATGCCAAGAATAGAAAATGAGAAAATTACTTCTAAGGAGTTTCTGCTTAAAGTGTTATGCTGTTCTATAAACTCAATAGCTTTAACTTCTAAAAATAGTTGGTTCTCTTATGATCATGGAAGGGGTTCCTCTGTTGGGATCACATTGGAGCTTACTTTGTTGTGTTTTTCTGTATCTAATTGGTGTATGAATGTATGGTGACCTAATACAAAGTTTCTTTTTAAAATTAAATGTGTATTAATTATAGGTCCAAAACAGTATATAATTTAATTGACTAGATGCTCAACTCCTTCAGCAACTTATGTTGTTTTAATTACTGTATTAAACCATAAACAATGCCTTTCATCTAGTAAACATGAATTCTTCCAGAGATACAGAAGTTTTGCATTAACTAAATCAAAAGATAAAAAAAGCTGAAGAAAAAAAAAGAAACTGTGTGTTCACATAGTTTACAACTCAATTACATTTTTAATAAAATTATTCTATTCAAGGTAGGACAATTTTAGTATGATAAAATTTATCAATGAGTCACTGAAATTTTATGGCCACACACCAATGTTGATGACAATTATGTATCATTTAGCATTTTTTCTTCTGAAGTTCAACTTCCCAATTATTAATTTAATCTTTATTGATGTATAATTTATGTGGTATAAAATTCACTTGGGCCTCCTCCCCTGTTGGCGCAGTGGTTGAGCGCTGGGCTGCGAAGTTGCCTGCAGTCTCTGCAGCGCTGGTTCGATCCCCAGCCGCAGGCAAGGGTCCCATATGGCGCAACAGACCTCTTCTGCCACGCTCCCTGCTCCCCTCAGCAGTGTATTTCGTCAGTCTGTTCTGTTCTGTTGTGTTCCCCGCTCTGGTGAATTCTCTCACCCTCCCGTGCTTCTGACTGTACCCAGTGCTTGTATAAATAAATAAATAAATAAATCTTTTTAAAAATTAAAATAAAATTCACTTACTGGTTTTTTTTCTTATTTTTACCAAATGTTAAGGTTTGCATGTTTTTAAACGCAAATAAAGTACTTAGGTAAATTCCTAAAGCACATTATCTAAAATACTAGTGAGCAATTAACTGTTAAATGGGAAAGTACACAGGAAAAGCAAGTACTAATGAAAACATTTTCCCACATATTTTATCAATATCCTTCATCAATGACGTTTACCAGGAAAAACATAAACCTTTGTTCATATTGCAAACATAGCTGTTACTCTTAAGAAGCAACCAGGGAATGTTAAAACTACAAGTCCTTGAGTCCCTACCCAAAGATTTACACAAAATGTGTAAGATATATGATGTTAATTCAGAAAAAGTTTTATAAGTTTTAAATTTCGAATTTGGGGCCTCCCTGGTGGCACAAGGGGTTAAGACACAACCTATGCAGCTGTCTGCAGCCACTGCAGCACGAGTTTAATCCCCGACCAGGGAGCTACCCACATGGTGCAGCAGACCTCTCCTGACTTGCTCGCTGCTCCCCTCAGCAGTGTATTTCAGTCAATCTGCCTGTTCAGCTCCCCACTCTGCCTCTGGTGAACCCTCTCACCCTCCATACCTCTGGCCTGGACCCCAGTTCTTGTATGCATAAATCTTTATAAAAAAAAATAAATTTCAAATATGAATGCTTGAGGCTATAAACTCTCAATAAAAATGTAAAAAAATTTCATTAAGGACATTAGTATGAGACAATGTCCTCCCCTACTGAATAGAGGGGATCAAATGATATAAGCTTCCAGCTATAAATAAGTCTGTCACAGGGATATAATGAGCAGCTTGGTGACTATAGTTAACCATACTTACCTCAAATGTGAAAGTTGCTAAGAAAGCAGATTATTTTTTTAAGATTCATTTATTTATGCATACAAGAGCTGCTGTACAGGCTGGAGGTACGGCCAGAGGAATCCTCTCACCAGAGGATTCACCAGAGACAGAGTGGGGAGCAGAAGAGTCAGAATGACTGAAATACACTGCTGAGGGGAGCAGTGGGTGAGACAGGAGAGGTCTGCAACACCATGTGAGTCACCTCCCTGGCTGGGATCGAACTCGTGCTGCAGTAGTTGTGGATAGCTTCATAGTGCTTACGTTTAATCCCTTGAGACACCAGGGGAAAATTTTTATAACTATGCACAAAGATGTTAACTAGACTTATTCTCGCGATCATTTTGCAATATATACAACTCTTAAAGAATTAGTTGAACACTTGAAACTAATATATCAATTATACCTCAATTTAAAAAGAGAGAGATGATACTAAGCAGTGTCCAATATAGTACGAAATTGTGAAGACTAGTCCTAAAGTGCTATTAAATGACAAAATCAGAGTCAAATTATAAGAAATAGAATTTTTTAAGGAGTTTTAGGAACTTTCAGGTATCTAAATGATGGCATAGTGATATTACAGAAACATAGTATAATCATCTCAAAAACAAGAGAAAGTAAAAAACCAATTTGTTTCTAGCAGCATTATTTGCAATAACCAAGGGGTGGAAGCAACCTGAGAGTTCAGTGACCAAATAGTGAGCGAATAAACAAAATGTCATGTTACAGGTGTGTCTGTCTGTCTCTCTCTCTCTCAGATACAAACCCTTCTCAAAAACAAAAATTCGAGGTGGGAGGATCAACATGGCAGCGAGGAAACGCTGTGACTAAGATCTCCCATTAAAAAACAGTTAATAGGGAGGAAAAGCAGCAGGTTCTGTTACGGAGCAACCTGGATATAAAACGGGTTGCCTGGCTGTGGGTCCTCACCCGCGTGCTTAAAAAGGGTCTTATTAATACTCCACTACAGTCACACACAAAAGGTTAATAAAAGGTTTATTTACAAGGGAAAAGGAATTGAGGAAATGTACAACTCAGGGAGAAAATAGAGAAATAAAGTCTTTAATGTGTCCTACCCGATCCGCCACCGGGAAACCCAAAGGCACTCTCTGAGCTGGCCACATGCTGTGAGCTGGCGGAGCCAAAATGGGGAATCCCCCAAAGCCCACTTGTCTGGTTTTATAACAAATCTGGCTGCTTAACCCCACCCTCAGGTTCCAGCCACCTTCCCTTTGGTGGTGATGGGATTTGTAGTTCCCAGTGTCTTTTGGCTTTGGTCAGGCGGAGTCCACAAAGCCTGTATGGAATTAGCTTTAGGACATCCTTTTCCCCCTAACAGTCGCAGTGAGAACTGGGACAGGGAAGATAAACGGGGACTCCAGCAAACTACCCAAAGAAGAAAGTTGCCATAAAAGAGCACTAGAAAGGAGGAAAGCTCAGAACCCTGCTACCCTCCCCCACCCACAAAGTCGGCACTCTCTGACCAACAGAAAGGAGGAAAAAACAAAAAAGCTAAAACAACTAACAAGAACAAACTACACATCAAGCAGGACTGTGAGTGGAAAGGAACTATTTCAGCCACCACACCCCGTGAATTGGAGCTGTGGAGAACCCTGCAGGATTCGCCTAGGTGGTGGGCGAATGGCTCCAGGAGCCATTAGAGAAAAACAAAGACTCCCAGAGACCTACAAACAGCCCCAGGCCAGCCAGTAAGCTTGTGGGGAAAAGCGACATGCTTGAAAAGGATACCTGGATCACTGCTGCCCAGGTCCCCGGCGCCTGCGACCTAGGCTTGCAGGGAGACACACGGGGGCCCTCACTGAGGTGAATGTCCCTCACTGAGTAATCAGAAACCAGGCGCCTGGACACGGGAGTGGGGTGCAAAAGGCGCCATTTCTGCGGACACTGAACTGGGCTACAGCCTGCGTCCTGGACGTGAGGGCTTTGGAACTGAGACCCGGGGCACAAAATTCGGGGCATGGGATCCCCATGATAGTGGGGCACAAGGCAGACACAGCACCCCAAAGCCGTTGAGGATTTCCCCACCACTCCCACTCTGTTCCCTGTCCCACAGGGTAAAAAAAACAGTTCCCCAAGGACACTAGGAGATATCTCTGGCGCCACCTAGCGACCAGGAAAAAAATCACCAACACCCCATAGAATAGGGACCTTTCTTCAGTAAAGACTGCTTGAAACCGGCAGAAGGCTCCCTGAGGAGTCAGAGGTGAGCTGGGAAGTTCGCCCAAGCCAGGCCCCTTCTGACCAGCAGTCCGAGCCCAGAGTGGGAGAGGGCACCCACAGCTGGGGCGGATCCAGCGTGCGGGAGAGTGTGCCTCTCTCCAAATCGCCATTTTAGAATAGGGACCTTTCTTCGATAAAGACTGCTTGAAACTGGCAGAAGGCTCCCAGGGGAGCCAGAGGTGAACTGGGAAATTTGCCCACACCAGGCCTCTTCAGGCCATCAGTCCGAACTCAGAGGGGGAGCAGGCACCCACGGCCAGGGC